AGGGGAGAAGGCAGTCAGGCCCCAGAGATCTGCATCGAGCTGTGACTTGAGGAATGACAAAACAGCTCAAAGCAACCAGGATGATGGAAACTGTAGAATGCATGTTGGTGGCTATAGACGATGCCAGTTGTTAACGAAAGAACAAGTATCTCAGGTCCAACTGAACAACTGACTGACAACTAACAACTGACTTATCCTGCACTTGGACTAAGTAAAGTGGCAATAGATAGATGCGTCTGTCCAGTTTCCAAGGAAAATTGATGTCGAGAGAACTGCCGTGATGAAACACTACAGAAGATCTTGATGAGAGACCAGGAAAGGTTAGTCTGAGTATCAGCCGTTGTTCAATAGAACCCTCTCCGTAACCAATGACTGATGCAAATTGTATGCGACCCAAGCACCAGCCAATGAGAGTCGTCACTGTGACATCAATCTGATCAGAACAGTGGACCAAGCTGCTGATTGGTCAATTTGACTACCATGTTTTTGTAATTATACAACAATGGGTTACAGAAGACCCGATAGAAGGCGCCCGCTGAATGGTCAGAATCTCATCTTGTTTTGCCTAATTTATCGCTGAATCGCAAAATTAATCGCTCGCATATCATAGATACTTGCTGTGCTAGGGGATATTCTATAGACTAAGGGAAAGTCTGTACCTTAAAAAAAAAACTTGACACACAATGTGAAGGTCTTATTTGTTATTTGTTTATGCGCTGTTGCCAAGCAACTACTTTTGAATAATTAAAGAAGTTGTTTTGCCAAAGACAGAGTCATCAACGCTACTACATGTACTTTCCCAAGAGGGCCGACCTTGATCAACGTGGATCAACTGTTCAATTGTTAATGCCACGGTGCTCTCCTCGGAAAACTAATGAAACTTGTAAGTTGACCTTCTAGATTATTGATAAATGGTTACCGCTAATTGACAACGAAAGTGGCAGGTAAAACGTGGGTCACGGTGAAATGCTCATAAATGTAATACTTTTTAATGGGAAATTTAGAGGTAATTTTTTTTTTATTTGAAGGGCATCCCTTTCTTATTTGGGTGATTCTCTTTTCCATTTACTCTTTTTTGGTCTCCTGACCCAAGAATTTTGAATTTTTTTTAATTACAGCCGACCCGGTCTTGAACCCCAGTAACTAAAAAAAGAACAAATAACAACTGAAAAAAAATATTGCATACAAATTCAGGCCAATCAGGCCCTATGTTATTTGAAAAGCTATTGAACACGAACATCAGTTTTTTTTCCCCACAAAGTGTGGCATATAGCATCCAGTGGAATCCCAGAAGATGACAGGATGTTGCCTCTCGTCATATTAGCCGTCAATAGTGCAAATTTACGTTCATTCACGAAGACGGGAAAACGCCCTTGTTTCATTGTATTTGAACGGTAAATGATCATTGGTGGACAGCTGAATTTTGTGATGTTTGTATTAAAATAGACTTTACTATAGTACACAAATTACGTGAGATTTTCACAGTTACTAGTCGATAACATGAACTTAATCCCTATGTTACTTTGATTAAATGGAGCGACCCACAATTTTGTTTTTAAATATTTTTTCTCACTAGGTCACTTTCTTTTGGACTCACCCTGTATATAGAGTAATAGGAATGCAAACAACACTGAAACCTGGTCCTATTGATTTCAGATAGGCATGTCAGCCTGTGATTCCATCAACAAGCAGAGAATTCTTATCTTAGGCTACATTTGATCAAGCAAGAATTGACGAAAAAACTGTTGCTGTAAACCATGGTAACTGAAAACGCAGTGGGTGGAGCTGAAGAATGAAATGTCACTCTCCAAAGAAGAAGAACATATTGTCGTAAAAAAAAACCTCGATTACGAATGATTAGTACCTACCGGTATCAATGCTTATCCAGTAAAAACCTTGGCTGTGCATTCATGCACGTTATCTTGTCAAGAACAGACCAGGGAACAATTAATTCAGGCTCACTGATATTTTGCAGTGTCAGCAAGACCATAAATAAATGAAGCAAACTGGTATTACTTTAGTTTCTCTACCCGCGCAACTTCAACATATTCAATTTTTTTTTCTTCTCCTTACCTTTTTTTCTCCTAACTCATGTTCGTGTTGTATGTGTTTAATTTAAACGGGAAAGGCTACTTTCTCCTATTTTGGAAGTTTTCATTCCTCTGAAAATACGTTTTAACTTTGGGTTGCTTTTGCCTCAAAAGTGTACAAGGGCAGATCCAGGGGGGCCAAAGGGGGCCATGGCCCCCCCCCCCCCCCAAAACAAACCATTTTTTTTTTTTTATGTGACATCGCAATAAAGGCAGGCAATGAGTACACCACCATCTTTTCCTCCAAAAAAACATTGGTTAAAGTGGTCAGAAATTGCCTCAGATCGCACCACAGAGCATCTAGAATCCAAAAAAATTTCGGGGCCCTTTTAAGCGGGCCCCGAACCCCACGCCGTAATTTTTTGGACCCATTTTTTGGGGGGAACAACATTTTTTTTGGCCTCCCAAAAAATTGTGTTCTGGATCCGCCCTTGAAAGTGTACAAAAGATATGCCTGAAATATAAGGTCGGGCTGCAAATAATTTGAAAAAAGTTAAGTAAATATTTAATAAGTAAATGATCTTTGTTCAATGTCTTGTTCCAAAGTAAATGACTCGTGTATAACTACAAAAATGGCAATTTACAAAAACAGCACAATTTTGGGGTTAAACTTGAAACTAGCATGGAGAGAACAACTTAAAAGCTTTATTACAGCTGTCTCTCAACATAGCAATAATCAGGCATGCAACTGGGAAGTCACAAAAAAAGAGGAAAATCAAATCTATCCAAGACTTTGTACAGTGTTTTTCTATTTTCAATGGCACACACTGGAAGTGAAAAACGAGGAAATCAGCTGATCCGAGGAAAAGTTGCATGCCTGAATAATAGGGAGGTTACGTTATGAGTTTTAGTAAGAATGATAAAAAACCTCATTTTCTTCAATTCATTTAAAAAAAAAAAAATTGTAAACATTTATCAAGCTTTACATGAGGAAACGTTTATGTACCTACTGTCAGACTTGATAAACCATAGAAGATAATCTCATTATTAAAAGCTTTCTCAACATTTTTTAAGGTTAAACCTAGTTGAGACAGTTATGAGACACACGTTTCTGTAAAAAAAAATATACAGGAGTTTGCCACCACCCTCTGTATGTTGTGTGCGGTTATGAGTTCTGCCTGTGTGAAACTCAACATTTGGAACAGCATACACTGTTGGTCGTCAGGAGACCGTATTACCATTTTTAAAACCACTCGCAAAAACATTGATCTAGTTCTAGAGATGAAAAAATACCTAGAAAAAAAGTAGATACTAAAAAATATGAACAGTACTAGGCCTTGCATAGCATAGACTGCATCTGAATGGAATCATTTCGCTATGGCAAGCAATAACAGTGGCATAGGTGTGCATGGTTTTCTTTTTCGGCTGCAGCCAAGTGAGTGAGGACACAGCACACAACCGTGCCAGCAAGTGGGAGGGGTGGGGAATGAATGAAATCCTAAAATTGGGGAGGGGGGTTGACACCACATGGCACTAGGGGGTTCTGTTTATGATACAAATGTACATCTCATGCAAACTGGCGTGTTTACAATACATCAAGACGGTACATTTAAAGTTTTTGTGCTGTTCGCTCTCTATTACAATACATCAAGACAATACATTTAAAGATTTTGTACTGTTTGTTCTCTATTCTCAATTCAGTGCTATTTAATACATTTGGGCTGTTGGAAAGTTAGAATATAACCTTAAAATCAGCATTTTTAGTTTCCCACCACAAAAAAATCTGGGGGGGGGGGAGAATTGATCCAACTCCCACCCCACCCCATAAAACTAAAAGGTCAAACCAGACGCACATGCACATGAATGCTCCCCCCCCCCAAATTACGTACTCTACACGTACATCCTGTTCGTTAGTAAAAAAGTCATACATGCGCACGCACCATTGATTACTAGCGCCCATTGGCTGAACACTCAAGTTGCGTTAACTTCCGGTTCCATTTGTGCTATGCTACACCGTGTGAAGTACGCATGGTTAAGTTGAGATGACGTCACACTAACAAACCAGTTAGTACATTAAATAAAAGATACCTTTTTGAGACTTTGGTTACAGAGCTCGTATCAGGAGCTTGCGACACCATCACTGTGTCTTTATCAACTGGTGTTGTTGAGGCCCTCACGTGACCCATCACGTGACCAAGCTTGGTCACATGACAGGAGACGGTCGTACACGTGGGCCAGTTAGTACATATTGGAAATTCATGCACATGTAAATGTACATGTTCATGTTATACCAGTTTATACATGTAACAATCAACAACTTTAACATTTTCTGGAATTAAAATTCCTCAATAAAATCGTAAAATTGACTGCAAGGCAATGAACCTAATTGGAAGTTGTAGAGCTGATAAATCGCCTTTTTTTTTTACCAAATTAGCTAGAAGCAAAAACTTAAACATTTTAATCTGAATGTGGACTGCCGGATCCCCGGACAGACGATCATCCGCGCAGATGGGAGTTCTGGGGTACTTGCATTGTTGTCCTTTCATCCCTCTTCTTTAGAATTTCACTTCTGGGGTACCGTTGGGGTACCGCTGGGGTACCGCTAAATTTCCCTTTGTGTGAGTACCCCACAGGTAGCTGTGGTAAGTACTGACGGTGCGACGGACACCCATAGGGACGGACGGAAATCGGTATTACAATACATAGGCTCGCATCTGCTTTGCAGCTTGCCAAAAACAGATACTTGCACCCCAACTGAAGCAAAAAAAATAAACCCGCTAAACCCAGGATAAAAATGCTAAACACTAATAAATGGCGTCTTGTCACGTGATGTCATCATAAACTCACAATTTGTATTTTGCTTGTTTCAACTGGATGAGGGCAGATAAAACTATGTGCCGTTGTTGAGTGGTCGGTTACATTTCTATAATTTGTCTGGTTATTTCAGTCTTTATTGTTAAGTCCACATACCTTATCGGCCTCTTTCAGGAAAGTGATCTTCTGGTCTTTGGTGTGAGCTGATAGGACGTTGCCTAGCGACACGTTCTTGAACCCTTCACTCTGACGAATGTCATCATCTGAGGGATACAAAAAACCCATCAAGGAATCAAAACTCTTTCACTTTTGTATCAGAAGAGTTTAATTTTTCGTGAGTCCACATTATCTTAAAGGAAATATACAACATTTGCTTTTGCTGTAAGTTTCAGAAAAAGATTGATTTGGTGGGTTAGTATTTTATAGCAAATATTGTTACACTGGCTTGTTTGAAGTTTTGTGTTCGTAGATGCTGGAAAAACCAAGAAAAACAATTATGTTCCTGTGGTCTGGTTCCCTGACCCCACTTAAGATGAAATGGAGCAATTTATAGACTTCAGGGAATTGTAAGGTCAGGGAACCAGTCTTGCTGGTTTGTACCCGTTCACAGGTGTGTATTTGATTGCAAACAAAGTGGGGTCTAACTAAATGTGGTAAATTTGGGGTAGAATTTGAAAAAAAAAGCCATTTTTTTTCCCAACGCTGGTCGGCTGACCAGCATTGGAAATGGATACAAGAACACCACTTTTCTTGAAAATGATAGCACACCAGGTGCCACGATTTTACAGGATGCTTTAGACTGTCTTTCACTAACAGTCCAGTAAGGTATTTCATAATAATTGGGTAGTTTTGTTTTTTGATGCTTGCAAATGTGTATTCCCTTAGTATCCTCATATTATTCCTGTTTTAATCTGCATGCAATTTCCCATCAATAACTTCTGTGTGGAGTACGTGACACTAGGCCCCCCCCCCAAAAAAAGGGAAAAACAAATCTTGTTTATCCTTTATCTCCCTTCATGAGCACACTTCACAAGCTTTCTCTCACAGATATATTTTTTTAGCTTAATATTATGGTACCCTTTGCACAACAATAAAACAATGTAGGCTCACAATGTTGGCATGTGCGAGAAGACATAGCGCTACTTGTATGGGTCGACTTGACAGTCGCACTAATATACTCAGGAAGGGACAAACACAATGCGGTGAAATTGTAAAATGCACATTATACCACAGGGCTTGAATTCCATAAACGAAAGAAAAGACCACATGCAAGGTCACAATGTACGATACAGAAAAAAATATGCAAGAACCATTTTGGAAAAAAAAATGACACAAAACTACAAACAAAATCACAAGGCGGTTCCTGAAAATACTAGACCAGCAGCATGCAAATCACTTTACAGTAAAACGTCCCTAAAACGAACATCGCGGGATCCACAGAAATTGTTCGTAATAGCGATTGTTCGGTATAGCGATATTAAGCCGATACTCACCAGCTTGTGGTTTTTTACACATTAGTGGCGCCCTCTTTTGACCATTGTTACAATGTAGTGGCATTTACAAACCATGTGCTGTTTAGCCAAACTTGTCCATTCATCTTTTCAGTTCCGAAAGCAGAACTTCACCTTGTACACCCTGGTAGTTACTGAAAGACGACTTTGAATGAGTGCGACTATCGAATCACGTAATTACAGTTTTTTTAGCTTAATACACAGGTGGCTTTTCTCTTTTATTCCTTGGAGAAGTAATGACCATTTGTTGCTCTTCTGTTGACATTTTTCAACAACAATGTTCGGTATGTTTTGTACACAAAGATGTGGAGCCAAGGACGAAGTTCAGTTTAGTCTAGCCCAGGTGGACTCCCTTTTTCTCCCTACGTAACGGAGGGAGTCCAGGGTATGAAGTGCTCAAAACCGGCCGAAAAAATTTATGACCAATGTTTTCAATATTTTTACCTTGTTGGAGAAGCCAATTTTTACGTCGTAGTATTCTATGTGTCCTTATCTATTGGGCCGCTAGGTTCAGGAATTCTGCCGAGTCTATTCTAGTACGTCCGTGCAGCGTGTAGTCTGGTTCCTTAGACCTGACAATTATTCTCGGCGCTCATATCACGTCTGGTCTGGGAGCCAGACTATGCAGCGTGAATATGCAGTGCGCACGCGCGATTTGCTTAGTAACCACCCTCATACGCACGCGCACTTACTTGAAGGCGCGGTCGATAATCCAATGACCGAGCGTGTTTTCACGCCAGTTACCAGAAACATGTTTCGGCTTTGGTCATTGGTTGAGCGTTTTCGTGACGTCGGTTGGCTGGAGTGACGTCACTGTTCCAACCAAAACTAAACAAATGAGGGCGCTAGCGTGCGCGCGCGCTTTTGTGCGCGCTTTCGTGCGCCCGTACATGATGTACGACTCGGGAATAAAACTGATGAAAAGAGACTACAAACACGTACAAGTTTAACGTTGCTTTAGAGTTTATTTTCCTGATTAATGTCGGTCAGCATCACATATGGAATTCCTGAACCCCTGGATCAATAGAGAAGGACACATAGAAAATGTAGGCGTGAAATAAGCTTCTGTAACGAGGTAAAACGTAACAAAAATCTGGTCCAAATTTTGGGTGGTCTTATGTAGAGAATTCTCATCCTGGACGTTAGTCGTAATGCAATGAAGACTTTGTCCAACCTGGGCTAAGTTTAGTCAAATGTTCGGTATAGGGGTGTTCAGTATAGCGACGTTCCACTGTATTTGATCCAGATATGTCAAGTCCCATACAATACATACTACACACATACTATACATACAAAAACTACATGCCAATAATATCTTCTTACAGTTTGGAATGTTGATGCCAGCTGGGATGCCACTGGAAGCATAGCTCAGGACCTCCAACGAGGTGAAGTCTGGCTTGAGGAAGACATCCTTCTCATAGTCCTTGGGCCACGGGAGGAGGGGCAGAAACCTCTCGGCGTTCTCAACAAGCTGTCCGAACTTGGCGCTCATCTGCTTGTTGACGATTGACACAAAGCCTGCAAAACAAGGAGCAATGAGGCACGAATCCTCATGTAATTTATCTTTACCAATTTTCACCTGTAATGCATTGTATAACATTGTATTAATTCCCTAATGAATTCATAAAGCCATACAATGCTGGGGCAGTGTACCCTCACTAGCCAGGGTAGTCTTACTCGCCTAGGTCACAAGACGGAAGCTGTGCAAGCCCAGGCGACATCTTTCCTATTTTGACCTCGCGAGATTTATTCACGAACAATTCCAAATATGGACTGATATAATTTCTGACTATAATCATATCGCTCTTTTACAAAAGCTGACCCAGGATTGTTCTCCTGTGAAGTAAAACGGTGCCGTCTCGAAAAGCGCTCTCCTATTGGCTAACAAAGGTTGGCCCTGTAATTCCAGACTGGAGTATTCAGTGCGTAGGAAAACCTCGGCTAGCATAAAAAAAATGTACAGGGTAGCATTCCCTTTTAATCCCTGAAAAAGGACACCAGCGATTATAACTCTGAATATGGGTATGGTGGTTAAAGTGAATTATGATGTTAAAAAGAAAACATTCATTTGATAGACAAATCTGGGCAAGTGATCACTGTACATACACGAGGCCCCCATCAATGGCAAAAGCACTGTGCAAGCTACTGTGTAAAGCTACTGCCCCATGACGGATTATCTGAACAATAGCTAGCACAATGCCTTCGCCATTGAAGGGGGCCTACTTGATAGAAGTGATAGCGTACCCGGAGTTGTCTATTCTTGCTGAAAGATTTGATTCTACCATAGAGCTATATTAAATTACTAGAGCGCTAACTCGTCATTCTGCGTGGGGAGACGCTTTGAAGCCGTCCTGGGTGCAGACATTTTGAATTCATGTGCGTGTTTGTAGAACATAAAGAAATTAGATAGATCAATTTTGAAAGTGTACTCTATATGCAACGCGCAAGTAGAACATACGCAAGCAACTTAAGCGCGTCATTGCCGGTTCAAAAAAATATGATGGTAAGAAGCATCTGCAGCGAATACGCGCACACGTTGCACTGTTTGCGGAGAGCAAAATGAAACGCTCATTTGCTGATCGTGCGTTTCAGTTTTGGGCGTATTGGCTTCGATAACGCACCGGTATGGAATACAAATGCACATATGCAAAGAGCCGTACAAAGGCCGTACAAAATGTCTAGGTCTCCATAGGTTTGTGCACAAACATGGATGCGCCCAGCAGGCATCTCTTTGTACACAGAGTTAGCGCTCTAGTAATTTAATATAGCTCTATGGATTCTACACACATTTAAACACTGCACCAACATCAAACTGTATTACCTTCCCATTCACCCCGCATGCCAAACGGATCTCTGTACGTCTCAATGAAGCCAATATAGCTGCAATGACAAAACACCATGTGATAGTAATATTTTTTAAAGACATCAGATAAAACCAAAAACAATTACTGCCAACATCCCCGACATATAAGGAGTGGGGACTACCAAAGAAATATCACACCATCAGATTTTTAATTTGTTCAATGATGTACAAAGACATTGACTGGAGCAGGGTTTGAACCTGCGACCCTTGGATTGTTGTTCCGGTGCTCTGCCAACTGAGCCATCCAGCCCTATGGCTTCTGAAGTGTGTCTTGAGCAAAGACATTGACAAATTGGGGAATGGGGTGACACAGGGCTGGATAGCTCATTTGGTAGAGCACCAGAACGGCAATCCATAGGTCCAAGTTCAAACCCTGCTCCAGTCAATTTCTTTGTTTATCTTTTGAAAGAAAGTATTATTATAACGTACCTAGTCAGTTTTCCTTTGAGGTTTATTTGAAAATTTCAACAGATTTTTAACGAAGGCTAACTGCAAATGGGCATTGTTCACAATTTTTAGGTGTTAAGTTTGGTGTCGGTCAAATTATTAGTAACCAGGACAACATCAGGAAGGCCAAAACTTTGTTTTTGATAACAAACCCTAGTCTAGCACATTTGTGAAATTAAGTATATAAATTAACTAATATTTAATATTTTTTAATGGCTACAAAGGTGCAACCGATTGCCATCAACGAGAACAGAAAATTGGCACTATTTTGGAACTCACCAAAAAAACTTTTTTTTTCAAAGCTGAACAAAGAACTGACTGGAGCGGGGTATGAACCTGCAACCTCCAGATTGCCATTCCAGTGCTCTACCGACTGAGCTATCTAGTCCTCTGTTGGTGGTTCCTCTATTTGTCAATGTCTTTGTTCAAGGGGTGATAGTCAGAAGTCATAACTTAGATTTATTTGGAAACGAGTAAGAAAGAGTCACAGGATATATCAATAATATTTGTTAGGAGGTTTACATTCAACAGGAACAAAAAATTCACAAACTATTATGTTGTGAATCAAGGAAGGGACAAAAATTCTCCCCCAGATGAATGCTCGTAGAAAGACAGAATAATCAGTATTCGTAACCATGCAATATCAAGTGCTGTTAGATCCTTTTTTTGGACTGAATCTTTGTTCTGACGAAACCAAATTTGTTAAAACTGGTCGTGAGCTTACTGTTCAACAATGGGTCCTTTATCTTTGATCCAGCTCCTGGATCCATCCATGTGGTCTTGGAGTAGCCCTGTGGTGAAGCTGCTGGCATACAACTGCAGCATCTTAACCTCATGTTCATTAGCCCCATACTCCTGCATGCAGGGAAGCAAGCAAAATCCCAACCTGAATTCCTAATTTTATCAGGGATCGGGGGGGGGGGGGGGGGGGGGAGGGGGGGCGGCCTCCAATTGGCCCATTCCTCTTCCCTCACCCCCGAAGAGAAGACAACTCTCTTTAAATTGATACTGTGTTCTACCAATCACCCTTTTCCTTCGGGTAAAATCAACCTATATAGTCTGAACACAGACTGAAGATGGCGGATTATTTTGAATGAACTACAAAATTGTCCAATTTCAGGCATGCAACTTGGAAGAAACAAAAAACTAGGAAACTTCTCTTTACAAGAATGTACAGTGTTTTTCCATCTTTAATGTCATAATTGTGAAGTGAAGAACACGGAAATCAGCTGATCCGAGGAAAAGTTGCATGTCTGCAGTTGAAATGGAATAACAAGTGGACAAGACTGATTTTGGTGGCTTGTATTCACATGAGCATAATATCACTATTCTTGCCACTAAGCTTTTTTTTAGGCCAAAAAAAATAGTCAGTCTCTGGTCGGGCCAGAGTTCCGGAATTGATGCGGCGACGTGTTTTCTTTTTTCTTTTTTTGGGGCTTTTTTTTTTTCAAGCTTGAATTGTACAGACAAGGTGGGTACTATTTTGCTTTTTTGTGTCCTCATGAACATTGCTGTCCTCCATCATTTGCCTTGGTGCCCTCCATCACTTGCCTTTGTGCAATTTCCACATTTCTCGGTGCTCCAAACATTTGAGGAGGTGCGGCAATAGAAATCACTGTTGTAGCTACCACGGAAAATTTGGAAAAAAAAGAGATTGACGCGCATGATTAAAATCGACGCACGCGCTGACCAGAGACCGACTATTTTTATTTGTTTTGTGGCCTCATCACCATGCATGGTTAAAGGGCTATTCTTAACTACTATGTGAAGAAACTGAAATAAGTTAACTAAGTAGGTGAAACTGCTGTCACAAGCAGATTTCCTTTATTTTGAACCACCCTGGAGAAGCATGAGGCCGTTGCCTGTCCTCATATACAAATAATGTGTCATGAGGTTAGGTCTCCGGTCTACCTTTAAAGGTGACCAGCATTACTCCTTTCAAAAAGTAAAATTCCCATTTTCTTGCCTCCCCACTAACATTTGGTTCCAGATATGTGCCAGAAAATTATGTTCTAAAAATCACCTAGCCATCAATCATAACACTTTAAAGGGACGTACCTTTGCTTTCAGCAGATTGTCCGACACCATTTTCATCAGGGGTCCGTAATCACCCCTGGTCACGTTCACTTTGACGCCCTCAAAGTCGTAGGAGCCCAACTTCAGGTTATTATCACCATCAGCAGCACCTTAATACAAGGCAAGAATAATGGGAAAGTGCATTCATTACTGAAAACGGGGGCTGGTTTTTGATGAGTTAGTAAGCAAAGAAATCTGCTGAGCATAAAAAATTGCTCTATAGCAAAAACAGGGCTATATTTTTTGCACAGAAATATTTTTTACTACACCATTGACTAAAGTGTTTTTAAAAAGGACTATGCCTCGTCTGTTAGCTTCGGCTTATTGTCTGACCTCCGCACACAGTGTAGGCAAGTACTGTTATATTCATTTGTATCTTGCACACTGTTTGCAGCAGTATGAGACAAACTTGAAACTGGGGGTTAATGTTAAAAGTTTTGCAAACTTCACAATTTTTTTCCCTCAAGATAGCAACTTACCAGTTTGGGCAGATGCCAAGCGTACTTCATATTCAAACTTCCCATCAGCACCCTTGGACTTAAAAAGACGAGTGTTGTACGCATCGATTTTCTGTTTCGACAAAAAAAGAAACAACATTGACAAATTCACACAAATTTTGATTGAACCAAAAACTGTGAGGTCATAAACTTTAAACATCCAGATTGCAATGGCAGTAGTAAGCTATTTTGCAAAAGGTTGAGAAGGATGCATCATGATCTTTCTAAGTGATCCTCATATTCTGCTGCTATGCCAGGTAATACTTGCCAGGGGCATTAACACTGCTTCACTGAGTTAGTTGAATTTGGCATCAGCCTCCCATCTAAGGCCAAAAAAAATAAATACCTTTGGTTCAGGTCACCCGACCAACCCTATTTTTGAAAGCGATAACATGCGACCCCACACAATTTTATCGGTTTATTGGGGAAAATATATATTACGATACTGTTTTCCCATCCAAATTGGTCCAAATTGCCGACCGCCAAAACAATTTATAGGCATTTATCAGCAAGTGATTTTTTTCTTTCTGGTATCATCCGAAAGAAAATATCGTGGTCAGTTTGCGAGTACTTTAAAAGTTGGGAAAAAATCACTCGGGTGGGACTCGAACCCAGGACCTCCTGCTTTCTTGTGCAGATGTCTTACCACTCGACCACCGAGCTTGCGGGATCGGTTGACTGGTTCGAATGTAAATGTACCAGCCAACCGATCCCCCAAGCTCTGTGGTCGAGTGGTAAGACATCGGCACTTGATTTTTCCAACTTTCACATGGGAGGTAACACACTGAGTATACAGTGTTTATACGTCGGTGAAGGGCAAAACCTAATATTGATTTACATCACCCCGACGCAAAATTCCATCTTATGAATACTTTAATGTGGTACCCGCTGTTATGTACATCAGATTCGAACCAACCAACTGATCCCGCAAGCTCGGTGGTCGAATGGTAAGAAGTCTGCACTACAAAGCAGGAGGCAGTGAGTACTAATCCCACCCGAGTGAGTTTTTTCCAACTTCCACTCGGGAGGTAACACACCGAGTATACAGTGTTTATACGTCAGTGAAGGGCGAAACCTTATATTAATTTACATCACCCCGACGCAAAATTCCACCTTACGAATAACGATTGTCACCCAAAGGAAAACAAGACAAAAAAAGACAGCTATGACTTATGATAAAATAACACTTTCCAAAAATCTGCACTTGACTTAAAATTACCTTTTCCAACATGAATCTCTTGGCCAGCTCAGCATCTGCCATGGTGCAATTGCCGGAGAAATATGTTGATATGCCCTGCACAAGAATGAGGATAACAAATTATCAGTAGGTTTGGAGACATCAGAGAAACACATGATTCATTTTGGAAACTGAAAATCATAAATCAATCACCGTTGTTCACAATTGTTGCAAACAAAAACTTCTTTTATCAATTAAAAAATGCTTACAAAGACACACTAAGTTGTCACTATAATCTCAAACATACTGGAATTTGTATCCTTTTGGATACATCTCTTTGTTCTCGTGTACTTAAATTTTAGAGTGTGAAAATCTAGTTCCAAAATTTTCTATTTTAACCAGAATTAATTTCCTGGGGTGAAATTCTTACCAAATATCCCTTACATAAAATGCTTCAATTTGCGACAAATAAACACACCTTAGAAATTCTAACTTTTTGAATGAAATCCATATATCTATTTCGTGAAAACCTTGTGGAGACGTATTCACCTATAGAAATTGCCTTGTGGAGACCTTTACAATCTTTTGTACACACGTCTCCACAAGGTAGTGAATTACAGAACTCTCTTGAAAGGTTTCGGCGGCCTGTTTTTACTAAGCATCAACATTTGCAAATCACAAATAATATTCTCTCAGCAGAACTGAAATGTAATGCAATGTATATTTCTCGTGACGGTTTCACAGCTGTTTTTGCTTTAATGAAATTATGTAAATTTTGAACATAGCTGTGGTTCCTTTAACGTGTTTAACATGTAGACCTATATCAACCACAGATCTCATTTTAACCCTAGCCAAGTCACAGTCATTTCTGAAATTAAGGGTCCATGAGATGATTTTTTTTCTTCTTAGAAACACATTTTGTGCAATTTTCCACTCCTCAATAAACGTATGAAAACTATTTGACATCCCTTTTTGGTTAATTTTATTGAAAAATGCTCGTCTTTAAACATTTAAAAATTGTCTTTTCGGACAACTGAGGGCGCTGTTACTGTGATGTCATTTCAGGAAGGCACTGTTCAGTCTACGTGTTTCCTGTTCAAATTGTGACCCAAAAATTTGTTCATTGAAAACGTTTGAGAAAAGTTTGCTCATTGGCTTATTGCCATGTACTAAACACAACAAAAAATCACCAATGAAAAGAAAATTTACAACAGCAAAATAACCAAAATTCTGGCAACTCTTGGTGCTGAAATAGCGATTTATCATTGAGGTTTCTGCCTGAAATGACATCACAGTTTTGCTCATGAATATGGAAATTATCATAAACATGAGAACCAAAAAGGTACCCAATAACCCTTGAAAATGGCAAAATGGGACACAAAAGGTGCATTTGGGAATCGTAGGGTGTCTAAGACAGTATCTGAATTACTTGGCCGTGACATGCAATTACACCATGGAAGCAGCTGGAACCACCACCTATAGAAATGTGTAACTGCTGGCCGTGGCTTTATGATTCAGACACTGCCTAAGGAAGCTTACATCATCTCCTAGACCTAGCTGCTGTGTCTTCTTGGAGAGGGTCAAGATGGCATCACCACAGCGGGAGATGAGCTCGTCAAGGTATGAAGGGTCCGAGGCATAGGCTGCACTGGCTTTGAGTAGACTCAGCAACTTGTCCTGTGCGGATTATAATGAGATAAATTGACAAGATTATCTATAGATGAACTCATGTACAGAAATGAGACACAGTTTTCATTCTTCATTCCAATCCTCTTCACTCGCGACATAAAAGTAAACGTCTAATTGCCAGGTCAGGTGATAACGAGGAATGAATCAAATTATAGAAACGAATGAAGGATTCAAGAGGGTTTTCTTGCTTTGTTTTGTTTTTTTCTCTTTGTTTCCCCCAAGATGGTAGATTTAATTTCCATTTTTGTGGATATATTCTTCCATTTTCTCGACTCTTTTGCTGATTTCAAATTGTGTCCAACGGAGCTGTAACACTTTCTACATACCAGAAAGTACAATTTTGTTAGAAACGAATTAAAAGACAATGTATTGACGATATATTGGCAAAATATATTCCAAATGCATGAGTTTTAAAAAGAGGAGGCAGGCCAGAAAAAAAGGAAGCAGGCAGGGACGAAAAACTAGTTTATTTTTTTTAACTTGGCCTTACACAAGGCTTGCAAAATTTGCATACATTTTACATACAGTTTTTTCCTGAAAAATAATCTGTAACTTTCTAATAGATATTGAAGAGAAATAGGGAAAGGAAATAAAACTGTCAAATACCTTCGGCAAATCTGGAATGAATTTTGTATCACCGAAAGATTTGTAGTTGCCCAAGTTGGAGAAGAAGGCAGCAGCATAGGTCAGAAATGCCTGGAAAAGAACGTTACAAAATAAGACAAATCACACTAGAGGAACTTTCAACTTCTCAGTTTTGGTCATAACTATGCAGGAACATCCAAAGTGTAGATGAATCACATTTAGAGATCAGCCTGTAACTTGAAAAAAAAGGGAAATTGGGGAAACATAATGTTTCTAGCTGTGTTCAAAGCAAATTTGGACCACATGCAGATTTATTGTCCGTATTCCTGAGTTGATTATCCTTTGATTGAGGTCATTTTCAACAAGGACAATAAATTTCTGCGTGGTCCACATGTGAGCTGAACAATGCTAGGTACAGTTGGGGCCTTTCAGCATTACATTTCCCCAATATCTTAATTTTTTTTCAAGCTACAGAGGCTGGTCTGCAAATCTGATTGTTTTATAATCAATATTAATTTGTCAATTAAAAGAAATGACCTAGTTAAAAAAAAAAAACAATGTCAAGTTGCATTAATTTTTATAAATGTCAATTTACACATTCACAAATAGGGCCTATATATCACGGTGGCTGTGTAAAAGGCAAATTGATAAACTTCGACAAATTTCCAATATTTCAAGAGTTCACAAAAAACATTGGGACTGAAAAGGGGGAAAGAAACCACAACAAATCGGATACTATAAATAATCGTAAACGACTCCATTATCTATTACACTTGATCGCAAGGTAGCGTCATCTCTGCCACACCACTGACTGATGAATTGCCAAAAACTCACCTGAAACTCATTCTCAGTGAGACCGGCTTTCACAGCCTTCTCCTTCAAGGCACCGACAGGCTCCGTCTTGAACAGCTTCTGTAGGAGGAGGTAAATGACGGGAGACTCAGGCGACGTCTGAAACAGGCAGATCAGTCCACCACTCCAGGAAGCTCTGGCCAAATAATGGGCGTACTTCTTTTCCTCGGATGTGAGCTCCTGGAATGCCTTCTTACATTCCAAGGGAACAATCGGAACTTCGTTTGGGATCAGGAACTGCGACCGGTCAATGTTCTGCTCGGTTGCCATGGTGATCTGGTGGATGCAAAGATGAGACACAGTTTAAGGCATTTTGCAATTGATCAATTTATCGCCATACACCACTTTTACGGAAGTCGATCATTGCATACTGTGTCATGCAAACATCATAAAGACAGCAACTGAATGGTTCTCGGACTTTACTTCACTTTAAAGAAAATCCTTCAGAGCCATGAAACAAAATGAAAAATTACTCCTACTTCAATGAAAAGTTGAATTTGATAAAAAAAAACATTCAAAAATTGAAAGTAAGAAAATACATATTTCGAGAATTTTCCTATAAAACGTTGTCATCGGGATTCAAACTCAGCACATTCGGGATTCAAAAAGCACTTCCTAGTACTAATAGTACTAATAGATACTAGTTTCGCCGTGGCTATCGTTACAGCAGACATAATGCAACTTTCAACTGCTATCGCGGAACTGTCTGGTTCCCTGGCATAATAGTATTCAACGTCACGATCTCCTACTGATTGGAACCAGACTATCAACTAAATAGTTCCCGGACTTTACTTTTCTTTATAAAAAAAATCCTCCAACACCACTGATTTCAAAGGGAAGAAAATGAAATCTAACTTAAATAAAAAGAACAATTTGATTAAAAACCTTAGACTTAAGAAATCTATTTCCAAATTTTTTTTTTAAAAATGAGTAGTGCGGCAGAGGTTCGAACCAGGGTCCGCAGCTGATTGAGCTAATGTCTGTACCAATCGAGCTACCAAAGCGTTCTGGATGGATGGGCAATCTGATATACATGTACGCTCGCATTGTGTTTTTACAATGCCGTAACGATAGTATTTTGGAAATTGCGTAACGGCTGTCGTAACAATAGCCACTACGTACGTACTAGTTTAGCTACTGAAGTACTTCAACTGTTGCAGGAATTTAAAACCTCAAATAAATAGATTCGTAATGTTATGTTGCAACAGCCACTGTTACTGCTTCTGTAAAAATAGCCACTTTAACTTTGGAAACCCCAGCGCAAAAAGCTCATCGGAATGCGACATTTATAATAAATGTCGAAATCCGATGGGCTATATTGTGCTGAAGCTAAGCCACCTCGTAAATGTATTTGTTGGGCGCGATCGGTCGATGTGCGCGATCGGTCGATGGCACTGCGCTATCGGTCGATCATGGCACTATTTGTCGATCATGACACTATCAGCCGGTCTATCACGCTGCCAACACTCGAACAATTTCTTTCTAATGCACGGTTCTGGAGGATATTTTTTTAAAAGGTAAGTAAAGTCCGAGATATCGGTAACGATCGACAGATGGCGCAGCGTGATCAACCAATCCAATGGCGCTGATCGACCGATTGCGCCAAACATAGGCCTGTTGATTTATTTGAAAAAGTTGAATTTACACTGACTTGCTTCATCATGCTACGTGTCCTGAAATTTAGTGAAAAAATCACAACACTCATGATTCAGGGCAAAAAAGTTGAACATTTTAAGACCAGGATTAAAAGTAAAAACACGCATGAGTTCAAAACTAAATATTCACTCACACTTTGTCACTAATGATCAAGAGAAAGAAGAGTGGGAAACTGCTTGTTTGCGGAACCGGGCGATCAACTGTACTCATGCAGGTGCACACATAAAAAGAGCCGACGCTGTTGTTGTGCACAAAAGCTACAAGTGCTAAATAGTCAGATACCATAAATAATGCCGACGCGTGCCATTCCAATACGATTAATCGATAGCGCGATTCGAAAAGTAGGGCTCCATACTCAATATGGCGGCGCCCATGAACGCAATAATTTCGTCGTGCTGTGATCGTGGTTGAGGTACCGGTAATAAATGATTAACTGTAGATATTTGTGTGAAATAGAACGACAAGTGTTGTTCACTCGAGTTACATTTTAGCGAATGTATCATTGGAACTTTAGAGGCCCGTCTTATTTTAACTAAAAACGATCAACTTCGAAGTTCGAGAGGAACATTTACGGTATTAGAAAATGTAAGAGGGCGCTGTTCATTTGATGAGGAATAGTTAAATTTTAAATTTGCTTTTTGGAAAGAATGTTGCAACCTGATGTAAGTATTTCCTAACAAAATTGGAAATGTTTCTCAGTCCCAGATTCAAGTCTTATCATCATTTTTGCAATGGATGAGTCAATGACCTTCATTTAGGCCTAGAGTACTACTAGATGATATACCGGTATGAAGAAAAAAGTGGCAGCAAGTTGCAACTTTCTTTCCTGCTTTTTTTTCCGGCTCATTTTTAGTTTTCTAAGCATACTTCTATTTAAATTTAGATATCAAAACATTTGAAAACGTGATTTTCATGTCTTGTACTGTTCATTGAAACAAGGCATGAATGAATAAAGACAAAGCTTTATTTGAGAAAATTTAAGTCTAATTGCACTTTGGTTTACATGATAATGATCTAAAATAATCACACTTTACTTTACACATTTTAGAGACAAAAAAGGGAAGAATTCCATACATGGACATCACTCATATTCCCTGCAATGACCAGGGGTGTGAAATCTCAGCTGTAAAGCTGATTTCAGCTATTTTTAGTTTTGGATTTCAGCTTTTTTTCACCTTTTTCCTCACTTGCTGTGTACAAAAGTATAGCAAATTTCCAAAGTTCAGCTTTTTTAACACCTTTTTCAGCTGTTTTCAGCTCTTTTTATCAGTGGTCACTCACACCCCTGAATGACCTTTCAGCTGTCAGAAACGGAAATGAATTCCTAAAAAGTCAAATTTGGAAGGGAAAATATTGAAGCATTTGCTGAGAAAACACTTGGAATTTTTCCGACCAGTCTCATAGGGTTTGTGCACAGGGTGTCAAGTGATGTCCAGGTATTTCCCAAAAGAATGCCTGCTTGAAAACAAGTTTCTTTGCTTTGCAGAATCTGACAGAACCCAAACTGGAATTAAAATGATCTTGCGACTTTCTCTACAAAACCAATTTAAAAACAAATGTAGAAAATTTGTTCAGCATTTCTATATTTTTGTTTTTCCTAAAGTACGAGTGTTCTTCCTCTACCGTTTTAAATCAAATCCTACATTTAAATCTGAATATTTTCAGATATTGATATTCATCAATATATATTGATGAATATTTTGTCTTCTTTTCTAAATCATGGCTCTGGAGGATGTAGGTGTGCACACGTGTGATTCCTCATTAATACCTATCTCCTAAAGACTCCTAAATACAAAGTCACAATGACAGTGGAAGCGAGGCACTAGATGAAGATTCGTCACAGTAAAAATTTCTAAGTCCCAAAAACATCCAAGTAGTGCCAGTACAAGAGCAAAAGAAAACGGGGACCGGTTGAACCGGTTGTCTGGTTCACTGTCAAATATACATGTACAATTGCCTCTTGTATATGAGCCTAATCAGAGCAAACATCCGTGAACATAACATTTACTAAAAGAAAACCAGCGCCAGCCTAATATATTGATATCAACTGCCTTGATTGATATTTCCTCACCATAGGCCCTATTGCATGAGCATACTTCAATTTCATCACCATATTGCATGATCAGTTTCACTTTCATTTTTTCTGTACTAACACAGTGCCTTTTCCAGGTAGATTTGAATTGTGCATTGGGGTTTCCTCGTTTTATTCTTTCTTCCAAGTTGCATGAGTTTACAAAGCACTGTGGAAGGAAAAGGGACACTATGTCGACGGTGCCTTTTTTCTTCCCACTATAATTAACAGTACATGTACTTGTTATCTATTGTGCAGATTCACTCCAGCAGTATTAGCCAGACTTATAATGCTGCATCGCGTCATGGTACAATTTGTCCTACAAATGGATTTTTCCTGCCTACTTCTAGTCCACATTTCTGGTCGGGCGGCTTTATCCATAAAAGGGCTGATGTAATGTTGATTGGCTTAATTTGGTATATCTCACATTGAATTTTCATATACTCATCCTGAGCATTTAGATGTAATACTGAGAGTGGAAGATATAGAATATGTGTCTGGACTATTGTCGGATTGTCTTGATTGTTGTCAATGTACTGGAGTAATTTTTTAGATGACTCGCTTAAAGTTTCAATTTTTGTCAGTTATTAGTTGAGGCTGTAACACCCAAACTGTAGCAAGCAGTGTACCCAACTACAGTTGAGAGTCACAACCGTAGTTGAGATGATACATGCATATACCAGGAAAAAGTCGGTCGAGTGGTCTTAAATTATTGTTACGATCGGACGATGCTGGGCAGATCCAGCATTATGAAGCGAAGTGTAATGTCCGTGACAGAGCCAGTTAACCACGATATCTAATGAATGATTCAGAGAAATGATCCAAAACTCCTACAGTAGTTCTTATTCTCTTTGACAGTTACTAGATGATCAATGTTTGACATACATTTTTCAGGTTTATTCACCGAGCTCTGTCACGGACATTACATAACCCCACTGGAAATTGCCCTGCTATAGTTGAGCCAACTTGGGATGTAACAAGGCTTTCTAAGGTGAACTACAAGTAGTCTCAGACAATTAGACAAACAGGAGAATCGATGATCATAATTATTATTATTATTATTATTATTATTAATCGTTTTTGGTAATGAAACCAAGGATTCCTCAAAAGCGCCCTAGGCGCTGTAGCTCGCAAGCCTGAAGAAACCTGTGGAGAGAAGACAATGAGAAGAAATTACAGTTTTAGAGGTGGGAGGAAAAGCCCAGAAGAATATTCTGAGGAAAACCCACGGAATCAGGTAGGGACTGAAAACCCAATCCACATATTGGCCCAGGCGGGATTCGAACCCAGGTCACAGCGGTGGAAGGCGAGGAAAGTACCGCTACGCCAACCTGATTCTTCTGCTATCAACCAACTCATTCAAGAGTATTTTTCATTAACAGCAAGTACAACATGATGGCAAGGAGACTTCTCACACAACGATCAGTCCAGTTCTTGAGCACCTTGTTAGCGCGACAGTCAAAGAGAATCCCATCCCGAGGTCTCCAAGTCCTGCCTTCAAAACCCGAGACTACCCAACATACCAGCCGTCATCTTAGACCCATCGGCCGTCACTCCAAGTGCCAGCGGCTGATGAGCGAATGGGTCTACTCAAAGAGTCTGAGACCCGAATTTGACATGCAGGAAATCTGCGACAACATAGAGCAGATTGCGGAGAACGTACGACACAGGAAAGGAGATGCTGATGTGCATGAAGTGGTAACCACTAGACAAAGTTGTAATCAAGCCAATCACAAGTCAGTCATAACTCAGATCATCACAAGGCAATCATAACTCAGACCATCACAAGTCAATCATAACTCAGACCATCACAAGTCAATCATAACTCAGACCATCACAAGTCAATCATAACTCAGACCATCACAAGGCAATCATAACTCAGACCATCATAAGGCAATCATAACTCAGACCATCATAAGGCAATCATAACTCAGACTATCACAAGTCAATCATAACTCAGATCATCACAAGGCAATCATAACTCAGAACATCACAAGGCAATCATAACTCAGACCATCACAAGTCAATCATAACTCAGACCATCATAAGGCAATCATAACTCAGATCATCACAAGTCAATCATAACTCAGACCATCTCAAGTAAATCATAACTCAGACCATCATAAGGCATTCATAACTCAGACCATCATAAGGCAATCATAATTCAAACTATCACAAGTCAATCAAAAGTCAATCTAAGTCCGATCATCACAAAACAATCACAAGTCAGATCATAACTTGGATCATCACAAATCAACCACAAGTCAATCATAACTCGGATCATCACAAGTCGATCATAACTCCGACCAGAAAAAATCAATCAAAAGTCAATCTGAGTCTGATCATCACAAGTCAATTAAAAGCCAATCTAAGTCAGATCATCACAAGTCAATCATAACTCGGACCATCACAAGTCAATCAAAAGCCAATCTAAGTCAGATCATCACAAATCAACCACAAGTCAATCATAACTCGGATCATCACAAGTCGATCATAACTCCGACCAGAAAAAATCAATCAAAAGTCAATCTGAGTCTGATCATCACAAGTCAATCAAAAGCCAATCTAAGTCAGATCATCACAAGTCAATCATAACTCGGACCATCACAAGTCAATCAAAAGCCAACCAAAGTCAGATCATCACAAGTCAATCACAAGTCAATCACAAGTCAATCATAACTCAGATCATCATAAGTCAATCACAAGTCAATCATAACTCAGATCATTTCAAGTCAATCGCAAGTCAATCATAAGTCTGAACACAAGCCAGTCACAGAAGTGGGGTGCTCCTGCTTTAGAATTTTTAAATTTCATTATTCTCTTAAAGTTGCATTCCTGTGCTCTTCAACAAATTCAATTTTTTTTCTATTAAGAAATTTTCAACTTGTATGTTTTATTCCAACCCCCAAACCTCTCTTTTTTCTTTTCTGAACGTATGCAACCCTCTGAAAAGAAAGGGTTTTTTTGTTTTGGGCACAAACAGATCAGTTTTGTGAGCAGACTGGCTCCTGGTCCGTACGTTATCAATACTGATTGTGGGGCAGGAACCAGCCTACCCTGCCAGAACAGAATTATTGTCTGGCAGCCAATAATTCAAAATTGTAAAGTAATAATTCAATAACTGAACATGGGCTGATTTTTTTCTGTTGATGTCCTATTCAAAAGTGGATAACTATTGTATTACTAGTAAAATATCAATTAAGAAACAAAATCTATTTTTCCTGATGAAGCTCGAAAATAGCACGGAGAACGCAACTTCAATTATCCTTGACCTGTTTGGGGATTTTTTTTCCCCTATCTATCATTGCTTTCACTTTAAATTTTAACAAAGCAATTTGAAAAGTAATTGTTTCTGGTGCCACACGTAAAAGCAACGATGGACCACCTTTGCACACATGACATTTTTGATGCCTTATTGATTCAGGTAGAACTCTGGAAAAGGTTGAAGTGTTTGGAGAAGGAAATGAGTGACTTTCAGATTGAGGAAGATCGCCTCAACCTCTTGAAGGACCAGATTAGGGAAACAGAAGATGCATTCTACCAGTCCGCATCTCGGCTGCCAAACAGGACACATCCAGAAGCGGTAATTTTTAGCATACTGGAACGAACATCATTGGTTTCACAGTACTCAGATCAATTCAGAAATGTAAACGCCAGTAAGTTGACATGGGACTTGATGCCACAGTGTTCAAAGTCGGATTCTTGCAGATTTGAAAAAGTTCACCGGCATTGAAGTATTCAAGCCAGAGTCCATCCTTTGCAGCTATCCAAAAAGTAACTGGCGTAATTATTGTTGAAAAACATACTTGGTTGAAAGATAGTAAGGGGACTGAACTCCCTGTGAAATTATTCTTTCTGGCAAGCTGTCATTTTGAAGAAATCAACAAAAGCAGGCCTTTCCAACAGTGCTTCTTAAGATGCACCGTAGGAAATTCAAATTAGAAGCTCGTTTTGTTTTTCAGCGAAGTGCGCGCAAGCATTAGCACGACGCACACGCGCGCGCAGTTGCTATAATTCGTCGGATCAGTGCGCGACATCGTGAAGCTGCAATTGGCTCAGTGAGAACGTGTCTCGGACGCTAAATTCAGGCCCAATTCAAAACATGATTCAGCAACTTTTGATTGGAAATCGAGATCCTAGAATGTTGTATTTCTCGAAATATGCAGCTGAAGCTGAGCTGGAACTTCATCAGGTTAGTTGTTCAGCACCCTTCTTTAGATCTTGAGCACTTTTGTTGCTTCAAACGAACAAAATGCACAAATTACAAATGATGGACTATGCCTTTAACCCTTTAGCAGCGGTACTACATAGTATAGTACTACACTGTGTTTATTTACTAAAGAGCTTGGGCAGTTTCTGGCACTACAGGGAGTAATTCGCAGGGGGTTTAGGGTGGTATGAGCTACGTGCACAAGTACCCCCTCAACAGTGAGAAAGGAAGAGTTTGGGGAGACCACTGGGAGAGACATTGGAATGATTGCTGGCGACGCATGACGCTCACGCAAATAGTATACAAATATTGAATGCTTTATCTCGTGGTGTAGTAAAACTAGCCTCCCGAGGTGATCCATGGACATGCTCCATGGATCAACGAGGGAGGCTAGTTTTACTTCACCACGAGATAAAGCATTCAATATTTGTTTTATAACACTTCACCCACAGATTCTGCTTGGTTTTAATATTTTAGATTATTTAAATCTGAACACAGTTGAAATAAACTTCAATTTCAATACAAATTCGGTGGAAAATGTATTTCTCTCTTCCAAACTACCCCTTCACGTAATGTTTGAACCCAACTCTGCGGAGCGCTCTCTTTGGAACAATACGCGCTACGTGCAACGCGCATACCAGCATGCATAATTTGCACACAAATACCGCGCCGTGGATATAGTACTTTGGTTGCTAATGGTATAGTACTTTGGTTGCTACGGGTATAGCACTTTGGGCCGTGCACAAATAGACAGCAAAAATAGAAAGTATCATGTGACTCGCTCTCGGCCAATCAAGACACAGAATCTGTGGGTGAGGTGTTATAGAAGAAGCTGTGGCTTAATCAAATTCAGAATAAAATATGCCACGCGTAATTAACTTCACACTATACGCTCTCAAAACAGTACGCTCATGCGATGTGTGCTGTCCACAGGGTTGTTGAAAGAAGTAAAAAGCGCCCTCTCTTGTTGGCGCATGGAGCCCATATATTGATTAATAAGTGATGATGCCAAACTGAGTGATATCAAAATGAAGGGCACACTGTGATCTTCCTACTTCAATTGAAAAACAACAAAAAATGTCCTTACGACTCATTTTGTGCGAACAGCAATTGAAAGGCAGCTTGCAGTATATGTTATTTTCACGGAGGTGTTCTCTGATTAGCCCAAATATAAATACGTCATAATGCCCACGCCGGTTTTCTTTTATTAAATGCTAGTTTGCAGGAGGTTGCCTTTGATTCCCCCCGCAAATTAGTGTTTAACAAAAGAAAGCCAACGCAGCCAATATGACGTAATTATATATGAGCCAATCAGAGAAAGCCTCCGTGAAAATAACGTTTACCAAAGAAAACCGGCGCCGGCCAAATATCCACGGCCTAATTGAAATACTGCAAATCGAAAAAATCATTTCAAAGGTGTACTGATATTTTCTTACTCTGCTACAGCCCTGGGGTGAGGAAGATGAACCTCAATTGGTCCTGCTGGTTGGTGAGAAACCGAAGTTTACTTTCTCAATCAGGAGTCACTATGAGTTGGGAGAACATCTAGATATCATCAGAATCAAGTACGTTCTTACCACAAAGTATCCTGACTTTCCAAAAGATCTAGAGTTTGCCAGATTTAATTTTTTTCTTTATATTGAACAGGATATAGTATACAAATATTAACTGCTTCGAGTGGTGTAGTAAAACTAGCTCCATGGATCACTGAGGGAGGCTAATTTTACTACACCACGAGATAAAGCAGTCAATATTTTTTTTATAACACCTCTCCCACAGATTCTGATTGATTTTAAGCGATAACTGATTAATTTAATCTGAATACAATTAAAATTTACCTCTATTTGAATACAAAATTGGTTGAAATTCACTTGCACTTTTCCAAACTACCCCTTAAAGAAATGCTTGAACCCGCAACGCACACACCGTATGCATTTGCACACAGTGCGTATAGTTCTTTGGTTGCTAATGGTATAGTACTTTGGTTGCTATGGGTATAGTACTTTTGGCCATGCACAGCAAGATAACAAAAATAGCGAATGCCATGTGACTCGCTCTCGTCCAATCAAGACACACAATCTGTGGGTGAGGTGTTATAATAGGATATATAGCACCTGCAACAGCAGCTTGTTCTCTGATCAATCAAGTTTGGTCATCTGTCAATAGAAATTTAAGACAGTGTTAAAAAGTTCATAGTTGCTGAAATTTGGAAGTCAGAAACAGGTGAACATGTTGTTAGACTAGTACTAGCATTAAACTTGGAGGCATGGGCAGCAAGCTTTGTAATATGCCAACAAGCCAACATAGTTCTAGAACTTTCATTTGCGCATTTAGGGGCAAGTTCGCACAAGAACTATTGTTGACCATTGCTTAACCGTAGTTCGATTAAAGTTATCCCGAACTCTGTCTAGTCGACAGTGGTTGACTACGCTAGTCAACTATTTGGAACCAACCTACTGGGACTTCAATTTTGTTTGGCCAATGAATTCCAAATGTGAGTATTTTAAGTACTAAATGTGCCAACATTTCTTGGCCGAATTTTCCCATTAAAGGAATTTTGGAAAGTGATAATTACCGGTAGATATTTTGAGAGGAAAATAAGGGATAGGATGTTTCAGGCCCCCTTAAAGTTAAAGATTACTGCCAAAACTGGTAGAGTTGGTAATGATGATAATTTCCTATTAAGAGGATTGTGCATTAGTCTAAGAGTCTAAGAGTTCCGTGTAGTAGAACCAGATATGTGTACAGAGCATCTGGTATTTATAAAAAACAAAACAATGGTAGATTTTCTTACATTGAATAATTGTTCTTCAACAGTACATCATTTGTTTTTTTGATGACAGGAATCTGGGTCATGTCACAGGTCACAGGTCATATTATTTGAAAGGTGCCGGAGCCATGTTGGAGCACGCCCTCATTCGCTTCACGGTGGACAGGCTTCTAGGCAGAGGCTTCAGGGCTGTGACTGTCCCGGACCTTGTGCAGCCAATCGTCTTTGTAAGTTTAAAATTTTAAATAATCTGAAGAACATTATTTTGAATTTTTGATTCTGAAGTACCTATAGAATTGGAGATTTGTACTTATATTGCCCATGCAACCCCAACAATGGTTTTGGAATGATGATTGCACCTTCCTTAATATGTACACTGAGCTCTAAAAGACCAGATTTTAATTTTATTATCATTTGTTTTCCCTTTATTAACCACTGAAGGAGAAAATTGTCGACAGCTCATAAATTATTAGTTATTAACAATAAATGTAAGAAAAATCTTTTAAAAATACATATAAATTTACCAAAAATTGTATAAAGGAACAAAAAAATAAAGATATCTCAGAAATACATTACATACCCCTATTCACACCTCCCTCCCCACCAAAACAAGGTTTCAATGCCAACACTGTCATAACTGATATGGCAAGTTACAGTTCATGATATGAAGTTGCCGATTCATGAAGTATTGAAATGTAAATTTCTCGGTACGATCCGTCAAGATAGTACAGTCTGCTAACTCTGTAATTTTGTGGACTTATTTTTGCTTTTGTATTTTCCAGGAAGGATGTGGAATGCGCACCAAGGGTCTGCACACCCAGGTCTACCAATTGGATCGTAGGAAACACGACAGAAACCTGTGTCTGTCTGGCACGGCTGAAGTCGGTCTAGCAGGTAGTCATCCATCTGTTTTTATAATTGAGTCTGATTGTGACTGTATGCGCAGGCTTTTATCACTGATAAACTGACTGGATAGCTATCCCTATTACACCCGTACATATGCTCAGGGGCCAATTTTACGGCGCTGCTAAGCACAAAATTTGCTTAGCACACAAAAACTCTGGCTCATAAAAGCAGGTTATCAGCCAAAACTCCACATGATGTATATTGCTTGTGACTAATATTCAGCTGTTGTTTGCTTAGCATGAAAATCACATGGAGTTTTGGCTGATAACCTGCTTTTATAAGCCAGACTTTTTTTGTGGTAAGCAAATTTTTGTGCTTAGCAGCGCCGTGAAATGGGGCCCTGGTCGCTTATTGACCAGTTTGCCCTCTGTATTCCAAAAATGGCAGCCGATACACGAACGTTCTGTGCGTACCTTCTGCTCTCGCTTTATCAAGATTTGGACGCAGTTTCAGAATGAACAAGTTTCCACTGTAATGATATCAGCAAATGCCGTCAATAGTGAACTGAGACGTTCAAAAAGTACACCAAGACATTTAAAATACTGTGAGGCATGGCGGAAAAAGCAGGGGCGTAAATCCCGGGGGGATGGGGATATATATCCCCCATTTTTTGACCTGGGGGATGGGCTATTGAATCATCCCCCCCCCCCACACACACACTTTTTCGTGATGCGAAAAAAAAATGCAGATTTCGAGGTTTTTTTCAAACATCCCAACAATCAAAATGTATTTAATAGCACTGAAAAGTGGAGAAACACAGTACAAAAGCTTTTAAAATGCGGCATTTTTATGTAAGCGTGAGCATACATATTGATATACGTCTATATCCTGAAGAGCGCCCCCTAGGGTAATGTGGTGTCCAGTCCCAGCCCCCCCCCCCCCCCCCCCCCCCCCCCCCCCCCCCCCCCCCCCCCCCCCCGCTTTTCGAATGTCCATGGCCAGGCAAATTTTGGCTTTTGGTCATCCCCCATCCCCCCTACTCGCCGGCACAGATTTACGCCACTGGGAAAAAGGGTGAATGACGATGTTGCAATTACGTGAATCACAACGTTCCAGAACAGATCTAAAACTGCAACTTGTCCTTTTACGAACACCAATGCATCTCCAAATATAGCTTCAAATTACTTCATTCTGTACCCGGCATCCTTCTATCATTCTCAACCAATCAGAGATCATATTACAAAAACACCAGCCAATCAGAGACGTGCTTTAAAACTTGTTCGGCATTGTCGCCATCGTCGTTTTTTAGTCATATGGTTTGTCGTCATCGTCGTGTTTTACCCCGTGATTTCCCTCATAAATCAAAACCCTGCCCTCTTTCCACAAAATTAATCCTGTTGATATTCAACATGGTATCACTGCCAGCTGCCTAGACGAGTCAGAAAACATAAACAGTGGCATTTCGCTTTTTTTGTTGTTGTGTTTACTAACCTGGTCTTGTGTGTTATTCGTCAGGCTACTTCATGGACAGGGTGCTTGACGTTGAGGACTTACCACAGAAGGTGTTTGCAGTCAGTCAGTGCTTCAGGGCGGAGACCACTCACAGTGCTGAGGCAAAGGGGCTGTACAGGGTCCATCAGTTCACCAAGGTCCGAACCTCAAGACATATTTTTTGAATTGAAACCAACCTGAAAATGGCTAGCTTTAACTTAGACTAATCACAACTTGGACCAACTAAGAACAAAACTGATAAGCACATTTTGTACTTTAATCATTATTGTACAGTAATTAAAAGTTTGTATTCTATTGCTTGCGCTGTGCTTCTTAAAACAATAAATAAAACATTTTTTTGTCTGAACCTCAAGTAATTTTTAAAAGATGATTTCGAGGTTTGACAAGATGCTCTGTCCGTCGTAAGCAGTTTTCCCACCATCAGAAAAGACTCCTAACAATGGGCACATCACACTATCTGAAACAATAATTTTCTGCGAGTTCTTTTCAGAATCACCCAAAATCGCAAATGTAACTTTTTAAAAGCCAATTCTAAGTGGTTCAGCTTCAATGCATACCATGTTAAGATTATGAAAAGCACATTTCCACGGACTGAAATTGTGTTTTTACATTTTTGTTCTTTTCCCCACCAGGTTGAGATGTTCTGTGTCACCACTGATGATCAGAGTGAGTGCATCTTTGATGAGCTGGTTGCAATCCAAAAAGATCTCTTCGCCGAACTTGGCCTTCACTTCCAGTGAGTGTTTCTGACCAAAATTCTTTTTTATTACTGCCGACCCTGTCTGGAAACCCCCACAAACTTTTTTAAAAAATGCAAAAAAATATAAAAATATATGAATACGAAATTCAGGCAATCGGGCTCTGTCTTATTTGAAAAGCTATGGAAGTTCATATCCAATTTGCGTGAAGCACTGCATATAGCAACCAATGCAATCCCAGAAGATGCTAGGGTGTTGCCTCTCATCAAAGCAGGGGTCTGTGGTTTACTTTTACTGTTATGTCATGGCTGCCACTACATCCAAAACATTAGTAATGCTGCAGATATAATGTAAGTCAACTAATTCTTGTCCAAGATGACTATATTATTCTGTTCAGTGAAATCAACTCATGATAATCTCAGTCCAATAAAACAAAACAAAGACAGCATACATTTAGCCATCCATGCTGCTGTAACTGCAATTTCTTTCTTCAGATATATATATACAAGTTTGCCGACCGACCAACCCTACTTCAGAGGCCAAACAAAAATATGAGAATCATACTAGAAATAAAACGAGATGCCCGTACTTTTCATGGTTTCTTCCTTATACAGATGTTGACATTTTTCTGTTTATTTATTATCAATCTTTGCCAGGGTTTTAGACATGCCATCCCATGATCTGGGAGCACCCGCCTTCCGAAAATACGACATAGAAGCATGGATGCCTGCTAGACACGGCTACGGGGAGGTAAGAATGAATGCAACAAACTGGACCAAAGGCTGGAGGGGAAATGTTTTAATTGAGGGCTAATTTCAAAATTTTCAGTTGAGAAAAAAATCTGTCAAGTGTTTTTGGTTGTTTAACGACCGTTGGTAGGACTTCAACATAGAACGGTCTAGAACTCGGTTCTAGACTTAATACTTTTTGACAATAATATTAAAGGAAGAGTAGATCATTTTGCTGCTATCCATAAAGTAACCGACAAAATTATTGTTGAAAATCTTATTTGCTTTAAAGAAAGTAATGACACTAAACTCCCTGTGAAAACTGAAATTATTCTCTCTAGCGTGCTGTCATTTTAAGTTGAAGAAAACAAAAAAATAGGCCATTTCCAAAGGTGCGTCAAGTGATTGATTATTAGAGGATTTTGAAGGATCAAAGGATCAAGTTCAAGAAATAACAGATGATTTCAGACGATTAGGGCTGACTCTAATTTTTACGTGGTGGCAATATGAGGATTTTCTAGGATTGCGAATGGTTCCTAGCCAAACGGTCCTAGGCAGTTAGGGTTAACTGGTGGTAGTAAGATATCATATCCAACCGACTTCTTTCACCATGACTTTTTCCGTCAAGGTTTTCTTTTTTCTGATGCTCCCCTGCAGATATCCAGCGCGTCCAACTGCACCGACTACCAGAGCCGAAGGCTGAGGATCAAGTACAGATCCAAGGAGGGTGATCTCAGACACGCATACACGGTAATTCGGTTTCGTCATACATTTGCCTTTGAACACTCGCTCCGCAACATTACAGCTCATCTTATCAAAGATTCACATCATTATTTCATATCATCTTCAAAATTGTGTAGTTTGTAATATTTGAATATGTGATCGGTTATTGAATATTAAAATACTTTTTAACAGTACTCTAAAATAAACCGCTTTGTGTAAGGAGTATTCTGAAAATTATCCATTTGGTAGGCAGTACAGGACAGAGCCCTTTTCGGTACGGAATTGTGTTTGTCATTTTTTACTTGTTGAATACTTTGTGAAAACCCACCTTCATTAGTGGTAGTTCCATATGAAGAAAGTATTGAAGTGGTTTTAAAAAGCAATGTTCTGCAGAACTGTAAGTTCAGTTGAATTGCTTTGTTCACCAAATATCCTCCATCCAATAATATTGGATATTTGAATATTCAATTGAATGGAATTTCAAATATTTGAGTATTGCATTTTTTAAATTGTCTCAGCCCTTGTAATTTGTAAGCTTTTTGTTTAAATGTTGTCGTATTTTCCCTTCTGCTGTGTTTCCAGTTGAATGGTACGGCCTGTGCAGTACCCCGTGTCCTTCTCACGCTGTTAGAATGTAATCAAGAGAGGGATGGAAGTGTCACCATCCCAAACGCGCTGCAGCTGTACATGAACGGGAAAACCGTCATCACCAAACCGTCAAGTGGACTCTTACATCACACGAGACTCTGACATCTTTCGATGGATCACCACCAAAATAACAAATAAACAGGCAGAAAATTCTACAGAAAATTCTACAGACACCATAGATGGCAACGAGGCTTACTCATGTCGTGGGACAAATCTCAAGATTTGCATGCCTATGGACAATAGATGATGCTCTTTTATCACTTTCGAGAGCCCAGAGGGACACACACCACATACACGTACTGTTCATGCACATATGGTGCCAAGTACCAACAACTTGTTTTGTTCTGAAAGTGCAGAAACCCGTAGCATCCTTGTGTGAGCATCAGGTGTCGTCAGCTGTGCATTAAAATGTTTTCTTCCTCCAACTCTACCTTTCGTAACCATTGAGGAAGGACTTGTGCACGTTGCAAAATACGTTGCAAAATACACAGTCCACGTTGCAAAATACACAGGACCACTTTATCTTGATGTGCAAAAAAAATCATAGTTTTTGCCACATTGGTGCTGAGCATGACATGAAGTATCTGTCATATCTCTTTCTTGTTTTTAATTGTATAAGGGGTAGTTGCACGTGGAGTCCATACCAACTTCATTCTGTGAATGTTTTTCATACTTCTTTTGGTTTTTAGCAGCAGGATAGCCGCTCAACAAATCATCCTGCGTCTCTGTTAGTCCGTTAGTTAGTAACAAATGCTGACACTGTCTATTGCTCCTACATATTTTGACCGATTTCAACCAAACTTTGTCAAAAGTATCAGTAGCCCAGCCCCAACATGTCACATGACCAAACTGGGGTCAAAATCCTGATTATTCTAGTCAAAACACTACTCCTTCCAGAAAGTACATGGCACAGTCATGTGACTCGTACATGAACACAAATTGTTGGCCCGTAGCTTCCGCGATCCAGCTTTTTTATTTCAGATTTGGTGCAAACATTTTGCGTAGAAAAAAAAAGAGCGAAACCCAAAACTGGTGGTTGTTTTGTTTATTCGGTTTCATTTTAGGAATAATAATTCCCTTCATGAGACTTGTTCTGGTTGATAAAAATAACAGTGTGGGTCACACTGTAAGATAAAGAATTGGGTTATAATACTTTTTTAAAAATAATTAAAGGAGTTCAGTAAGTTCACACAAATGCAGTAAAACAATTTCAAAAAAAGGTTTTTGGTGCTTCATTCTATTGTATTTAATGCACTGTACCCTTATAACTTTTAACTCTCTTCATTTAGGATTTTGTTCACATGATCATTGGTAAGAATTGGACACGATTTTGAAAAATGAGATCTATAATAATAATAATAGTAATGTCCATACTCATCAAACAGATAGTAATTCATAGACAGCTTGGCTTGGGGGGGGGGTGCAAATTTTATGGAAAATTACTGGTCCAGAGATGTTCGCAAACACCGAAGGGCCGGTATTTCTGTACTTTATCCTCAAAACAACCAAGTTGTTAATTTTCATTACATCTCGCACATATTTACAGATCATAAAATTGTCCCTTGTGCATCGCAGAGTTGGAAACAAGGCGCATAACATATTTGTCAGACGTATCTTCAAAAGATCTACTGACTGGAGAAATACTGACCAATGGCAGAGGTGCCTTGCCTAATAAATATGCATGAGATGTTATAATGTAAATTATTCTACTTTAAGAGGCAAACAATATTTCAGTTTTCTTTAAAGATGTTAGTCTGCTTAATGTAATGGTCAGAAAATAAAAACATCTGTTAAAAATTGCAAAATATTTATGTAATATTGGATGGCTTTGAGAAGGAACAAGGATATGTTGCACGGGCTACAACATTATAAATCAAACACTCAATATCTGGCTGTGGTCCATGGTCATGCTTTTACATGCCTGCGGCTCGCCCACGTTGTAGCCAATTCAGCAATTCAGCTTCTCATCTGCGTGTTAGGTTGATTATCCTCCCAAATTCTTATTATTAATTATTATATTGCAGGAGTAGTAGACGAGTGCACTATATTCTTGTATCCCCCCGAAAAAAAGCCATGCAATATTGTTATTATTTATTTATATCAGGCTGACTTGATCGACAGGAAATACATTTCATGACAATGTCTATATTTCTCAAATTTATGTATAACACTGTGTGCTCGGTGTGTTACCTCCCGATTGAAAGATAGAATAAAATTGTTAAAATCCCCAGATGAAGACAATATCAAAAATAATATTGCCGTCATCCAGGTAGTTCTTACGAAAGCATACAAAACACTGATTTAATTTACCACTGGAAGCCTGATATAAATAATGATACTTGATAATGGACTGGCAACATTGTGGCAAAGAGTAAATATTAAAACCAAATATACAATAGAAATCAAAAATATGCTTTCCATTTCAATTTCTAGTACTAGTAATAGCTATCTTTCAACCTCTAAGTTACCATTCGACATGGTCACTTAGGCCCCCCCCCCAAAAAAAAATAGTCGGTCTCTGGTCAGACCGAAGTTCCGGAATTAAAATCGACGCGCACGCTGACCAGAGACCGAGTATTTTTTTTTTTTTTTTGGCCTTACATGAGTTGATGTACCTTCCTCGCATGTATTCCATATTTTAAAATTTAGTTTCAAATAATTCTAAAATTCAAGTTTGGTTATTTTCAGTACACCCTTCGACTGAAAAACTGCGCTAGCTAAAGTTTTATCACATCATTGCAAATTTGAAAATGCAATCATTACTGTTTTCTCAAAAAGTACAGTACTTCAGCCAAACTCTTTTCATTATTCTTTGTCCAAAATATAACTGCACATTCCAAAAATCTTCTGAGGTGATTTTTTGATGTTTTTTCCCCAAAAAAACTACACCTAAACTAGTGTAAAAGGGCTCAAGTAATAATGTTTCAAAAATCAATGCATTACATACAGACTAATCTTGAAATGACAATCTGACATTACTGGTGCCATGCTACACACACTCTTCATAAGTAGGATAGACCTATCCTACAGCCATCTTTAAACTTAAAATTTTAGAGCGCTCTTCAAGATGGCTGCCAAGCAAATGTGTATACATCGGTCCGAGTAGCTAGAGTGCATGTGTGTGGCCTGTATGCAAACTTGGCCCAACTTCAAGTACTGAGTAAGTTATTTGAAACCTGAGTAGGTACCGGTACTTCAATTCCAGGCAAGTACATAGAACACAAATTTTAGTGCCGCTACAAGTGCAACAATAAGACAAGCAATATTTTGACCAAACTACCACAATCTAATACATTTGCGTACTTGGCGTCATAAACTTGAAATTATCCCAGTACACAGGTCTCGATCAACCCAAGGTATAACATTGCGATCCTGCTGTGAAAATGTAAAGAAAGTGAACTGAAGACAACCATTCGCTTACAACACTGAAGACAACAAGTCGCTTACAACACATCACCTAAAACAGATTAATAAGTCACTTCCACATAGCACTGTGACCAATGAAAAACTCATCATAATGGGCTTTTTAAACTCGCCCTAAAAAGTCTATCGGCCTATTAAAATCTGATATTGAAGCAAGTGACTATTGTGGAAGGCTAAAACACACTATTGAAAATTACGTCCCCAACACCCACTACAAAAATCATCGAAAAGTCACATCTTTACGAGGACTTTGCTACAAGTAAGACAATAACCCTAAACCACAGAACTCTTCAAATACTTCACAAATTACAGTAAGAATTACCACTACATTCCCCCAAAATGTACTACTAACTAAAAAATAATTGAAATTGAACATTGGTGATTTTGTAGCAAGGACTACAGTACAAAGATAGTGTCAAAGGGCCGCTTCATGTCTTGCAAAGGAAAACATAATTTGTGCCAATGTCTACGCGCTCCCGAGCTGAACCAAAGTTATTGAATATCCCATTTTGATGTGCACTTTTTCAAACAGCTGCTGACCAAAAAACCCACAAAAATTCTGGAAACAATTCATACTAAAATAGCTGTGAAACTTAGCTTCCACCTCAGGAGTGAGATTTAGTGTCAAGATTTTTTTCTTGTTTCCAGGACTTTTTTTTGTATCTGGATTTTTTGGTCTCCGGATTTTTAAAGAACTCCCTTTTGGGATCCGGAATTCCTAAGGTTGTACAGTAAAGGTGTTTTTATCTTTTAAAGTTGATATTGAGCAAAAGAAATGGCTATTTTATTAGGTGCCTTTAGGTAAATTCATGTGTACCATACATGTATACCAAAGACCCTACGTTACTCTGGGACCCTCAGCTATCCTCAAACCGTCTGCCGACTATCTCATGGATTTCTAGTTTCCTCCCAATGTCCCCCCTGAGGTGACATCACATCAGTGCTCATGGAAACGAATATTTGCTTAAAACATAACCACAAAAGTATGAAACAAGGTCACAAAACACTCATAAAACTAAGACATTGAAAGTGATGGTAAACTGGACAACTACACAAGTGCATAAATGGATTCAAGAGAAGAAAAACAAAGTTTCAATGCGTTGGCATCCCTTAACACACTAACAATTTGCCAGGATCTAAGCTAGAGTTCAGTGTGGCGGTGTTCATCGGAGACAAACTGCCGTCCACGCCCCCCGTCTTCATCATGCTCCTCCTCGTCATCAAGCGCCTCCCCTGCTGCCTCTGTCACATGACGATGGTCCGTCGCTAGCCTGCCCATCCTCGGGGCATTGTTGTCTTTGTTCTTGCTCTCTTCGATAAACGCCAGGTAGTCGTAGGGGCTGACCTGAGGCTCAAACTTGCCCTCTCTCAAACCTGGTGGGGATGGGGAAGGGAATAAATGTTGTGCCACTGTCGTGCCAAACTTAACTGAAATGAGTGCTGCAATATAGCTCGTCTACAGCACGGCAGTTGCTCTAAGTTAGTCAAACCTTAATGCATTTGGAGGAATGGGCCAGGTTAAAGAGGTTCAAGCAGTTCAGGGCCGTCAAAATATTCGCGCCAATTTCACAGGGTATTGTGAGCATGCACATTCCTAAAATGTTTGCCCTGACTTCGACTTGAATTGAGTTCGGCACAGCAATGGCACGGCCTTTAAGAGTACAGTGCCATGTGACTGCCATTTGGAATGACGATAGCACGGCAGCCCTATCGAGCCAAAGGATGGTGCCGTGCCGAATTCAATTCGCCAAGCCAAATGGTTCTAAATGCCGTGCTATCTCCATGCCGAATTTAAACCAGTCAAATTAATTGAGTTCGGCATGGCAGTTGCAAGACGTCTAGAACGGGCCTAACATTCACAGTAGAAGTAATTCGAATGAGGAAAGAATTTCCATATTGCTAGAAAAACAGGAGTGTAGAAAAGGAATCTATTTTTTAAATTAATTTAATTCATTCAAGAAGGATACCAACCTGAGCAGGAGGTTTCGCCCTTCAGCACAATGACGACCCAGTCAGTCATAGCCGAAGTCTTGAGGCTGTAGTCGGCTGGATAGTTGCACACACGGCTGGTAGCATGGTCCACAAAGACCACACAAGGATGCAACGGCTGCCGCTTGATGCCGTAGTCCTTAAGGATTTCCGAGCCGATACAGGAAGGCTGAGATCTGAACCGGAGATATTTTTTCACAAAAACGGTTACTTCTTTTTTATCAATGGGCCGTATTCACAAGTTGGCCATTTTTGTCGAGTTCCCTGCATGTATTTCATTAATTGTTAACTGTTGAATGGGATGGCGCCAGACTTTTTATGCAGGCACAATGCAGCCTTATTTTACTGTCATTTTTTTAAAATATGGCTTTAAACATTAGGGAATGTTTAATTACAAATTTAAAATCATTTATTGAGGCAGACTGGAATTGATTATAAAATTAAGTTGCTTTCATTTCTCTTCGCAAGTTAAAAAAATTAAGATTTTACCTAACTTTCCATTCAATATGGCCGACTCGTGAATAAGGCCCATTTGGAGTCTATGGGCTCTGCACATGGACTGTAAATAGTAATGCATCTCTTGATCATGAAAGTCATTGAAGGAAACACCACCTGCACAGTTTACACATGTGGAAAGATACACCCTTGGCTTGGTTGACGCTGCACAGAATTATCCACTCTAGGAACAACCGATGGAAATTCCAGCGGGCAGAGAGTGGCCACAATCTCATGCGAAGGTTTTTTTGGCCATATATGGCAAAAAAGGGGAGGGGTCTTGTAACAATATACAGTAGAACGTCGCTCTAATGAACATCGCTGGATCCACAAAAATTGTTTGTAATAGCGATCGTTCGGTATAGCGATTTTAAGCTGCTGGTGCTCCGGTACTCACTTTTCAATAAATAGTGCCCTTCAGAACTTCACCCTGCACGCCCTGGTAGTCACCGAAAGATGACTTTGAACATGTGCAGACTACTGAATTATGTAATCACACAGTTTTTTAGCTTTACTACCTACAGCAATGGGTGGCTTTCTCCTTCTATTCCTTGGGGAAAGCCACTTGTCACTCTTCTGTTGACATTTTTCAACAACAATGTTCGGTACATTTTGTACACAAAAATTGAGGGCCAAGGACGATGTTCGGTATAGCCGAATGTTTGGTACAGCAGTGTTCTGTATAGCGATGTTCCACTGTATTGCCATATATACATGTACATGTATGGCAAAATGGGGAGGGGTTTTGCAACAATTTATTGACTTGTTTGTGCAGAAGTACCGGTATAGAAATCCCTTCATAATATTTTTCAGCAGGCAGAGATTGTTCCAGTCAACACTCAAATCTCCTCAGGGGCCACACCCTGGAACCAACTCTCTGTGTAAAAATGACAGCCAGCCCTTTGAAAACTACTCATTGCCATATATGTCAAAAGGGGGAGGGGCCTCGTACTATCACATCTATTCATTCATCCCAACTGCAAGTCTGGCTTCCAAGACCCACTTACACATCTATCCACAGTATGCTGAGCTCCGATTCAAACGTCTTCTCTCGGGCCAGACTAGCCAGCGATGCCTCTGCTTCCCTGGACTGTTTGTCCGTGTCCTTGAAGAGTATGAGGAAAGGCTTGCCCTTGGCAAAGTGGAGCGGAAGGGTGCTTGGCGTCAGCTCAGGCTGGTCAGAATGAGAAATCAAGACAGAAGATTTAGTGACTTGAATAGGACAGGAGAAACCCAGCAAACTCGGTTGTCGGTTGGTAAAGATATCTGCACTAGTAAACAGGACGTTGTGGGCTCAGTACCATTTCAGTACCACCAGATCAAGCTTGCAAACTTTTTATTCCTCAAAAGCTTTCATACAACACTGAAAAAGTGTATAAAATGTATTATTAAGAATGACATGGGTCAATTCATAAATGTGGGCTCCACAAGTGTGACCTGACCTGTGTAATTTGCTATACAAATATAATTAAATTTGACTTCAAAACTGTTTTTTATTTGTTTGGCAGGTCTTGCGCTTTGCATAATCACTCTTGGAGATAGAAGGTATTAAAAGAATGTGTCATGAATTTTCAAAATCTTATATCAGATGTAACAGGGACATGAAAACAAATAGGCCCCAATTTTATGGAATGACCCAAATGTTAATTTTAAAAACAACATTTTGAACTACAGGGTGGTGCAAAAAGGAGGAAACCCACTTTTGACAGGAATTTTTACCTACTTACTTAACTTATTTGAACTGGTTCTTTTTTTATAATGTAGTGAAGTATAGCTCTTCAACCGCACATGGTGATAAAGTCTTTAAAAAATGGCAAGAAAAGTGTTATTATGCTAATTTGAGTACAAGTCACCAAAATCACTGTTGTCCACGTGTAAGTCTAGTGTAGTGGTTTTTGTCTGTAAAATGAAGCTTTGGAGCTCAGTCAAGCAGATAGAATAAAGCCGTCCGTGGACAAACAGGTTTGGCACATGAAATTTTTAAACTACCATATTTCAGAGACAAAATAATGCCTTTACAATCATTTTTTCGTCACTTATGGTTAAAGATCAATATTTTAATACCATTAAATTGACTTTTTGAAATATGCTCAACAAGAAGTTGAAAATTGCTGTCGTAAGTGGGTTTCCTTCCTTTTGCACCACCCTGTATAAAAGAAGTTTTAAGTGTACCAAAATAAAAATAAGAAATTCACTGTGCAAACAGAAACCTCTGATGTTAAGCCACCTCAAACACACCCAGACTTGTTTCACATACCTAGTGTGAACTTTCCTTTCTTTTCGTGTAGTTAAGGAACACCAGTGGAAAAACTCATTTTTCTCAAACTGTGAAAACTCTTACAACCCAATTTTTTTCAATGATTCCCTTTAGTGTTTCTCTTCATTCTGCTACAGATAAACCTAACCCAAAAATGCCTCTAAACCTGTTTTCCAGAAATGGGGAAACACTGTGTGGACGTGGGCAAGTCCACACTTCGTCGCTGCTACCTACATTATGTGGACGTCTTTTGTTCGGAAGTCCACACTGCATATGTAAGACAAGCTCACCAGCACCCAACACCTCGTTTTTGCAGCATTTTGATGTCTTCAGAGCTCTACAGCCCAGCAACTATCAAACTGAATTCACATTTGGCTTGATGACCCAATTTTGTTTGAATATTAAAATATGTTTAATTGGTTTACTGCCCATTGTTGGTTCTTGACGGATTTGGGAATTATCCTAGCAAAAAGGCAAGTTCAAATGTGTTTTGTTGAAATGTGTTTTGTTTTCAGGGTTTTTTTTATGGGGGGTAATGGGATTTACACTGAAAAGGTTTGCCACAACTTCATAAGTTTGTGTTCCTGTTCTAGGGTGAGCATATTCATTGCCAAATACAAATGAATTTATTAGCTCACACTTAAATAACACCCTCTTTGAGCAGATAACTCACATCAGGTCATCTTCTTCTTGGCTTATAATAAAACAGTTTGCGTAAAGAATTAATCTTGCCCATTCACCACTAAAGGTAGAGTTGCAGCCTGCACAAACTGGATCAGATCGCTGGCAGTGTAGTCTCCGCTGTACTTCACCGATGGCTGGTGGTGGTCCCCCCACTTGAATGCAGTCACTGTAGGCTTGGAGGCATCCACGTCAGAACTAACGACAAATCACACCACAAAGTTGGATCGGAGTGGGTAACTTAAGGCACTTTTAATTGGACCCGGGACCAACACAGAGATTTTGGGAACCACTTTCACTCTAGCATGAATCCAACACGGCCTCTACATGGGTCTGCTTTTACCCGGATAAGATCCAACCCTGGTCAGGACGAGGGTTAAGAGGCTCTACCCAGGTAGAAAATCCAAAATCTACAGCTGACCTGTGTACAACCTGAGCCCAATTTCATGGCACTGCTAAGCACATGAGTTTACGCTAACAGAGGCTCCGCGAATTTCATGGAGACCGTAAGCAGTAAGCACAGCAAAAGGCACGCTTACCATAAAGGGGAAAAATGCTTAACTAAGTGATGTAGCAATAGAAATCTCCATGCGCGTGTATCCGTTAGCACATCTACGCCGTGAAATAGTGCTTAAGGTTAGCACAATTTTCTGCTATAGTAAGCACAAATTTTTCTGCTAACTGTTAAGCAGCACCATGAAATTGGGCCCTGGTTAAGGGTGAACAGTATGCCTTGCCTGCCCGTGTTCGATGAGGCCCAGCTCTGCTTACATTGGGCCCGTGTTAATTTCGACATGCGAGACGGCAGCGTGAAATTTCATAAAGGCTCACCATGCTGAACCAAACAGACTGTTTTACATGATGGAATTTTTCTGCACCTGCACTAGTGAGCAGGTCATGGGTTTGAGTCCCAGCTAAGTAAGCTTGTGAATTTTTGTCTGCCAAATCCTAGGACAGCAATGAGTATGCAGAGCTTACTACATGTAACTGACAGTTGTGAAGAGTAAAACCCAACATTTCTATGTTTATAATTGACAGTTCCTCTAACTACTTTTCAACAAAAGACCCAACGCTCGAAGACTAAAAGGATCTTTTGTTCTGCCTTTGTGTGTCTGTCCTCTATCGTACAGTAAAGTTTCTCTACATACCTACATGTACACTAAAATTGGCTCCAGATTTGACAACAAATCAGTTGTAAAGTAGCCCAAGAACAAATATTCATCTAAATGTGGCACTGCTTAGGCGAAAGTTATTAGGTGGGCACGAACATCTGGGATTTTTTTTACAATGGCTTATTTAGCTCCCAGACCCATGTTCTTTAAAGTCAATGGTTCTTGAGTCTGGAGTGCTGAATGATAACAACGGATGAAAACGCACCTGTATAAAAAATCTTTTCATCCGCTCCGCTGATCATGATGTAATGCCCTAATGTGCTGCCCTATAGCATACTTACTTGTGTTCTGCACAGTCTTTTGGGCATACTGCCATCAAGTGCTGACCCTGAAGCATCTTGGCTGCTTGCTCATATGCGGACCGCTCTACAAATATAAAACACAGACAGACTTTCTCTCACACAATCTGGTAATCAATCCTTACAAAGTCGTTACATGTCAATCACAAGTCATCCAGTACACAGTCATTACTGTATTGCTACTTGACTTTAAACACTTGAAGAATTCATAAATACCTAAGACAGTTCACCCATTCTTATTGGTCGAGAGCCCGTCACACGGGCGGTTTTAAACTGCTGTATAAAAACACTGCTCAGTGTTTAAACAGCAATATTTATAACCAATTGTGAGCACCCGCACTCTGCGCAACATGTGCGCAGTATGCGCTGCACGCTCGCGGTTTGAGAGCCACTGATATAATCTCTATATGCGGAGAGGTAGAGCACACCGCACATGCCACGCGCACCAAAGGAAAGTCCCAAACATGGAAGTAAAATGGCAGAACAAAACTTGTTGGAAATTTGTCAACTTTTCGACTTGTGGTTTTTAACCAAAAAAGGTATTTATGAATGGGGCTAAAAGTGTGATGGAGTAATAAGTACACATGTGTAAAACCGGTAAGGAGCTTGGTCGTCGATAATAGCCCTGGCCTCTGGCTCGGGCCATTATTGGCGGCCAGGCTGCCAATTTTTTTTTCCCGAACGAAACCGGACAATATCAAACGAGGGCACTCTCTCTGCATTATGCATATTCATGATATGCCCAGGGCTTTAGAGAAGAGGTTACACAACAAGGAATAATGGTGTTTAAATCACCGACGATTGGCAGCTGATTCGTGGACTGGTTGGAAGTAGTCCTGACTTCTAATCAGGTGATCCGAGTTTGAAGCCCAGTGAGCGTTTTTCGCTTCTTCTCATTTTACCTTTTAAATAACTAAAGTGAGGAAGGAACATTTCTCACAAGACATAAAGCCTATCTTGGATTTGTGAATGTGTTGTGGAGAACAAGGCATTAGATATGCATGTAATGGACCAATCAGAAGATGGGAAACGGATGTCGTTTGGGAAAAAAAGATTCACAGCCTGGCCCCTAACCAGTTTTAAACCACACGTTGACAACTGCTCCATCACACTGTTATCCCCTCATTAAAAATGAGTTTAGTGTGCTTCTTTGTCATATGTACCTCCGGTGTTTGCATCTGGGAAGTATCCAGTCACCACGGCATTGAGAGTGGAAGCAGCCCAGTGCGGCAGCTCTCCCTTGCTGAAGGCTTGGCAATCGGAACAGGTCTCCAACACGAGGGGATTAGCAGTAGAGTACCTGGAATACCAGGAAAATCAAGTACAAACTGCAATCTCATCTGGGAGTATTTGCAGGAACACCACTTGGTTCTCAAAAGCTGAACCCTAACTCCCTAGCATGATTTACTAGGAACCATACCCATCCTGGCAAATTCCAACACCATATGGGAAACTGCACACACATATTTCTGACTTTGATTCTGGAGGTGTGCCAACCCAATGCAAAAGGCTGTCAGTTTAGGGGTACTGTACCCATCCTGACAGATTCCAACAAAACATGCCGTTGGGGTTTGATGAGTTGAGATGAATTCCCCGTGCAGTTCAACAAATTCAATTTTTTTTCTTTTAATAAATTTTCAACTTGTGTGTTTTACTCCAACCGAAAAACCTTTTTCCCCCCTTTTTTTGTCCGTCTGAACCCTCTGAATAAAAGGTTTTGTTTTTGGCACAAACAGATCAGCTCTGTGAGCAGGCTGGCTTCCGGTCCATTTTCGGTTACTGATTGTGGGGCGGGAACCAGCCTACCCCGCGAGAACGGAAACTACATGTATTGTCTGGCAGCCAATAATTCAAATTTGTAAAGTAGTCATTCAATAACTAAACACGGGTCAATTTTTTCGATCAATGTCTTATTCAAAAGTGAATAACTTTTGCACTGCTTGAAAAATAGCAATTTAGAATAGGAATCTTTTTTTCGGGATGAAACTCGAAAATAGCCCGGAAAAATGTAACTTTAATCTTAATTCTGGAGCATTTTTGCTAAAAATCTGCCTGCTTCTCCCCATAATCCTCAACTGTACTAGTAACTAATTTACGTCAAACTTCCTTTCTCAACTAAATTTAGCAGAGGAGAGATGAACATTTTGATGTTGAGTTTTGCCTTCATTGATTTTTTTTTTTACTTTGTAATTTATTTTTCAGTACTTACTTGCAAGAATAAATCGATAAGCTTGCTAGGCCTTTGAAAGGAGATTTTAACCAATGACCTTCTCTTAATATGTGGTACGTGCCATAATATCAGACTTGAATCGGCCATCAGACCCTAGAAAAATCCGATGTCGATTCTTAAGACATCGGCACTACATAGAAGGAGGTTGTGGGTTCGAGTTCCACCTAAGTAAATCTGCTATTTTTTTCTTGCAAACTCTTTGAGAGCACTGACTATGCTGGTAAAAAAAAATTACAACAGGGCAAAAATCATTATTACATGGCAAAAATCATTATCAAAAAGTCATTTTATTTTCTTGAAATACGAACAAAACCAATTTACTTACAGTCTGTATGACTTCAGGATGCCCTGATCGCTGAGCGATCCCTTGTAATCCGTCAGCCATTTTCCTTCTCTATACAGCTTGATGGTCGGGTAAATAGTCACGTTGTTGAGCTGGCAGACGTCGGGCCAGTTGTAGCACTCTACCTGGGCAAATGGACCAGTAGCGGTGGCTTGGATATCCGCCGGTAGATCGTTCTGTTGGATGGTAGTTGCAGCATCGGAGTAGGACTCTAGGAATGCCTTGCATCGAGGATCCCCTGCAGAAATGGGAAAGGATTTATACAAATGAAGAACAAGATAACAGATTATTATAAGATGGAATTTTGCGTCGGGTCGATATAAATCAAATTTATAGGTTTTGCCCTTCAACGACGTTTAAACTCTGTATACTCAGTGTGTTACCTCCCGAGTGAAAGTTGGAAAAAAAACAGTGTTTAAACGTCGGTGAAGGGCAAAACCTAATTTGATTTATCACCCCGATGCAAAATTCTATCTTATAATAGTTTATGCGGTACCCGCTGCTATGTACATCAGATTCAAACCAGCCAACCGATCCCGTTAGCTCGGTGGTCGAGTGGTAAGACATCTGCACTAGAAAGCAGGAGGTCTCGGGTTCGAGTCCCACCCGAGTGATTTTTTCCAACTTTCACTCGGGAGGTAACACACTGAGTATACAGTGTTTAAACGTCTGTGAAGGGCAAAACCTAATTTGAAGATAATAGATGACGAGAACAGTAGAAAAATTAGGGCATTTTTACTCCAGGGGTACCAACAGGGAAAGAATATTTTATCTTTTCCAAGTAAATTTCAGAAACGTTCCACCTGCACATCCCCCCCCCCCACTTTTTTTTTGGGGGGGGAACTATGGTTTTTAGCCTCTTCCCAATAAACTGACAGCCTATGGACATAATGTGTCCCCCATCCCCAATTTTTTAACTGATCTCCCACATGTGTAGTAATTCCCACTTTTTGTTTGGCTGGGGGGGGATGGGGTGTGTTGGGTAGTCTGAGTATTGGGGGGGGGGGGGATTGAGAGAATCATGAATTTGTTCCCACCCACCAACAATCTTTTGTATCATTTGCTAAAGAAACTGAAGGGGTAATATTAAACTGTAAATCGCTTTGATACCCAGTTTAAAAGCGCTATATAAATGCCTGTTATTATTATTAGTAGTAGGAGTAGAATTCCTACAAATGTACCATTAGGGAGACACATTATCGTAATTGTTTTGATAATAGGGAGACACCGGCTTTTAGGGAGACACACAACTGTCTCCCTAATGGCGCAGCCCCCATTTAGAGGCAAAACTTTACCGTCGTAATTAGGTTATATTTGTTGCTCGTGGTCTAATTAGTAAAAAATACCGAAATTCGTGGAAAAAAGACAAGGGAATATTGGGTTAGGGCACATTTAAGTTGGAAAAATTTTGTGCACAAGTCTATGGGAAAGTCTCCCAGATGACCCATTCGCGGTAATTATTATTATTATTAAAGAAATGGCCATGCTCTGCCTATATACCGCCCCTCCACTCCCAGAAACGTTCCTCTGTAACCGGAAAAGAGGCTATAACTTATTTAAAAATTACCTCATGTATTTTTTCAAAAAAAAGAAAGAAAAAAGGACAGATCACCATGGTAAATTAGTGAAGTTGATAGACTGAGATTATCTTTTAAGGTCTCAGGACAGCCTGTTTAAAAATGCTGGGCTCCTACTAGTTGGGGGTTTGTGCTCAAAATATGTGTTTACACCAAAGCTGGATGCACTTTACTCGCAAACAAGATTTACTGTGACATCCTGTCGCCACAAACATCCAAGTAATTGCTATAAAATACCGCTTTGCTGTTTACGCTGCCCTATTTTTCAAGTTGACATTTTTGTCCGATAACAGGGTCAAATCTGATCTATATTTGGATTTGAATACAAAACTGGATCCCTTGTTCACAGCCTTAGCTCTCTGAAGGTCAAAGAGATTTTGTTTGTACACGCCAAATAGTGCAGACTGGTTGAATAAACGGCTTCTATATAATTGTGGCCATTCATGCGCATGACAGATAACCGCACAGCAGCAAGGTTGTGCTTATTACTGCTTAGGAATACGTGTTTAATCAATGGTAAGCAATTTTATATCTTCCTTTTTTTTGTTACCAATATTTTTGTTACCATCAATCTCAACATGTATGTACGATGGTCTCGATAAAGTGAGAAAAGAATCCTCCTAATTTTCACAAATGCTGGGGAAAAATACAGGTTCTGCGGCAAGAGATTTGCAAATTGACGGTTGGGATTTCAATGCGTACATGTGCAAGTAACGTGAATATTTTGCAAATGGAGTATTCCAATGTTCTGCTGCCAACCTTCACATGTGTGTATAATTTGAATTACCAATCGCACAGTTGTCCCGAATAATTAGGACATTGCAGATCATTTTGTCTCCCTTTGAACAAGTAAAAGGCCACTAAATTGGATATTTCTTTGTCCTCATCTGATCTGGCTCTTTGTCCAAGTTTAACTTCCTCTGTTGGGGCGGATGTGATGAATAAACCACATGTGCAGTTCTGTGTTCAAAATTAGGGGTTGTTCTGGTTAACCTTCAAGCACCCATAAAATATAAGTAAATAGGTAAAACAAAAACAAACAAACAAACAAAATACATCTCCCACATTTAAAGTCTAGACATGAATACTTGAAGTCATGTTTTAGACAGACTTTTAAAACAGTGAAAGATTTACTGAAAATCAAGTATATCTGGGCAACACTCCTTTGTTGTGCTAAATTCTGCACTTAGATCAGTGCTGTTTATCAGTGCTTACAGTGCTATATCCCAACCTTGATTGTAAGCACATGAAATGGATGTATAAGCTTATGAACAGGCCCAATATTCAAGGCCCTAATATTCTTACTCAATTAAATATTTCAATTGTTACTACAGAGTTTTCTGCTGTAGTGGTGGAGAGTCTTTGGTATAGTAAGCGGGGCCATGAAATTGAGACCAAATTGTAACATGTTCTTAAAACGTGTGTGGCCTAGTGGTTAGGGTTCGTGACTCATGATCAGAGGGTCCGGGGTTCGAATCCAGCCGCTGGTCATATATTGTGTCCTTGGGCAAGGCACTTCACCCCCACTTGCCCCTCTCCAACCAGGAGTATAAATGGGTACCGGCATTAGCTGGGGGGTAACCTGCGATGGACTAGCATCCCATCCAGGGGGAGTAGAAATATTCTCAGTCGTTTCATGCGACTGAAACCGGAGATAAACGCCGGCCTGATGAGCCACATTGGCTCGGGACAGACTTTACTTTACTTCTTAACACGTAATGCATTTGACATGCCTGTTAGACAACAGGCATGTCAATGTAGCCAGAATTAAGGATCTGTGATCAACTTTATACATTCAAAATCTGAACTGTACATACTATGTTCACTGTTATAAAATACAACAAATGTGCAAAACAAAATATTTTTGTGCAAATTTTTTTTATTTCTGATGTTATACATTAAAGCTATAGTCCATCATTTGCAGCCATCCGAAAAGTAACTGGCATAATTATTGTTGAAAAACATACTTGGTTGGAAGATAGTAAGGGGACTAAACTCCCTGTGAAATTAAAGGGAATATACATCATTTGCTTTTGCTGTAATTTTCAGAAATGGATGGAATTGGGGGGTTGGAAATATATAGCAAATATAGTTACACTGACTTTTTTGAGGTTTTTGGTTCGAAAATGCTATAAAAACCAAGAAAAACGATCATTTTCCTGTAGTCTGGTTCCCTGACCCCATATAAGAAGAAACAGAGCAGTTTACATACATTGGGGAATTGTAAGGTCAGGGAACCAGTCTAGCTGGCTCGTACCCGTTCATAGGTTTGTAATCGATTGCAAACAAGTGCGATGGTCAATTGGGGCCAGTATTTGAAAAAAAAGCCAGTTGTTTCCAACGCTGATCGGCCGATCAGCGTTGGAAATTGATACAAAAATACCACTTTTCTTGAAAATGACAGTATACCAGGTGCCATGATTTTACAGGATGCTTTATACTGTCATTCACTAACAGTCCAGCAAGGTATTTCAAAATGATTTGGTAGTTTTATTTTTTGATGTTTGCAAATATTGTATTTTCCCTTTAATCTTTCTGGCAAGCTGTCATTTTGAAGTAATCACTTCAAAAGGAAAATTAGGAAAATTTAAATTAGTAGTTCGTTTTGTTATTAGGCGAAGCGCGTGCAAGCATTGGCATGACGCACACGCGCGTGCGGTTGCTATAATTCGTCGGATCAGTACAGCTGCAATCGGCTCAGTGAGAACGCATCTCAGATGCTGAATTCAGGCCCAATTCAAAACATGATTCAGCAACTTTTGATTTGAAATTGAGATCCTAGAATGCTGTTTTTCTCGGAATATACAGCTGAAGCTGAGCTGAAACTTCATCAGGTTAGTTGTTCAGTATCCTTCATTAGATTTTGAACAAATTTGTTGCTTCAAACGAACAAAATGCACAAATTACAAATGATGGACTATATCTTTAACAAATTTGCTTTGTTCAACGACAAAAAAAGACATGGTTGACTTCAATCAGTCAGACACATGTACATGTACATGTACAGATATAGCCGTTTGCTCATTTTCTTGCTACAATTAAAGGCTGGTTCATATTTGGTGCAAATAAACATTGCAAAAAGAAAATCTTGAGGATCAAATTTTTGAGGTTGAACAACTGCAAATATTTCGGGGCAATCACTTGCTACTGTGGTGTTTCACAGCGAGTTTTGAACTAGCCCTTTTCATACAGGTATCATAACAAGTCTTTCCATCTCAAAAAAAAGTTGACATTTTGGCTTTACATTTATATCCCACAGATTTCTTGGGTCTATGTAACAGACACTAGCATCATGGTATCCTGGTTTATTATCGGCGTAGCCGTGTTCGCCTTGTGGATCATTGTGCAATATTTCATGGACCAGGTTTATTTGGACACTGCTGGCAAATACGTGCTCATCACGGGCTGCGATAGCGGGTTCGGCAACCTCTTGACACGGACGTTGGGCAAGCACCGAGGCTGCTGCGTGATTGCTGCGTGCCTGACAGAGGGTGCTGCCACACAACTGAAACAGGAAATGGCAGTGGCTGGTCAGCCGGTCACAACCATTGTGCTTGACGTCACAAACACCCAGAGCATTAAACAGGCGTACAACGAGGTACGCGGGATCATTCCATCAGACCAAGGTATACAGATGTCAGAGACTTCAAATGAGATGGAATATGAGTGTTTACACACAAAGCAGATAAGGATATATGTGAGAAACGTACAAATGTTTACAAAAGGACCCAGAGTTGAGCAGTGCTGTAGTCAAGGTACCTGTGTCTCTAATGGACCACAAGCTGATCACCAGTATGGTCAGAAGTAATCAAGTCAATTGACAAGTCCAGTTACAGATAACAGGAGATGGAAAAAAGCAAAGGAAATATTTTATCACAGTTGTCATAGCTTGTGAGTTGGCTTGGTACTGGAATACCTGTGATTAACTTGTAATGACTTGTGATCAGCACCGTCGCCAGCTCCGGGCATTATCACAGTACAAACAAGGGGGCCACACCACAAGAAAAAACACACTTACATGTATGTATAATTTTTACGCTTATGATTTTTGCCAATGGGGGGGGGGGGGGCAGTATCTCATCAGGTGGTAATTTTCAGTTTTGCATTTGCGATTTTCGGGTTGGGTTGGGTCGGTTAAGCCATTTTCGAAAAACCAGCTAATAAACCGAAAATAAACTGAAAATAAACCGCAGAGTCACTGTGCCTGGTACGACCAAAATGGTTTGTGGTCTATCGATCAAGCACTGTCTATAACATGTAGGCCCACCAGTAGGTCACGTTATGAGTGCCTTACGGTGTGATTCAGTTACTGAGAAATGACAAATTTCACACGACGCGGGTAAGTTCAGGTACAAACAGCGGACACAGTTGCCCAAGCCAGATATTCGTGGGTTTTTTTCAGGTCGGTTCGATTTCAGGTCGGTTCGGGTCGGTTTTCCTTGAATTCTCGTCGGGTCGGGTCGAGTCAGTTTAAGGGCGTTCAGATTGGTTTCAGTTCAGATTCAGTTTAGATCGATAATGTTTTGGGTCAGATTGGCCAGGTCAACCCGACCCGATGCACAACGCTAGTCAGGAACCCGTTCCAGATTATGGGATTGGGTACGCGTAACCAACTTTACAAATTACTTAGTAACTTCTCCGACAATGAGAAAGAAAGGTTTTGAATGTCATTTGTGGGGAATTTTTTTAATGAAAACCAGGCTACATGGGAATACAAAACATATTTAATGTTTATGACGCTTGCGAAAGTTGCAATCTACACCGTTGAGCTATAAAACTTGCTGTACACACTTGTTTGCCGCTGTATTGGCACACCGATGTAGTAGTATTATCATGCAGACCTTTATGAACAATCTGAACAGCAACTTCCGAATTTGAATTTTAGGGTGAGGTTTCTTTAAGAGTACCTGGGTAACCGTGTTTTGTTTCAATCAGGTACCTGGTTACCATACTACCCGTAAATGCACCCCCCTAGCCACAACACTGGTCCTTGGGGCCAAGTCCAAGTCCTGTTGGGAGTTCTTGGACATTTTGTTATTTGGTAATTTTTTGCCCAAATAGTCAGGTTCTCAACCATTATCAAAAGCCAATATTTTGAGACAACTCTGTCCCATTTCTTAGGTTTAATTCTCACTGTATCTATCGATATGTCAGTATATGTGATGTGATCAAGCTAAATGAGTCGTTTGTCGACCCCGGTAAAAGCTTTTTTTATTACAGATTTGAAAAGAGCACAATCTCAGCATTACTGCTGTGAAAACCGCATGCTGATACCATCTTTAGTTAAAAATTACGGAAGTCGGAACACCAAGAGATGTGATTAAGTGATGTGATGAAGTGACCCTATTTTGGCCTGAATCTCCAAATGAAGGTTCCCGACAAACGACTCATTTAGCTTGATCGCATCACAAACTGTCAGATTCAGACTCTGTTGTTTCTCCCCTTGTTCTGACACAGGTCTATGGGGACTGGTCAACAATGCAGGTATCAACACACCCAAGGGCGCCTACGAGTGGCTCAAACGAGAAGAGATCAATAAAATCTTCCAAGTCAACTTCATGGGTACCGTTGAAGTGACTAGTACCTTCCTGCCCCTGCTTCGGCAAGCTAGGGGCCGCGTGGTCAACATGTCCAGTTGCTCCGTCATGCTGCCCTATGTGGAGACTGCTTACACGGCTTCCAAAATGGCTGTGGAGGCTTACTCAGATAACCTACGGTAAGGTGGGTGGATGGACAGACACACATGCATCTGTACTTTTTGTAGAATGTTTTTAATTTGTTATTCTCAATGGACTGTTTTGTCCCTAATATTATTTGTAATATGCACAAACCGATAGAATCTTTGTGTACGTGCCAGGCGTACAGCGGCAAAAGTGTCCAAGAGTCAACCTTCTTGCTTTGCCAGCGTTGAAGGGTTACTTAAGCCCCGAGTCTACAGGTGAAATTAACAATACAGAGTGCAAACAAGTGTTTGCCTTTTTTATTTCAAGGTCAACTTCCAGCAGTTTTGTTCTGAAGTCCTCCGTTGTTTAAGTGTGGTACTTTACCAATGTAATGCATTCAGAGGCCTCAGATAAAAAGCATCATTATCCGCAAACACAATCATACCTTTCTTAAATTCTGCAAAATCCTCTGAAACATTTTGGTGTATTTTGAGGGATCAGAAAGTGAATGCATAATGAAATTGCCAAGCAGCACTATTCAAACCCAGTAAGCTTCTCTCTGCATTAAACAACACACCTTTTTGTTATCAATTTCTTTTCTAGATTCAGTCAAAGAAAGCAGGGCATCACTGTGCACATCTTGGAGCCCGGAGCATTCAAGACTTGGATCGCTAATCCAGAAAATGTTCTTGGGTCTCAGAGAAGACTATGGGAAAGGCTGACAGAGGAAGAGCGACAACAGTACGGTGGCATCGAAAGATTCAAAAGAGGTACATTTCAAGTATGATTATGAATACTCTGGACAATTTCCCTAGTGCAACCTTTTCCTGCCCAGTGGAACAAACATTTTACCAAAAATACCTCAACATCCATTAAACTTGCTCTCAAGTAGAGTTATCTTGGGTTTTGATGAAGCTCAGGACTTGAGCTGTCCTGGGAAATTGCGTTCTACTCCAAAGATCTTGTGGGTCTGACGTATGTACGATGGGAAACAGCACTGCAAAGAGGCTGGTTCATAAGCGAAAACAACGTGTGGAAACATTTGCTGTGAAATTTGCCGCAGTTGAAATGTGTTCAACTTTTGCAAAATTTGCACCACAACTACTTGCTGCACTCACAAATTCGCATTTGCATTCGCTATTTATAAACCAGCCTTAGACTGGGTACAACCTTACCCTTGTGGTTTATAACAGGGAAATGGTCACACTAAAAATCAAACACTGCCAGGCCAGCAAGTCTAAGGGTTAGGCAATTTGTGGAAACACAATGGCTCAGGATGATGTATTTTGAGCACAAGAATGACATAACACCCAAACCATCAAAGAAATGGGCTAATAGGGTCCAATTTTCTTGGGGAGCCAAGGGGAGACTCAGGGGCCTCGTTTTCTGGAGGGGGCACTACACGGTTTTATTACCATAAACAGCTCATATTTGCTTTCCCTTATATTCTGAAGGGGAAGGGGAGACAAGGGAGAAAAGGCCTTATGGCACCCCCCCCCTCCCATAGCTCCATTAGTTATGCTACTGCACAACTGATTTCCATAACCAAATCCAGTGTCTGAATTGTCTCTGTTTCTCTACAGACGAGGCCATAATGAAGATAGGCCTCCAGGCTGCCTCATCCAAGCTCCATCACGTGACGGGAGCCATGGAGCATGCTCTGTGTTCCCGCTGGCCCTGGAGACGTTACCTGCCAGGCCTTGATGCCAAGTTCGTCTTCAAACCCTTGTCACTCATGCCGGCCTTTGTCGTTGACTTTGTCCTTGGTTTAATCGTTTGATGAAAGCGTAGACTTTAACATAGACTTCGTGTTTAGGTTAGTCTATAGAGAATGTAGACTTTATCACAGACTTTGTCTTTACTTTTAATTGTTAAGAGAATACAGACTTTGATGCAAAAGCTGTCTTTTATTCCATTTGTCACAGACTTTGTCTTTAATTTAATCGTTTGAAAATGTAGACGTTTTATAAGGGAGATTTAAATTACATTTTAGGTTTTGTTCTTCGCCGACGTAATTCAGAAACAAGGTATACTCAGTGTTGTCTAAGGGCATGCAAGAAAACAATCAAAAGCTTACTCGAGTGGGACTCAAACCCACGACCTTCTGCTCACTAGTGCAGACGACTTACCACTCGACCACCGAGCTTGCCAGGGTCGGCTGGCTGATATTGCGACCAAATTTTTATAAGATGGAATTTGTGTAAATTTGATTTTTATTTTGGCTTTTGGCCTTCACTGACATATTTTTAAAACATGTTGGCAAAGGGCAAAACCCAATTATAAAGCGTAGACGTTGTTGCAGACTTCAGAGAGTGTAGAATTTAAAGCAGACTATAGTTTAATTGTTTGAGATCTGATCAATGCAGTGAGAATTTCACTCACAACAGGTACCGTGAGAAATGATGTAAGTACGGGCGTTATGTGAGGCTTGCAAAAAGTTGCCGTTAACCTCGCTTCTTTGTGTGGTACTTTCATCTGACACACTTTGATACATCTTTTGATACATGTTGTACAGTTTGTATAGTGTCATTGCCAAATGGTTGCAGGAGCACTATGTGGGGCCCAAACATGGCAGAAATCACGGTGCTTGTGTTCTTGGGCAAGACACTTTTCTTCAAGTGTCCATAACTGTGGAGCATTAATGGTACTTAGTGAGGGTAGAGAACAGACTATGCAATCTCTATTGAAACTGCATGAAACTGATCTCATTGCCTGATGAACATGGGTAATAATGAACCTAAAACCTAATGACGTCATGCTTTGTTTACATGTGCGCTTTCCCATGAGAGCGCACATGTAAACAAAATGTGACATCATTAGGACTTTTGTGAAGTACTTTGATACATCCATGTAAAAGTGCTTCGTAAGAACAGCATTATTGTGTAGTAATTTTTTTCTCCATCGATATCTACATTTGGATAGATTTGTAACTTATTTGTTTTACTTTTTTTGTAAAATCTGAAATATACACATTATAGGATTAATCTCAAAGGCAAATTTATACTTGACCATGTCAATCAATTAAATTGTGCCATTACAGGTTACAAGTTTTGATCATTATTAAACCTCAGAATCAACCTAAACTTGATGCACCTGTTCCAGAGCCATTTACTATAACCTTAAATCCATTTCACCAGGCATAAAATTGCGTAACTAAAGGCTTTAAGGGAGGGATGGACAACCAAACACTAAGTTTGCAATTTATCCGGCAAGAAATACAAAAAGATAAATTGAAGGAATCTGTGAAGTACAATACTGGGTGATTTCCAAGCTTGTGAAACAAAAAGCTTCACAAGGTACACGTAACTCAGGTGGGATTCGAACCCACCAACATTTTTTAACCTTTAGTGCGTTCCCTGTTAACTAAATTAAAATACCAAGGAATGCCCCCTGAGATACTTGCAATGCATAAGTAATGTAATGTGTATTTACAAAGCGCACGTATCTGCCAGTATTGGTGCTCAAGGCACTACATAATTATTACCCTGCTCATTTGGCCAATGAAAGTTGAAACATTCCAAATACCACCTCAGCTCCCTGGGGAGCATACAGCTTGATGCTGCAATTTCGGTGCAAAGTAGCTAAAATCAATCACAATAACCATATCTGCCCTCACAGGTACCCATTTACTCCTGGGTGGAGAGAAGCAATGAATGACAAAGTGCCTTGCCCAAGGGCACACGCACCATAGCCGCAGGCTGGACTCAAACCCAAAACCTGCGTTATTACCCGCAGACCACGAATACAAGGCTCCAGACTACGAGGCCACGGCAATCCATAAACAGCACCTATTTCACTATTTCAAAACTTGCCGTGTGAATAATGCGTCCTCTTGTTGATATCTACAAAAACGTTTTCACAAGTTTTTTTTCTCCAAGTTTGGGGGTGGATGAATCATGCGAAAGACGAGGAGATAATTTCTACTTACAGCGGACAGTGAAGAGCACAACGACCAATCCCGCGCTGGCAACGAACTCTGGGAAGGTCTTGTCCGTCAGCTTGGAGACGTGCTCCATGGCCAGGAGCCTGGTGTCGCTGTAGACCGCGTACTGTACCTCATCATCCTGAACCTCTTGAACTGTGACCGCAACGAGTTATAATACAATAGACAGCATGAAAACGTGTTCAAACTTGACCGATATTGAAATGAACCCAAAATGATGTCAACGATGTAATAAACGGGGGGAAAGAAGATGCTGACCAAAATACAGCCTTTTGCACTTAATCTCTTCAAAATGCAGTCAAGACAAATAATTGTTATTTCCACATTCTCAATAGAGAATGTAGGTATTAACCCTAAATGGTCAAACATTTGAACACCACCATTCTGGGTCAAAGAACTTTTACAGAAGTTGGGTACTTATAATTCCAAGTACATTTTCAGGTTATTATCTTTGTTGAATTTATTGTGGTTGTTTGTTTTGTTTTGTGAATTTTTGGTTTTGTTGGTTTAGTTTAGTATTGTTCCCTTTTTGTAATGAAGTAAAAAAACAACCAAAAATATCCTTTCTTGAACAAAATTCCATTTATTAATTCACAGGAAAAAACACACGAAAGAACCCAAAGAATAAATGATAAGATTAAGCAAAGTTATCCCTAACTAACCGTCTTGGATATACAAAAAATGGACAGCTCAAGATTGGACAGATTTTCTGAAATTCTGAAATCACCATGGCAACACAGTACACCATCTGCATATTTGTTTTTACCTGGCACTCTTTCATCATCACCGTCTTCTTGGTTCTCTGAAGGATCTTCCCGGACATACATGTTGTCCTCAATAAATGCGGACACGTTGTCTTCAGTCAGATCGGCTGACATCACATACAATTCCTCCTTCGAGAGAAAAAAACGAATCAACAGCAGAATGTCAGATTAGCGTCTAAGAGGATCTCAGTGCTGAGCTGTTAATAACACTGGGGGCTTTTTCTTCCTTGATTCACACCTCCAAAGACAGTACAAGTAGAACGTCGCTATAACAAACACCGCTGTACCGAACATTCGGCTTTAACGAACATCATCCTTTGGCTCCAGAATTTTAGGGGAGAATGCAGAATTAAACAGACTGAGCATTCGTTGTTATCTGTCAAGGGTCAAAACCTGTACTGGGCCAAGTTTGTGCAAAAGGGTAAAACTGGTAGGCCTATTCTGGGCATGTGGAACGGCTTAATTAAAGAAAGAAGACATCTGTTTCATTAAACAATTTATTTAATTTTTAAATGGTGATTTAACAACTCTTATTGTTGAAGTTAAAATGCCTTCAACATTGGCCACCACTACTTTCCACACAAGGCCCTGTACGAAATCTAGTACATTTCGACCTTTGCATAACACACCAGCCAGCAATCTACGCCAGGTAAACCTTGGCCCAGTACAGGTTTTGACCCTTGACAGAATAACAACGAATGCTCAGTCATCCGTGGCCACAGACACACAATCAAGATATCATTAGAAAGAGGACACATTGGCGTTTCACATGATCTGAAAATGTTTATTTGATTTTTATTAATTTACATTTACATCTGGGTTTCTTTTGTTTTGAAACACCCTGTATACCACTGAGCTGAGTTAGATCAAAACAGTTTCTTTTTCAACCCTAATTCTGTAGGAATTTTTGCTTTGAACCTTTTAAAATCCCCAAGTGGTTATTACCGGGAAACGGACTTAGCGTATTGATTTAATGAGAAAGGACTGGTACTTAATCCCCTGTAAATTTGCTCTCTTGAAATACAAAATGTAGTATCATTTTGGGAAGAAAACTATCACTGAAGGTGGTTTCCCAAAATCCCCTTTGTAATTACCTGGACACGGACCCATTGATTTAACAAGATAAACCATTTTATAGGTGAAGAAATGACTGGTATACTAAATACCCTGTGAAATTATTCCACCTGCAATGGTATCATTTGGGGAAAAAAACATCAGTGAAGGTGGTTTGTGAAGCTGGCACACTTTAAAAAAACATTGACGTCATGCACATCGGAACTTCATGCACGCTAACCAAATGAATGGGAATTATATCCCAAGGGCTGATTTACAGATTTTACATGAGAGGGTGGAATTCAAAAATATTAAAATTGAAATGTTTGAATTGGAAGTGCTGGCAATAGTATCCACTTCAGGCATGCGAGTGGGTACTGGGGGAAAAAAGACTTTAAGTTGAAGGCATCATGATTCAGGGGGAAATCCATGAAAACAAATTTCACGTCTGCCACTTACGAGACCAATATATGTGCATAAATTTGCTCTGTTTTCTCAAAATATACAGCATCCACTGAACTGAAACTTTAGCAAGCTACTTAAAATTCTGAGCAACATTGTTGCCGTAAACAAAATAAAATTGCACAAAAAGCATATGTACACGTATGGCTTTACGATAGAGGACAGACACACAAAGGGAGAACAAAAGATCCTCTCAGACAAGTCTACCGTACGATCGAGGACCGTCAGTCCTCGAGTCTTTTGTTGAAAACGGTCCTCGATCGTACGGTAATGTGCTATCGTAAGTCTGTGGGAGAGTGTTATATTACAGGGACAAAGAGAAACACAAAGCATTGTCCTCGGGCGTATAGAAATTCACGACTGCATGATCCTAACTGTGCTGGAACCCAATGGCCTCATTCTGCACACTCAAACTTTCCGGAGGCAAAATCCTCCATTACCTTCAAGGGGTTTTTGAAAGATCACAGAGGGTTAGGGTCAGTTTGTCCGTACCTGTGGTGCCCGTTGTAACATGAGACACGGCGGCTGGCAGCGTTCACTCTCAGCAACTACACTCTCTGGAGTTTTGTCACTGTTAAAACAAAAACACACACACAAAAAACAAAAATGTGAGTCTGCCTATACCCTCATCACTACAAATTCATTTCAATGTTGGGTCTGTCATGCTATTTATTTGTTTATGGTTTCTCTTTATATTTCTTTATTTATTAAAGGGGCACTAGGTCCTGAAATCCCCGAAAACTTCATTGGTTTTGGATTGTTTACTTATCCTATTTCAAACATATGGTTGAAAGGAAACCAACCTAATGTCTTACCGTTCCCGAGAAAGAAAAAAAAACCCGGTTGTTTACATTGGACACGACGGAGTACGAACATGACGAATACGTTTTTCGTGTCGTTCTCATACAGTGTACGATATACACGTTCATTTAAATGTTCTTTCCGGTTAACATAATCTCGTTCAAAGCGCGTTTTGTAGCCCAGTTGGGCTGTTCCAGGACCTAGTGTCCCTTTAACAATTAAATATTATAGAATAAAAAGACAGGAATCATGTCCCGAGGGCTGATTTAGGGATTTTATACAAAACCAAATTTTTGGGGGGGGGGAGTTGCTAAGCAAATATTATAAATAAAAAGAAGAACCCAATAAAGAAAGGAATTTATTTATTTAGTATTTTTACTCAGCCTGTACTTGGCGGTTATCCACTGTTGGCCCGACGAAATAAATAAATAGATATATAAAATATAAGTGCTTACTCAGTTTCTCAGCCTAACGGCTCATTAAATATGGCAATAAATATATGGCAATAAATATAAAAAAAGGCAGCTTTTACCTGTTAACCAAGACAAAGCCCAGGTTCCCCCGGTACTTCTGGGCCAGTTGGTGCACCATCTCTTTGTCATGTCCATACTCAGCTGTGTTGCTGTACACGTAGGCTGTTGGGATGCCCAGTCGCTGGTAAAAGATGGTTGCACCCGACGCTTTGTACTCAATCTGTTTCCAGAAAAAAAAGGGAACAAAATATTGACAATTCTCATGTCAATATGTGGTTTTCATCTCACACAAGTCAAACTTCATACTACCAAAAGACCCTTCTTTATTTTGACCATGTGTAACCTGGAAAAATGACACACTATGGGGAACTCGCACTAAAACTACTACAACTAAACTAAACTCAGGATCTTTGAAGGGAAAAGGGCGCGAGGAGACTGAATTACTAGGGACAAGGGACACAATTCTAGATTTCGAACAAAAAAAACCAAAAAAGAATTTATTTACAAGAACTTTCAAAATGACCAGATAATTATAAAACCAAGACCACGAAAATCAAGTAAGAGCAAAGACTAAAAACCAAAACTTAAACCTAAAAAAACCCAAAGACTTAAAGAATCATAAAGAAACTTAAACTCTAAAAAAAACTAAAGACTCAAACCTAAAAAAGACTCAAACCAACAACTTAAATCTAAAAAAAAAACCAAAGACTCAAAACCAAGTTAAAAACCAAAAGTATTTAACCAACACAGTGTTGTATATAAAGTGGACCTTAAAGACACTTCTGGCAGAAATCAAATGACTCGAGCAGACAGAGCTCAAACAGGACACACCACTCCAGTTAGGAGGAACATAAGATACCGGTATACTATGAAGTTGTCTCTGTTGGTCTGCTGGTTGAACTAAAGTGTGGCTGGACCATGTGGCAGCTTATATAGGGGAACATGTGGGCTTAAGTAAACAAACAGGGGGACACACTACCAAGAAAGGGGGGGGGAATCTTAAGTAAAACTAAAATGATTTCTTTTTGTTCTAAAGGGGAGCTACTCCTATACTATACACTTCATACATGAAAAATATACAAGATAAATTTGGCCCTGCCACACATGCAAGGAAAATGGAAAAATATTTTGAAAACTATTTCCACCTCATACATACTAAAATCCATATTGTAATGGCACAATTTACTGAATGTTTAAAGTTCTAACTACCACATCTAGAACCAACGTCCAACCGTGGGGATAGTGACCAGACCAAAGTGAATGATGAAAGTACATATTTTACCATAGTTTGGGACAATTTACACTCAGCAACGTCCCATTCTAGTGAAAAATGTCCGAAAGGCAATGCAATATATTCCTTATCTGAAAAAGGGTCTATTATCACAAACAGATTAAGGCTAAGAGTTTAAAGACATATAGGATCATTTGCTTTTCATGCATTTTGTTCATTTCCAATAATAACACCACTCAAACTCGCAAGAAGAATGTTCAAAACCTAACTTATGGATAATATGGAAGTTTCAGCTCAGTGGATATTACACTTTTCGAGACAACAGTGCGGAAAAACCATGCACAACCTTTCGATCAAGAAACACAATTTCTTCAATTAGCACTCTTTATTTCCAGAAATCAGTCAATTGACTGATCATTGGAAATCACCTACATTTCTTGACTTCTTCTAAATGACAGCCAGCCAGACTGAATAGTTTCATGGTTCCTTATTAGTGCCATTACGATCTTTTTTTAAAATAATAATGGGGAAAGGTTACTCTTGGGATATGCAAATGATCCAATATGCCTTTAAGACGAGTTGATGTTAGACTCACATATGGCAGAACATCTAAAGTCTTGAGGTACAAGGCAAAAGCTGGCACGTTCATCTTGCCCCTGTAGAATGACCTTTGACACAGGTCGGCAGTTTTGGCCGGCTTACAGTTGAACAGCCATACCCTGTTCCGAGATTCAGCCCATTCTTCCTCCGAACTTCAAAAGAAAAAAAATACGAATAAAATAAAAACACAAAAATAAGTTACAACCTTATAAACAACACCTTTGTTTTCCACAAGGTCTTTTCACTTAGTGTCAACTTGGATTAAAGGTACAGTCCAACATTTGTAATTTGTGCATTTTGTTTGTTTGAAGCAACAAACGTGCTCAAAATCTAAAGAAGGGTGCTGAACAACTAAACTGATGAAGTTTCAGTTCAGTTTTAGCTGTATATTTCGAGAAAAACAACATTCTAGGATCTCGATTTCTAATCAAAAGTTGCTGAATCATGTTTTGAATTGGGCCTGAATTCAGCGTCCGAGACACGTTCTCACAGAGCCGATTGCAGCTACACGATGTCGAGCACTGATCCGACGAATTATAGCAACGAGCGCGCGCGTGTGCATCGTGCAAACGCTTGCGCGCGCTTCGCCGAATAAAAAAAAACTGAAATACTAACGGAAATTTCCAATGGTGCGTCTCAATGCACCGTTGGAAAGGCCTTCTTTCGTTGATTTCTTCAAAATGACAGCTTATCAGAAAGAATAATTTCACAGAGAGTTTAGTCCCCTTACTATCTTTCAATTAAGTATGTTTTTCAACACTAATTATGTCAGTTACTTTTTAGATAGCTGCAAATGATGGACTGTAGCTTTAAGCATAACCAACATTCGTTAACTCCACAGCATTGTAAGCTACAGAAAACCTTATTTTGTCTGACAAACATTGACTCTTTACTGAGACCCTGGAGCTATAAACTGAAGAAAGTCCAACAGCTCTTTTCTATAACTCTATGCTGATAAGTGTGTCTTTTGCAATGAGCTCAAGGCACAAGTACCCCATCAGCAGCAAAACATGCAAAGCATCGTTGTCAGTGAAGAGGCCACTTCTCTGGAACACCTTTGCAGAGATTCTTAAATTTGCAACAAGATGCTTTGAAGTAGTTAGTGCCCTTTCCTTTTCCTTGTTGAGACTGGTTCATACTCCATAACAAATTTATGTGACATGGTATATCAAACGCAGGCACAATTGGGCTCCTACCGTTAGTATGACATGGAGAAACACCTGTAAAATGACATGGGGGTGATTTTCAGCAATTTTGAGCATTTTTTTTTGCAAACCAATAATAGGCCAGTTTCTCTACCTCTGTATGCCCGTAGCTCAGGTAATATTATTGTTTTATAATGACACCTTTTCTGAATATTTTTTTTTTTCACTTAACTCAAACTTTTAGAGGCCTATTTCTCATGTTTGACATTTCGTGGGGCTTTGTTTGACAAAAGTGGGGCTCAAAGAGCAAGGTCTATATTTTACTAATTTTGCAATAACTCATGAATTGACTTCTTGCCCATATGTGCCTGATTTTGACATACCACATCACAAATGCGAAATGCAAATTTTTGAGTTCAAGGCAAGTATTCGTACTGCCAATTTGAAAATGTTGTTAACGTTTCAATTCCACCAATTTTGGACTTCAACGATTTTGTGACATGGAATTCATTTTTTCCCTCCACATTTGGCATTCAGGCTTCACACAACCTCCTTCAATTCAAGCCCGTAGTTTAAAAGTCTGCATGATGGCACAATTGAGGCTGATTTCATGCCTTGCTGGATATAATCACAGTATGCTCCGGATTTTTTTTGGCAGAAAATATTTTCTGTAACGCTTCATTCAAAAATCTTTAAAAGTAATACAACATTTGCAAACGTCAAAAAACAAAACTACCAAATCATTACATAAACGCATCCCCAAAAGTACAATATAACAGAAATATGTCTTAAATTCCACAATTATGTAACACTCCACCAGTTCAGGACAATGCTCAAATTATTTTCACGGTTCAATAGTTACATTTTTTGTCTTGACTGCTGGAGCCATGCATCTGTGTTTTACAGCAATTAAACCATCAACTACATTCAATAATGAATCATAAAAAAATTAAAATAATAAATCCAAAAAAACATACTTCTGCTTCCAATAACATGGCATTTGAAAATACGGTAGGTAGGTAGGGAAAAATTTGTTTTTGGCAATTTTTTTGGTACGATCATATGCAGATGTCTGCATGTAGTCTAGGGTAAAAGGTGGTACATGTAATTGATGATTTTCAGGGTTTTTTCCCCTCATTTTTCCAAAACAAAATTAGGGTAGGGGCTGTGAAAATATGGTAGGTTGGGTAACCGAAAGCAGAGTTGTTTTTTTGGGGGGAGGGGCCTAGTACACCATAACATGTATTTCCATTCATAAATAAAACTTGCCACAACTTGCAAATGAACATTTGGCAGTGCCATTTTTTGAGCTCAAATGATTTTTTTCTTGCATGATAATATGCCATTTTATAGTTATGGATGAATTACTTCACAAATTTCAAATTATCTGTGGCATACTATGATAATTTAGGCTAATCTTTATATAAATTAGAGACGCAAAAGTAGTTAAGACTACAACTTTAAAATGCCCAAATAAGAAAAAAAACTCTTTTGTTTCTGTTAAAATTAAACGTATTAATTGAAAATCCAAACGAAGAAATAGTCCCATTTGTTGAAGAGGATGGACAGTATGTATCTTTAAATTAAATGTATTCACAAATTCAGACAAATTTAAACTCTCTTGGTAATAAGTGCAACAGTTGAAGGAATATGCTAAACAAATTGGCAATCTCTCATCAATTTTTTGAGTAGCGGTTAATAATGTTCCATTTCAGTGAGATAACATCCTGAAAACAATTCAATAGAACTGCCTAATGAAGCATACATCTGCTGGAAAAGAAATCATAAAAAAGGCATCAGACAACAAAAATGAAACTACATCGAAAGAAGAAGAAAAAATCTGAGATCACCCCAGATGTTTTTGACAGACAAATGAATAATACATATAAAAATAAAATGTGCAAAAAATTCACTCAGCCCAAAAATTTCAACATGATTAGATGCTTACATGTACTATTAACAATATTTGCATTCTGCATTCTTTCTCTGCATGCATGTCAAGTTTTTTTCAAAATTAAACCAAACAAATTTTAATGGACTAATTACAGTATCTAATGCAGGATCACAAACAACACAATACTTGGCTAACATGGCTAAGGCAAAACAAAAAAAATAGTTCTGCTTCCGATTACCTGGCATTCGAAATAGGGTAGGTAGGTAGGGAATTTTTTTTTGGCCATTTTTTTGTGTGTACAATCATATGGAGGCGTCTGCGTGTAGTCAAGGGTAAAGTGTATAAATTGATGGTTTTGGGTGTTTTTTCCCCATAAAAAAATTAGGGTAGGGGCTGTCAGAATAGGGTTGGTAGGGAAACTGGAAGCAGAAGATTTTTGTTTTCCTATTTTTTTTTTGCCTAAGCCATTTTTTGGGCCAAGAACCACGCACAATGTATCACATTGCAGAACGGTGCAAGATGCTGTTATGCAAGATGTCCATGGCATCTCATCTGCAACATGCTGAAGTCAATTAGGAGTACAGTAATGTCAGCTGACATCCGATGATGGCAATGTCCCTGAAGGGGCATTTTGGTTGCCCAATCGCCCACACAGAGCTAGCGCGATGGAATCTACACAAAGGTGTCCGGTGTACTTCTTGATTCTAGTCAGTTTTTAATGCCACAGATGAAGTGTAATTACTAAATTTAATAATTTAACATTTATACTGGTATACAGTCCCAGTATACATTTTAAATTAGATTCCAGTCTGTTTAAAGGTTTGCCTGACACATCCCACAGATGAAATATAATTACTAAATTTTATAATTTAAAATTTATACTGGTATACGGTACCAGTAAAATTTTTCAATTATCGGACTATTGACAGAATAACCATTCATGCATTACTAATTAAAATCACTTTTATACAAAATTTATGTTGTGTTGCATTTAAGATGATAATTTTGTTCACTGCATGTATAGGCACATTTCATACGTATCAAAAATCAGAAACAGAAATTTAAATCAACTAATTTTAACAAAATCAGCCTTAAAAAAATAAGAAGAATCTAAAATGTTGATCAGGACAGAAGGAGGTAAGAATGTTGCAACCTGACGCCACTTTTTTCTTCATATATCATCTCAATAAAGGTCAGTTATTGCAAAAATGTTGAAAAGAGTCTGGGACTGAGAAAAAATTCCAATTTCTTTAGGAAATACTTAGAAAATTGTCTTGACTCTCCATAGACTTTGTACAAACCCCTGAAGGGGCGTCTTGATACTACAGTCTTTCCCAGAAGGATTTATAGATATATACATATTAATACCCAAACGATAAATGATTTAATTAATTTGTTTTCAAGCATAAAATTAAAACAAGTAGGCCTACATGTAGTTCAGCCAAGCAGATGCAAATAAACAGTGCTCTATTGACATGAACTACGTGTACTTATGTAGGGATGAAATCAGCAAATTAGGACACACGTAACGTGTTAAAAGATGATTGCGTTTCATGGGACACACATCGGGGAGACAGGCGTTAGCCTTGAATTAAAGTCATGCGCAATTATAATTATCTGGGGGGGGGGGGGCCAGACACACACACACACACACATGGTTCGTTATGGGGCAGCAAAGCATGTATAACAAGTCAGTCTCTAGAAGTTTATCTGCCCCCACAAGGAAAATGCAATGGAGTTTGAGATTTCAATAGAAACAGAGGCAACAATTGAAAATATGTGAGGTGTTCTGGTAAAATAAGACGGAACTGGGCAGAGGTCAAAATGAGGGTTTGTGGGTATTAGGAAAGAGAATAAAATTTTACAACACTGTTTGTTGCACTTCAATCGGGCATTCCGTTGACAAGTTATGGCTGTTTAAAGTTCGCATTTATTGACACGTCAAACATGTAAAATACTGAGAAAAAGGCCCTTCGAGTTCTGTTTTGTAGTCTTGAAAATGAAAGACGCCAATTGTTTTTCCTTAAAAACACTTTTATTCCTCTATTTTTGTACCATTTCTTTAAACTATGTGTAGTAGATATATCAAAGATTACAATCAATAAATCTGAAAATCGAAGAGAAATCACCCCATTCATTATATTTCTGCATTTTGCTCCACTACAGAAAGTGCCCAGTGCCGTCTCATTTTTCCACAACGCCTCACATATGACAGATTCTTACCCAGATCCTAGCATGTTGTCGCCTATGTTCGTGGTCATGACAAATTGATAGAGGTGGCTATATGCAAAGGCTCCTTCCATAAATGCTCGGTGCTCTGTAAACAGAAGAGGAAAAAATATTTATTTTAATAAAATGCTACCATTTTACAAACGAGTCACTATTTCCTGAAAATCAATTAGTTCTGCTTTTCATTGGCAAAATGTATTTTCATAAACCCATATTCTGTGTATTGCCCCAAGTACCTTGCCTGTTACCTCTTATACCCCGTGGCCCCCCCCCCCCCCCCCAGCACTGTATGGGTTTTTAGATTCATAAAGAAGTAAATACTAAGGATGTGACTTAATTTTGTCATGTATGTTTAGCAAATATTTTAACTTAAATGTTTAAAGTTCAGCCATTGCACAAACAGGGGAGTGTGGCCTAGTGGTTAGGGTTTGTAATTCATGATCAGAGGGTCAGGGGTTCGAATCCAGCTGCTGGCCATATGTTGTGTCCTTGGGCAAGCCATTTCACCCCCACTTTCCGCTCTCCACCCAGGAATATAAATGGGTACCAGCATTGGCTGGGGAGCAACCTGCGATGGACTAGCATCCCATCCAGGGGGAGTAAAAATATTCTCAGTCGTTTCATGCTTCTGAAACTGGAGATAAACGCCGGCCTGATGAGCCATATTGGTTCGTGACAGACTTTACTCTTTATTACTTTTTAAATTGCACAAACGCTGACGCCTATGATAAATCAACAATGATTGACAAAATAAAATGCAGGCAGTCATTGAAAAAAGCACAAACTTAACTACATGTACCCCAAACGCAAACACTGCGGAGGTTTTGTAAATTGAATAGATTAAAAAAAAACAATGAATTATTTGTGCTAGTACGTTTATCTCAAATGAAGATCACATGAATGTAGGTTTAACATTCAGGTTTCCTTTCAAAGTTTTGGAAAATTAGTCAACGGATTTAGATTTTTATTTCGTTTAAACCTTTAAAAACTGTCAACATCACATTCTAAGTAAATACAGCATAGTGCAATGCATTACAAGTGCAAATTAATTAATTAATTAAAACCAAAAGAGATAACGAGGTATATCTCCAATGAATTCTTATGGTAAGGAAGCCACAGAATCCTCAAAAGCATCCATGGCAGTGTTACTTTGCAAGACTGTAGAATTCTGTGTTCCATCAAGTTTGAAATAGTAGATAGCACACTATCGCACAACTTACCCACAACTAATTTCATGCAAATAAATATGCTCAAACCCATGGGCGCCAGGTGCACCGTAGCAATGGCATTCAAGTGTCTGTCAGATATTCTTTCTTTGTCACTGGTTGAGTGGGTACTTGTGCATGAAGTCCGGGACCCAAAGTCCCCACATCGTAACAGCACCAGACTAAATAGACCAAAAAAACCCTACCTGATGTGCCGACAGCGAGCAGCTTGGCAAACAAGATGTCTTTGTGTCCTTTAAGACGTTGCTGCATGGCAGCTAGATCCATAGGCTCCTGGATGAGGGGAACTTCTCGCAACAGCACCAGACTAACAGACAAAAACGGCACACAGCCACATAAAGAATTATAAGTCTTTGTCGACAGTAACTCCTTTCTTGACACCATTGTTTGGGACCTCTCTGAATCCTAACAAAATTGTCCAAAGACCACTTGCTGGATTTTGAGCTAGTGTTGGTTTCTATTGCAATTTGTTTTGGTTTGCATACTTACCCACCACAACAACACTTTGACTTTATCTATCTGAAAAAACACCCCTTTCAATTCACATTATGTGCACCAGTCCAATACAGAATACTCCCAATGTAGTATTAACATTTTTAGCCATGTTTCCTTGACTTTTAACCAAATTGAGCCCGACAAAGATCAGGTTAGTTTGGCAAAAATTAGGAGTTGGTGAAAAACGTATGCAATTGGTACAGACCATTCCAAGCACGCTATAACGTACATTCATTGAGGCCCCCGTTAATGGTGGAAGCATTGTGCTAGCTATTGTTCAGATAATCCATCCTGGGGTAGTTGCTTAGTACAATAGCTAGCACAGTGCTTTTGCTATTGAAGGGGTCCTGGACAGTATGAAAGGAAGTGTTATGTCTGTGACAGAGCCAATTAAACCATGATATCTAATTCATGATTCAGAGGAATGATCCAAAACTCCTAATCTGTAATGTCCTTGACCAAATGAGATGATGTCCTTGACCATTATGAGATGATGGATACTTGTATAAGATTTGAAAAATTACTTTTTCAGGTTTATTCAATGAGCTCTTAAAAGCTCTGTCATGGACATCACATAATGATGGAATTGCCCAGGACCCAGTTCCGTTAAAAGTGATACTAGCATGTACATGTAGTCTGGTTCCCAGACAAATAGATTCTGACTATTCCTGATGAATCTTACCGGGGTAGGTCCGGTAGCCTCCGGTAAATTGTATTACAATTTACGTCACGTGACAAAAACGGGAGGAATTCCTCCTTTTTCCGAAAATTTCTGAAGTTTGCTGAATTCGTTTCGTCGACAATCGGATAGTGCCCGAGTAATTCCGAGTATAATATAGGTTCAATTAACCGCTAATTGCTTATTAATTTTTTTTTAAATGAGTTGATAATTAATATTTATTGCTTTCATTTAGAAAACTTGAAATTCAATGACGATTTTGTGCATCAATTATACTCGGATCGTATGGGTAAACTTTTTGCCGCGTCATGTACAATTTTGAATTTGACGACTGTTACCAAGATTTTCCAAAACTCGGTCTTCATTCGGCTCCGCCTGCTAACAGTGCTATTTGGGTGCCTAAATTTGAAGATTCCAGATCAACATTAGTCAATGTTATTTTACAGAAACATCAAACTGTATTATCATAACTGTATGATATTATGAAGCAAGTGATTTATTTACAAATTTGATCAGAACATTAAAAGCTAAAAGCGATAAAACGAAATCGGAAACGAAGCCAAGCTTTGAAAAAGGGCCATCAATGTCGTCATGTTTATTTTTAGCCACGGCGGCTGCCTGACCTAAGATTCATCAGGAATAGTCAGAATCTTTTGGTCTGGGAACCAGACTAACTAGCATGCTCAGGTTTGGGCTCCGTGCTCCAAACAAGAGAGGGCAGTTTTCTGTATTACTTTTGAGAGTCGTGGGGGCAGGACACACTGCATGTGCGAACTGGTTCGTGCGCATACATTGTAGCTCAAAGTAGGCATGGCTTATTATGTTCTGAATGTGCACAAAGCAATATTATCTTCGTGTGAACATCACGCGACGTCGGCGATGCTTGTGAACGTCCCTCCCAGTGGTCTCCCCCAACTCTCCCTTTCCTACCGTTGAGGGGGTACTTGTGCACAGAGCCCATATTGTTGGAAATAGACAGTTCTAGCTGCCCCACAAGGATCCACTTAGATATACTGTGTGTAGATTCCTTTTCCCTCTATTTGTTATGCTGTATGCGAATATTAGGTGAGATGGTAATATGAAACCATAATAAAACATAAACCATAAAAATATTACAGGTCATGTCTGTTAAAATAAAGGAGAGAGACATTTCTTACTGCAGCATGTTTGAAACGATGGCATCCACATTGTACAGTGCGTCCATGGGCAGTTCAGTGAGAATGTGACCATATCTGTTGTGACAGGACAAGGAAGGAAACGTTGAGAAAAATAGTATGAACTAGTTAATAAAAACAAGACATAGAAGTGACAAAAATGTACCCCCCCCCCCCCGAAAAAAAGACAAAACTGAACAGTTTTGTAAGTAGGTTTGTATTGCTTTAGGGCCAAAACAATGTATGGAAACTACCTTTACAATGGATTTAACCCTCCTACAGTCTGAACAGTCACAGACAGTCAAAAAAATCAATCCTAAGCTTCCCCTGCCACGCCTTTTACACAGGCTAGTCACAAACAGTCAGATCATATTTCAAGTGTGTTTCTATAGTCAAATTCAGTCAACCTACAAAAGCAGGCAAGTGGTCGGCAGGATTATCAATCACCTAGCTGTGTCAAGTTACAAAACAGTCACAGCCAGTCAATCCTGCTTTTATGTAGGCTGGGAGCTCTTAACTGTTAAAAACAGTTACTTGGCTGATTTTGACTGTTAGGACAACTTTACACAGAGTGTACATGTTTGCATAGGAGGGTAAACATAATTTGTCTACATAAATGTTTATTCTGGAACAGTTAATTGTCGAGTTTTGTTTGGTGTGTTTCGAAGGTTATTTACCTGAACACAAAGAGTGAATTCTTATGATTGTCCCTTGAGCAATAATCTTCCACAGGGTCAGAGCTACAGTCAATCTGTACACACAAAAACAAATGTACTCTATTGGCGTGTTGTCAATATAATCAACTTTTTAAGCAGATCATGTATACAAATTACAATGTACCAGTATTTTTTTAAGGAATTGTGAATTGGTCGCGTGCTAATTAGGTTTGCTTTTAATAACATCAGCTCAATTTGTGAGAAATTTACTTTGCCAATACAATAGATGCAAATGAATATCATCATGACTATTATTTCCTGTGTATAAGGTTTGGACGATATTTCGGTAAGGCGAAATAAAAAAAAGACATGTTTAGCGTCCTGCCTTTTTAAAAAATAGGAAGCGGGAGGCCCTTTCCCCCCCCCCCCCTCCAAAATGGCCACCCGACCGGGCTAGTTTTCAAGATGGCCTGCAATTTTTTTTTAAATGGCCACCATTGGACTCAGTAAATGACAAACAGCTTTCTATGGGCTAGATGCAACAGATAAAGAGACCAAAATGATGTCACTGTTGAAAATTTATCATTTTTTCAGGTGTGTATTTTTTGTATTTTTTTTTTTTTAAAAGGCGGCCTCCAAAAAGGAAGCGGGCAGGGACGCTAAACATGTATTTTTTTATTTCGCCTAATACCGTGTAACAACTATATTTTTTTTTGAATTTCTGCGGTATTCTGCCAATGCCGCCAGTTTGCAGTTTCCCTATCTTATTGTCTAATTGTATTTTAATGACATAACAGTCCACCCACCCAGAAATGTAGGTGTTAAATTTTTGTGACAATACATTATGTAGAATTCAGCACAGCAGGTTAATTATACTTTTGGGTGCAAGTTGGTGAAGATATTAATATAATAATTTTTGGGCGGACGTAAGGGTAAATAAAGTTTACATACAGTGGCAAAATTGACTTCGAAGTCCACCAGGTACCGTCCAGCATCCATAAAGTTTGTGATAAACTCTTTCATTTGCCAATCCTTTTCTGGAAAAAAAATTGTTTAAAAATACAAGTATAAACTAAGGCCTATGTAGAACTCAGAAATAATCTAAACTATGTATAAAAAAAACTATGCTGCTGAACGCCTGTATGTGTACAAATCTAATGCATTTTTCGAATAAATTTTTTTTGATGTGTTTTCGTAGAGAATCCATTTGATTCTGCAAAGGAAAGAAAAATTGATTAATTAAAAGTATGGATTTTTTTGTCCCTAAATGTGTTCGCTTTAATGCAGCTACATGTAGTATAGCCCCATAAATGTGGCCTATTTACTGGACTGCCTCCGTAAACATAGGCCACACATCCACATGTACAAAAACGTGTCGACTTTGCCAAATTTTGATTTTCACATTTAGACTTACTTTGTAGATTTTTTTGGCTTTAGAAGCATTCTCACCCTCTATATAGGCTAATCAGAAAGTGCGGCCTTTTTCAGATGTCCATTTTTCGTGAAATTTCCAGATACATTTGCACACGTTTGCGTATCAAAATTTCAGCATGAAATTTCACAAAAATTAGACATCTGAAAAAGGCAGCACTTTCTGATTAGCCTATATAGAGGGTGAGAATGCTTCTAAAGCAAAAAAAAACCACAAAGTAAGCCTAAATGTGAAAATCAAAATTTGGCAAAGTCGACACGTTTTTGTACATGTGGATGTGTGGCCTATGTTTACGGAGGCAGTCCAGTAAATAGGCCACATTTATGGGGCTACATGTAGTACAGCTAGTGTGATTTTTGCAAACAAATTAGAACGCAGAATTGGACTAAAAATGAGCCGGAAAAGCAAATGTTAATAACATTTCCTAGTATTATTAATAATTGATGTCATCAACTGTATCAACAACGTCCTTACTTTTTTTTTTTTATGTACCCAACCCCATGCCCCCTACCCCCCCCCCCCAATCCCACGCCCCCTCCCCCCCCCCCCCCCCCCCCCCCCGCTTTTTCTACTCACTCAGTTTTTCTGGGGATTTAGTGATGAAATGAACGGCGCATGGCAACGCTGAACTCTTAAACGATTCGAAATCCTTGGAAGGCAACACGTTGTAGTAATCCTGTGCACAAACTGCAGCAGCAGCAAGCCACACTGTTAAGAAAAACAGAAAAATCTGTTCCATCTTGAAATGCCTCCTCGATCAAATTGCGTCCGCACGGCCGTAGCTAGTTGAGGAAAGTGATGTTGTGATTTGTTGGTGGCGGAAATTAGAAACAGCGCCACCAAGTGTTGGCAGATTCAATTAATGTACACGACGGCTGTTTCATATAGGGTAGTGCAGTATTTTGCTGTAAAAAAAAATCAAATTTCGGATAGAATCAATTGAACAAAAAAAAAATAGGCTTTAAATTTATGTTGTATTTTGATGCATTATTGTCCATTAATATCGTTCATTTATTTCTATTAATTCATTCTCATGTAAAATTAAGAGCTTACAAACATAAATCAGTAGTAGGATACACGCTAAATTATGTACTGGTGTCGTGCCAAAAACCGTCCGGTGCCAAATAGTGTCCGCTAACCAGCATAATGCGATCTGATTGGTCATGCGTCCATGACGTCACATTGTTTACGGAAGCTTGCAAATAGTGTCCAACGGTAAAAGTTGGGGAAAGTCCCTTCGATACGACTGATGACCTCGAAGTGCAAGGGCCAATGACGGGGAAAGCAGCGGGGGAGAATTGTCTTCGAATGATTGATGGTTAAAACGCACGCAAAGATGTAAATGTTCGTGTTATGCTTATGATTATGATTTATCTTGTCGTTGGAGACATTGATAGGTGTCGGCGATGCGTGCTTCGATCAAGCTTCTTCAAGCGTCTTAAAAAGTTGCAGGGTTTCAGACCTTTTAAAGCGCAACCCTCACACAGACTAGTCTATGCAATAGACCATGGACATTTGAGCAGATTCGCTGATTAATTGTACAAGACAACCGCATCTTGACCTCTAGATTTTGACCAAACAGAAATAACGTTGGTTATAATGCTACACGGAACAGTACTATACTACACACACTACGGCGTTACTTTAGGCCTATTCGTACGCTAAGCGCGGACACTATTTGCAAGCTTCCGTAAACAATGTGACGTCATGGACGCATGACCAATCAGATCGCATTATGCTAATTAGCGGACACTATTTGGCACCGGACGGTTTTTGGCACGACACTGGCATGACTGGTGGCTATTTCATGTATTTGTGGTGTGCATTTCAAGGTGGGAAATTAAAAAACCCAAATCGACAAAATGTTTGAGAACCTTGCTGGAGATCAACTAGTGTTCCGGTGTGATTCATTACCAAAAGCAGTTCTAACCTGCTTTATTTTGGCTACCAGTTATGTAGGCAGTTTATACGTTTGGCGAACAAACCTTCCAAGGTAATTAAGCATGTTAAAGGGAATGTACAACATTTGCTTTTGCTGCAACTTTCAGAAATAAATGGGTTAGGAGGATTAGTATGTTATAGCAAATATTGTTAAAATGACTTGTTTCACGTTTTGGGCTTGTAGATGTTAGAAAAACCAAGAAAACCAATCATGTTCTTGTAGTCTGGTTCCCCGACCCCACTTAAGATGAAACGGAGCAATTTATAGACTTTTGGGAATTGTAAAGTCAGAGAATCAGTCTAGCAGGCTTGTACCCCTTCACAGGTGTGCAATCAATTGCAAAGAAAACAATGAATAACTAATTATGAAAAATTAGAAGCAGGATTTGAAAAAAGCCAGTTTTTTCCAACGCTGGTCGGCCGACCAGCGTTGGAAAAATACCATTTTTCTTGAGAATGATAGCACACCAGGAGCCACGATTTAACAGGATGCTTTAGACTGTCATTCCCTAAAAATCCAGTAAGGTATTTCATGATAATTTGATCATTTCGTTTTGTGATGTTTTGCAAATGTTGTATCTTCCCTTTAAGTGCGATCCAAAAATACCAAATGTTCAGGCGCAAAAAATTTGTTTCATAGAATACAAAAAAATAATGTGAGCCCCCCCCCTCCTGCTCTGACACCCCCCCCCCCCCCCAAAAAAAAACATTATGATAATCAACCTGTGCACAGATTTTTTTCAGAATCAGAGCAAGCTGGGTTACCATGGTTACAGGGGGTATTTCTAGTTTTAAACTATTCTGTAATATTATACTCATATTGTTGATGATTGTCGGATTTTAACAGTACCCCCATTGGAAGTATGATACGACTACGAGTGCCCCCCCCCCCCCCCATTGATTTTACAGAGGCCAAGTGTCCTGAAAAGAAGAAAAAAATGTCTACAAACTACATTTCAGATCTTTTTGCTGATGAGAAAAAAACCTGCAAATATTCTAGTCCGAGTAACTCAGACGACCATGACCAAATGTTAAAAAAAGCGATCCGTAGAGTCTTAGTTACTCGGACACAAATATTCCTGGATCCTCCCCTGATGTTTCTGTGATGTGAGTACTGTGTAGTCCCGACAGCCACCCTGCTGTTCTCTTGCTCTGTGGTCTAAGTTGATAAGTATAAATACATCAGATTGACATTTTACAACTTCAAAATCATTTTTGAAATTTTCAGGTGGTAGCCTCAGGCATATCAAGGGGATGCAGGAAAGGGGGGGGGGGCGGTCATTGCGGTGGATGCAAATGTATCAACAAATATCATTCTCAAGGTTTTAATTGCAATATAAAGCCATACCATACCCCCCCCCCCACCGCCTCCTCCCCAACCACCCCCCCCCCCCCACCTCAAAAATCCACCCTTTCCTGAATCACCTTCAAAACGTGTATAAATCAAGTTCATTGCTTTGATGATTCCAGTTTTGATAAGCCTGGTTTATTGTGTTTCTCTCCTCAGGGATGACCCTAACACAATCAAGAGAAGAAGCCTCAGCGCAGCTGCAGTAACGCTCCTTGCTCCAATCTGTGTTCTCACTCAGGCTTATCGAGCCGAGGCTGGCAAGGTAACCATGGCAACCAACATTGGGACTATAAAGCTGTGATAGCATCGCATGTAGCAATGGCCCCAAGTTTAGTCCGAAAATTTGGGACTCTCAATACTGTGTATGAGAGTCTCAAAACGTAAGGTATTGAAAACATGCGGTACAAGTTTTTATGCTGATGAACTCCAAACTCAAAAATGATGTTGAAATGATTATCTTTTGCTAAAAATATTTGGTGAACGGGGTCAGAAATTGCCTTAGATTGCACCACAGAGCATCTAGAATCCAAAATGTTCAGGGGCCCTTAAGCGGGCCCTGGACACCCTGCCATTAGGGCTTCTTCGCGCTCGCATTAATTCTGATCAAGCTAAATTCTCACTCTCAGCTCTTACACAGAGTTGGCACACATCCCTATCTGAATTGTTTTCGTTTGGCTGAAAGAACACCACCTTTTTTTGTGATCCGTGGACAGAACTTCAAAACGGTGTTTGTGTTTAAAATTCCGTAACTTAAAAAGTACATGACTGATCTGAATGATTCTTGTACTAAATGAAAGCATATGAATTGGGCTTTCATATCCTAGATTTTGAAAGTGCTACATGCAGAACTTCACTAAAAAAAATGGTCCCGACATTTGGGTTTCGTTTTTTCTTACTCACCCTGTACAGAAAAAATCCTACTTTTGCCACTCTGCAGTTCTACTTAAAATACATGTGTATAACTTCTATTGATGTCTTCTAAATATTGGTTTGGACATACATGTAGGTCTTAAGGTTTTTTTTTTCAATAACCAGGCATGCAACTTGACCTCGGATCAGCTGACTTCCTTGTGTTTGTACTTCACAATTATGCCATTAAAAAATTGACATACACTGTATAAGGGCAATTCCACGGTTACTCACGTTACATTTTTGATGTACTTTTGAGTTTCCTTGGGCTGTAATTACCTTACTGAAAAGGTTTAATAACTGTTATCCCCATGGTAGATAGAGTAGACCTAGACCTACCTAAGCACCAAAGATAACATCCAGAAAAACGTGTTATGTATGATAAACAAGACGCACAAAATCGGTTACTCACGTTACGAAAATGTAACGTGAGTAACCGATTTTGTCGGTTATCAAGAAGTGGTGAATATGCTTTTTTTTTATTGAAACTGCTTTTTGAAATTGTAAGTAAGGTTTCACATTAGCTAAATTGTGCTGATGATGTTACAAAATATTTTTATTTTTGTTTTTTGTTTTCCCCTCGCCAACAGGGCTATTCAATTTGGCAGTATCTTGGAATACGGCAGGCTGGTCTCTTACCATCTTTCTGCCTTCCACTGTTACTTACCATGGTATGTGAGTCTGGGCGACAGACATGAAACATTTTCTTTTTATTCATAGTGCAATCAGTAAATGAATTCCTCGATACAATTCCCTGTACTTCATTGGGTTTTGCCTTACAGAACCACAAGCCTTTGAGAGATGAAATAGACTAGAAATAAAAAGCAGCTAAGATATTTCAAAGAGGGTTAGCTTGTGCATCCTAGTGAAGTGATTGTATGAAGTCTTTGATTAATATTAAGAAAAGGTCTATTGAGATTACTACAGGCAAGAATACCGTACTGATGTAAATTAGTAAATTACTAATTCTACATTTGCATTTTCCAATAATTTTCTTCAGGTGCAAAAAAATGTTATTAATTGTTCAACTGGTACTCATTTTTTTCAATCACAGTTTCTGTTTTTAGGACCACTGTACATGCTGCTGCTTGGTGACTCCAGACAATCTTTACCCAGTGAGTTGGCATGTCTTGTATATACAGAAAAAAAATTCAAAAATTATATTATTAACAGAACACAGCTTTGTTGTCTAATTTAAATACTTTGCTGAATTATTATTTTTAAAGTTGAACAAAAAAAATTGACCTCCCGATTGCCGTTCCGGTGCTCTACCAACTGAGCCATCCAGCCCTATGTTGGCAGTTCCTCATTCTGTCAATGTCTTTGTTCAAGGGGCGCTAGTCAGAAGCCATAAACCTGTAGATGCCATGTAGCCAGGGATCACGCCCAAAGTCATGATACCAGCAACATTAGCAAAGCTGCAAACCCTGAAAATAGCAAACGGGGATACATTTTTAATTTGCTAAATTGAAAGAAGGCAAGTTAGAAAAAAAGAGTGATTTACCCTTTGATATGGTAAATTTCAGACGGATATTTCAAAAGATATAGGGAGCCCATTTGCGGTTGAATTTTGTAAGCTACATGTAATAAGCATCAGTTGAGGCCCTTTGCATTGTTATTCCATGGTTTTTCTGAAAGAAAAATAAAATAATTGTAAAATAAAGGCAATCCTCATCACATTATGGGGAGCATGTAATGTCTTCTGTGGATTAATTATGGTGGTGGGATTTTTTAACATTCAGCTTGAATTTCACTATGATTTTAAAAACCAGATATTCGAAACTGACCTTGAAAAACAATTAAGCCTACCATTTTTTGCTCTAGACTATGTTCTCTGATTGTACCTGCATTCACTTGCTAGTGGTCTTCTTGATATACCTATGAATAGCCTGCCCATTCGACTTCACAAAGAGTTCCCACCAATTGTTTTCAATATTAGTATTATTACAACTCTGAAGTGTTTTTGCAAAGGCCCGGTGGTCATTGAACATATCCAGTCATTGGGAGGGCATTTCATGTGGCACCTCACGCGCTACTTTTTGTTGTGCAGCAACAGTGCATGACTGAGCTGGATGGGAACTTCCAGTGAATTCAGATAACCGTTTTTCGGTTTCAAAAAATATTAGAGGATAACTGGATTTAAAAATCTCTTTGCATATCTGTGTAGAAGTTTGTTTCATTGTCCCTCTGTATTTGTGTCTTCTTATTCTGTAGTCAAAGAGATGCCTAGGAAGTGGTGGGCAAACAGTGGGGGATTGGCCGTAGCAATACGAAATTACATTGTTGTAAGTATGCAAGTTGCAAACTTTTCAAAGCATTTATTTTATTTTGTCGCCTGAACATCTATTTATCTGTTTGTTATGTCAACTTTTCAGTGAAAAGGTGCTAAGAATCATTTGCTTTTCTGTGCATTCTTTTTTATTTGGAGCAACAAAATTGCTCAAAATCTTAAATTGCCCAAGAAGCAGTTGACAGGTAGTGAAGTAGTCTAGAGGCTAGACGTTGTTACTGTTTGTACGCGATAGCCCGCCGCGATAACCGGCCGCTGCACGAGGGCGCTATCACGACAAACCAATATCGCCCACGAATCCGTCAGAACAACGTCTAGATCACTTGCTATTGGTTGTGTAATGCGCGGGCACCTGTTCGGCCTAATATATGCAGCGCGCAAATTAAAAAATCATAGTAGTTCAAAAGCAAACTCTCAAATTTCTTCCAGTAGGTTAAAAGCTGCAGCAAGACTGCAATTTTACTGGTCAGCTCTTTTGTTGTGTGTAGTATGTGTGGGACTGTAAATGGACCGTAATTGTCTGCAGAAGTCGCGCATGCGCACTAATTTCCCCCATTTTTCAGGGGGAGATTTTAGCAAGTGGTCTAGACGTTATTCTGACAGGTTCGTTGGCGATATTGGTTGGTCATGATAGCGCCCTCGTGTGGCTGATTATCGCGGCGGCGCGGCGGGCTATACGCTATCGCGTACAAACAATAACAACGTCTGGCCTCTAGACTAGCAGTGAAGTGCGCGGGGAGACAAAGCCTCGTTGTTATTACAAGGGTTTGTCATGTTAATAAGATGGATTTCCCTTTGTGTCTGCGCTGCCAGGGTCCCATCACGGAGGAAGTTGTCTTCAGGGCGTGCATGCTGCCGCTACTAGTGCCTTGCCTTGGGAACCTCCAGGCTATCTTTGTCTGTCCTCTGTTCTTTGGAGTAGGTAAGAGGATAATTAAGGAATGGCGGATTCAGTCGCACAAGACTTGCTTGTTGTTGGGTTGCATTAGACTGCGCCAAGCCTGGCTAGAAGCCACTTTTGTAGAGAAATGACAACAAAAACTGTAAATGCTTGGACATTTTCACGCTGGTTAAAAGTTTTAATTTTATGATTTAATGAAATTTGAAGCTAATTAAATGTAAATGCATTTGCGTAAAATACACTCAACCAAAAAAGAAAGTCCCCCCCCCCTTCCAATACTTTTTTGTCTAACTCAAAAACTACTGAGCACCTCTCGCTCAAATAATGACTGATCAGTACAGAAATTCCTTAGCAATCCAGCCATACTCTTTAATTGTCCCAAAACAGTGATAATATGTATGACAAATGATACCGAAAACAGTTGCACTTTTGTATACGTGCAAGTGGTTCACACTCACCTTGCACGTATACAAAAGTGCAACTTTTTTTCCAGTACCATTTGTCATAAATTGCATAATTTTGTACACATCATCAATGTTTTGGGCCAAACAAAGAGTATGGCTGGATTGCTAAGGAATTTCTGTACTGATCAGTCATAATTTGAGCAAGATGTGCCCAATAGTATTTGAGTTAGACAAAAAAGTATTAAGGGGGGGGGGGCCTTTCTTTTTTGGTTGAGTGTAGTTGAAGAATAGTGAACAAGTACATAGGATTTTTATATTGAGTAGCCTACCAAACCTGGTCAGGTACCAGAACTCATGTGCAGTCAGTTGGCTGTGTAGTTAACATCTTGAAAGGCCCCCTTCTGAATTGAGTAACGTACTTTCACTAGAGATCATAACAATTTTAGCACTGTTGCACAAATCACCTTCATTATCCACTGTTTTCAAAATGTTTACTAACAACCTTTTTGTAACCTCTTCCCCCACCTCCCACACACCCCCCAAAAACCTTTGGTCTGAAATCATTCCTTGAAAAACAAGTGTTATTTCATCCCATCAGCACATTTTACACAGAAATCTCTAACCTCTATAGCTTTTCCCTTGATTTATTATATCACATAAATACTTGTTTACTTTGTCTGTACATTTTAATTTTGTTCTTATTGTTTACAGCCCATGTGCACCATGTGATAGAGGGTTTACGGCAAGGTGTTAAAAAGCCCCTAGTTGTTTGGTTTGCTGCAAGTAAGTCCCAATATTTAGCTGGGCATGAAAAATATTCAAGCATGATGATTTACATCATTAAAAAAGTATACATGTATATATTTGTGTTATTTTTATAGAATATTGTGTTTTAAAAACACATTGCATTAAAGGGAATATACAACATTTGCAAACATCGAAAAATAAAACTACCAAGTTTTTACGAAATACCTTAATAGGATGTTGGTAAATGACAGTCTAAAGCATCCTGTAAAATTATGGCACCTGGTGTGAAGTCATTTTCAAGAAAATGGTATTTTTGTAAAAATTTTCAGCGGTGGTCGGCCATTGGAAAAACCTAACCATTTTTCAACTGCTGCCCCAAATTTACCATTAATTTAGTCCAAATTTTGTTTGCTATTGGTTACATGTTCATGAACAGGTGAAGGCCAGCTAGACTGGTACCCTTACATTACAATTTTCCGGCATCTGTAAATTGATCCATTTTACATTTAGTGGAGTCAGGGAACCAGACTACTTGAACAGTTTTGTTTTTCTTGGCTTTTCCAGCATTTTCGAACACAAAACTTCAAACATGTCAGTGTAACAATATTTGATCTATTATACAAACCCCTCAAATAGTTCATTTCTGAAAAATACAGCAAAAGCCAATGATGTGTATATTCCCTTTAACTTAACAACACTTCATCAGAGATAGACAAACCCAAATGTTAACAAACGTACATTACCTCAATGCAAAGCAAACAATTCCGTCTACAACCAGTGGTTGTGATATTACCATGGTGAATTCCCTGGGGCCAATTTCACGGCGCTGCTTAACAGTTAGCAGAAAAGTTGTGCTTAGCAAAGCAGACAAATTTGCTAACCTATAGCACTGTTTCACGGCGTGTGTGCTAATGGTCGCGCGTGCATGGAGATTTCTATTGTTACGTCACTAAGTTGAGCAAATTTTTCCTCTGAAGTAAGCGTGCCTTTTGCTGTGCTTATGCTTACTGTCTCCTTGAAATAGACGGAGGCTCTGTTAGCAGAAAATGATGTGCTTAGCAGCGCCGTGAAATTGGGCCCTGGATGCTGAGTAATGCAGGGGAAGCTTAAGGTTCTAGAGAGTGGCGTATCCGGGGGGGGGGGGATTTTGATGGCATCATGAAACTGAAAACTACAGTATTTATAAGACGGTTTTAAGACGGTTCAGACGTTGATACAATAAAGTCTTAATTTTGCCATTGATACAGTAAAGTCTTAAGTTTGCCAACCACCCCCACACCCTTCCCGGGCATAAAAAAGCTAGATACGCCACTGATTCTTCATTTCATCACCAATATTGAGAGGCCATCATTGTTCTGGGTACTTAAGCAGGAGAAATGTTCTGTTCATTGGCACATTTTTAACAGCTTAACGTTCAATCTAAACATTGATGGTTGAAAAAATATAATTTTTAAATTAAATCCACATGTTAATTGGCATCAGTACCCTGTGATTTACAGCTACTTGTACCCTGAAATGGCGTCTTTATTAGCGCCTTCATTGGTTCCAAAATTTATCGATTTCATCCGCAATTTGACAGTGAATATGAAAAAGCAATCAAGTCATTGGTTTGCCACGGGCACAGCACCGTGGCCTTTATGAATAAGTAAACATAATCTTGATTTGCTCTGAGAAGTTAAATTCACATATAGTGGATGTCAGTTATAAATTATGTGTTGCAAACGAAAAGAAATACTCGAAAGCTTTTATCCTGGTCTACAGTGGAAAGAAAATGAAAATTGGAAAATATACCCATGTAGAATAGAAAAAATAATATCACATCAGTTGAGACTTATCCAGTGACAATTTTTGTCAATATACCATGTTTTTTTTATTTAAATGAGTCTTTTAATACCGCTTTTTTTATTGAACAGACTTGAGGAAAAAACTGACTTAAAATAACTGAGCGGAAATGCCAACAAGATTTTTATTTTTTCCCCCAGTTTTCCAGTTTTTCTACACAACAGTCTTCGGTGCCTTGTCAGCCTTCATATTCCTCAGGACAGGTGAGATTGTTGATTTTGTTTAATTCTATAAATTAAAATTTTATAAAATTTACAAATTCACAAATATATACATAAATCACAAAAAAAATATCAGTGAAGTGGTGAATATTCCCCTGCTGATTAGAGTGATAGTGGTTGATGGCTCTTTGTAAAAATGTCTCCTTAAACTGCTTTCCTGGAACTTATGACAGTGAGTAGAATCACATCAACGCAGCTGGTGAAATGATGTCCAATTACATGATATACAAATTGACACGGAACGCGCAAAATCTGAGACAAACAAAACTTAACGTACAAAATTATATAGGATTGTCTAAGGGGCGTGGCTAACTCGCAAATTGGCGATAGGTCAATTAATGTTGACACAAAAGAAATGAATGACTGTCTTGGAATGATAGTAATATTGTGATTGTTAGTAGCAGTGCTCTATAGTCTAGGACCTGAAAGTATGAGTTACCACAATTTAAAGAAAGTTTTGCATGCAGGCAAAAAGAACTGTCGCATTTCACAATCTTTTTTGGTTAATAAAAAAGTGTTTTCAATTATTTTGTTCACAAGTGTATTATTTTGTTTACAATGATTCGTTGTGCAAAATGATATATTTGTCACCTGACCTATCATGTGACTTGTCACACGCTCCTTAACACACTGTACTTGAATGTGTATGATCCCCTAGGTCACCTGATTGCCTGCATCATAACGCACATGTTCTGCAACTTCATGGGCTTCCCAGCCTTTGAGGAAATCCCCAACCACACCCTGCTGCAGAGGGTCGTCATATGCGCCGTGTTCCTCACCGGACTGTCGCTGTTTGTCTGCCTACTCTTACCACTGACCAATCCAGAGTGGTTTGCAAATGAGACGTACCGCTGGTCACAGGTCTGGTAACCGAACCTCATGCAGTGGTGTAGTAGTATGCTGTCCCATGGAATCCTCGCACAGGGACGTCCTGAACAGTAAAAATAAGTGCCAGTGTTGAATGGCATATGTGTGCCATTCCAGCCGTCCACCCATGCTCAGTCGCAATAGTCTCATGCACAGGTGTTACGAGCTTGCGTACATGTCCGTTGAGAATTAGTCATGTGCCTATCATGTGATCTGGAACTGGTGCAGGCACCTGATATGTCTTGCAGTGGGTCCCGTAAGTAGCCAACACAACATCATCTATGGTTCGTACACGGAGTCCACGCCGAGTGTGTGAAGTAACAGTATGACGTTAAAGTGCATATGCACTGCAAGTGTCCTACGGCATATACTTTGTATGGAGACACTTTAGGAGTTGATAAATCGCGTTCAACACAGAAGCACTTTTTGTACACTCACAAGTTGTAATTAGTGGTGTAACGTTAAAAAAAATGACCAACCAAATACGTTTTTGCTTCTGCCTGTAAGCTTCGGAGGTTGTAATTCCCGTATTATCTTATCATTCCTCGGTAGTCATGTAGTATAGTTTTCAAACCACTTGTACCTCAGTCTGGAAAATGCAAAGTAAGTAAACGGTAAATAAACATAGTCACCGATTGGTATTGAATGAATTCATCATGTCCTTACTCTAAAGGCAAGTTCACATGCAATCAATGGTCAAATATCAGTTGATATCTCCTGACCAACATGTCTGGGCATTTGCAACTATTGTCCAACTCAAGTTGTCCATGCATCCGATGTGCATTTCAGTACAGTTTGTCTAACTGGGGTTAAAGGTAGAGTACATCATTTGCAGCTATCCAAAAAGTAACTGACTGAATTACTGTTGAAAAGCTTACTTGGTTTAAAGATAGCAATGGCACTTAACTCCCTGTGAAGGTATTCCTCCTGGCATGTCATTTTGAAGAAAACAGTAAAAAGAAGGTCATTTCTAAAGATGTGTCTAAAGACGCCTTTTTGGAAATATCCGCTAGTCATTCGTTTTTTGATTCGGCGAAGCTGTGAATGGGTGTGCGCAAGTGTTGACACGATGCACACACGTGTGCAGTTGCTATAATTGTTGGTTCAGTGCGTGGCATGGCGTAGTTGCTATCGGCTGAATGAGAATTTGTCCCGGACGCTGATTTCGTGCGCAATTCAAAACATGACTCGGCTACTTTTGAATTGATATCGAGATCCTAGAATATTGTTTTCTCGAAATGTACAGCATTCACAGAGCTAAAATTTCATCAGGTTAGTTGTTAAGCACCTATCTTTAGATTTTGAGCACTTTTGTTGCTTTAAACAAACATGATGCACAAATTACAAATGATGTACCCTACCTTGAAAAGTTGCTGGGTAGTTGTAAAATGCCAGGAATTTTCTGAAAAGTTGGTTTAGTAAACAGTTACTTGCAGACAATGCAGTTTTGTGCTGTGGCTAGGAATACGTAGCAGTAATTGGGTGATAACAAACTGTTGGCTTTGTTGTCGTTAAGAACAAAATCAAGAAATGTAGGTGATTTGAAAACGATCAGTCAATGGACTAATTTTGGGAATTAAGTGTGCTTTTGATGAAATCATGTTTCATGGTCAAAGGTTCTGCATAAGTGATTTTGGATAAAATGACTAATTTCAATTTTGTTGGGAGGGGAATGACATTGTCTTGTTTAAGAGTCAGTACTTGTAGGGTTTTCAGGACATGGTTTGTGCAGTTAAGTTCAGGTTTGGCGGTTGGGTGGGGGATCGAGGCAAATTTCACATTAGCATTGCAGCTGAGGTGCTCAATGTTAAGCCATTGGTTGGACACTGAGGAGCTATTCTTTTGTAGTGAAAAAAAACATGACTACCACTGGATCCTTGGTGTCAATGCTACATGTAATTTGAAATTTGTCTATGGCTGCCTTTTACTCTCAACCCAACCCCAAACGTAGATGTAACTTATTTCATTGTTTAAGAGTTCAACATCGCAGCTGTTGTAAAGTGTTTTTCTGGGGTGGGGGGATGGGGGCTTTTTGGTGGCCTCAACCAAAAAGTGCATTGTGTGTTTGGTATTGTTTCTGAGTTTTGGCGACAATTAGTGTTAAGGTAATTGCAATTCGGGCAATTCACAGTGCAGTGCACCACCAAGAGTTTGCCACTCGGAGTTCATTTTTCCCAGTGCATTGTGGGAGATGGTTGAAAAATTCGCAGCGGGAGACATTTGAAATTGTTAATTTTTCCGGTCAGTAGTTTCATAAGCGTATGATTCAAGTATATGTTTGCCCTTTTCTTTTCTTTTTATCAATATGGTGTTTTCTGTTTTTCTTTTTATCAATATGGTGTTTTTGTAAGGTGACAGAACGCTATGCCTTAATCTATAACAAATTAGCTCGTTATCTACTGACACTCGTTCAAATGGGCCGTGTTTTGTCGACCGTAAACTTGAATAATGGACTCCATGGCAAACTCTTGGTGGCGCACTGCATTGTGAATCGCCCGAATTGAATTAATACTCTAGTAAAGTCACCAAAACCCTAAACGAATGGGAAACAACTGAACCATTTTCGGTTACAACCTCCAAAATGCATTCCTAGTTTATCTAAGTGATTGTAATTAAAAAGTGGTGGTACAGGGCATAGAATACGAAGTGAAAGCATCTTCCTTTTTCTGGTTAGGTACAAACTCAGGAACAGTTTTGCACATTTCTTTTTAATTGAAAACAAAATACAATTCACATAGGAGGAAACTAATAAGGCCAAATTTAGGACCCCTCCCTTCCAATGCAGATATTACTTTAAGTAACTAAATGCACGGACGAGTTTTATTTCTTCACATTTAGTGGATTAAAGTTCATGTCATTAGTAGTATCAACATTCCCCTTGTGTTCGGATTAGGTGAAATATTGAGAAGGCTTTTCTTTCCAAATCGATCATTGATTGCATTATTATCTCTGCAGTACTATTTCTGTTTGTAATGTTTTTATGTTTATGTTATGTTGAAAATTTTATCATAGTAAAGTTGAGACGAGCTGCAAATATAAGACTTTTTATCAATGCACTTTACTGTTTGTTGTGTTTCATTATTGTGTTGTAGACTCGGTGTCTTTTAAGTATGTGAACAAAGGTTTTTATTTTAGTGTACCTGATCATAGTTATAAATAAAAGTCACGCATGCCGATTTTAAACAGTTTAACTATTTTGTAGTTGAATGGAATCAAACTGATTAAAATAAATTAGAATTTTTATTTGATACACTTAGGCGTTCTTTCAGAGTATATTCTTTCACAGAGTACATGTATTAAAGCTTTCAGTGGGTCCGGAAGAATTAAGGCTTTCAATGATGAAAAACTTTAAATGTGGTATGGCAGGATTGAAAGATGCCTCCATGGGGACTGCTGAAGATCGTCAGAGAATACTGGTCGAGTGTCAAACCACATGGTTCTAAAGAACTCGCATTTTTCCCACTCTGAAACAAACACGTCCATTGATGGTACCACAAACTTTCTAAAGTGCGACATTTTGATTGGAAAAACTGCAATATTTTTGCTAGTGACCTTTGGTTAATAGGATGACTGGAAAAGGTTGAATTTTTCTGTAGTGTTTTTACATAAAAGTGTTCAAAGCTGAACTGGACAGTGTCCAATGAAATAGTTGCCTGCCCGATCACCATGAGTTTGTAACCAAAAATCAAACGCGAAATGTCAAGTTTATGTTATTTTTCATGTTTACAGCTTATGCGGACAATATAATGTATCATGAAAAAGTGAAATAAAACGACTACACCCACGCCCCTTAGACAACCCTATGGAATGTTTGTATGCTAAGTTTTGTTTGTCTCGGATGTTGCGCGTTCCGCGTCCATTTGTATATCATGTAATTTGACAATAGACCGCTTGCAGATGCGTTCGATAATCGACGCGCGAAGGCGCGCGACACCATGTTGTGGGACAAGCATATATCTATCCATGCACATTTTGTCCCACAACATGGCGTCGCGCACCTTCGCGCGTCAATTATCGATCGCGTCTGCAAGCGGTCTTTATATTATTTCACAAGCCTATGGGCTTGACGCGATTCTAACGCGATTCTACCGCGATTAAGAATGACACGCGATTCAAAGAAAACGCACAAAAGCGCCGGGTTTTTTTTAATCCAGAACGCGTGACGGCCACGACCGCGCTTTCAAAAAGTGAACTTAAATGTTGTGCCATGCCAAATATCTTTATCATAGACAAGAAGAAGCCAAGATGACCCTTGACGGTAAGTGTTGAAGACTTCGGTGTTGTTAACTATATCATAAGAGCAAGGACCGAATGTTCTTGTCAAATTATATCCATAATGTTCGCTAGAATTGGCCTGTTTCCTCGGTTTGTTTAAAATTCTATTGAGAGAGTGGCAGAAATAATGTTGTCCATAATGTTTTCCGAAGTAAGCGCCTATGGCTACTTTATATCCTTCAAATTTACAAGGTAAAAGTTTATAACAGCCCCCCCCCCCTTAAACAAGCAACTTGCATGTGTGAGAAACTAGCGTCAAAGCCAATAAGATCATCTGTATTTATCCCAAAAGTAACCCACCGATTAAATTGGTTAAGCTTTAGGCCTACTTGGATTCAAAGATCGTTATGGTTAGGCCTATGGTGGGCCTACATTCCGTCTGGCTTGCTGTCATTTACAAGAAATCAAGACATAAGGGTGATTTCTAACGATCAGTCAGTTGAGAATTGGCTGATTTTTGGACTAAAGAGTGCTATTGATGAACTCGTTATTAAGTCCTGAACTTGGTTGTTTTCGAGGGAACTAGGACGGAGGTTGATCAAATAAAAGGTTGTGCGTGGTTTTCCATTGTTTTCTCGAAAAGTGTTATGTCCACCTTCATTGGGTCCACTGCTTCAACTGGCTAGGTTTTGAACATTCTTCTTTGGATTTTGAGTGGTGTTATTATTGGGAACGAACGAAATTCAAGAAATGCAAATGATCTTATAGAGTCTTGTATGCATTTATGCCAAGAAAAGCATGAGAATTAAAGTTATGGGCATACATTTGTATAATAAAATCCTTGTATATAAGACCGCAATATTTTATCATAATAATTATCTTAAAAGTAAAAAATAATTTTCCTCCGTTTCCATTTCTTGCGCATTTCCATTCTCCGCTTGCGAGTGTCTCTCTGAATATAAGCTCTTTAGTCAAGCTCTGCACCCGGGTCATGTTCCAATAATTTAATTACCGAACGGGGATAACGTCGTCCGCTGCTTAACCGTGAAACCACAAATAACAAAGGCTAGTCAGACAAGGGCACGGTTCATTTGTTTGGATAACGAGGCCGGGGTCCATTGTCCAAGGACAAAGGCTTTGGCGGCCTGCGCTTTGTTAACTCCTTGGTTACACGGAAATTGTCCAATGGCAGTGAAGCCTGGGAACAGCCCGTCAAATTTGAACTCGTGACTCGTGTATTACAACAGACCGGATGAATGGATTGCTGTCTCGTGTATACTGCAGACCCGTTCTTGTAGTTTGTAAATTTCATGCCACTGTTTCAATTCCACTGATAACGTGTTAACGGCAGGCGATACTGTAATTTGTGGGTTATTTTGAAAAATACTGACGGTTTCTTCTTGTTACTGATCAGCCATTTTTGTGAGTTTATCAGCAACAATGAATCGCTACACACCTGTGGAGAGGCTATGTAGCGGCTACTACGGCTCAGATCACCGTGTGAGAGAGCGACGTCCCGGCAAGAAGGAACGGAGGGTGAAACTGGTGCCGTGCGGTAGCAGAGAGTTCGCCCTGCGAGCACTGAGCGTGTATAGGGAGCTGGCCTACCTGCCCAAGCACGAGAATGTGGCCAAGGTGAAGGAGGCCTTCCTGCACCGTCAACAAGGCACCATGTACCTGTGCTCGGTGGGCAAAGAGTACGGCGGTCAAACCCTGAACGAATTTCTGCTGCAGAAGCACTCGGGGTTAACAGATGAAGCCTACAAGACGCTGTTTCTGCAGATCACCAGCGGACTGTCCTACCTGCACTCCAACAACATCGCCCACAACACACTGACGCCTTTCAGCGTGGTCATGACGGAGTTCCACAACGGCAACGGTGTGGCCAAGCTGACCGATTACGGCTTGGCCCAGCTCTGCCTGCAGGCCACGGATGATTGCTACGATCTAGAGGAAGGGCGGTCCCTTAGCCTGATGTACGCCCTGCCTCCCGAGGCTTACCAACCCACGTGGGGGAGGGAGTTCGATAAACCAAACAGAGCCGCTGATATCTTCATGCTGGGGATGCTCTTCAACGCAGTTGCTGACCACTCCCTCCTCCCGGTCCCTGAATCCCAGAAGAAGAACACACGAAGTGACAATGACAACCAAATGGTTCGGGTCTTTGCGACCGTCTTGCCGTTCCCCGGCTACGGGTCGGTGCCGGTCGGCAAGTTCCTTCACAGCAATCCCAGCGTGGATCTCGACCGCCAACTCTTCCGTACCGTCAGCCCAGACCTGCGACGCCTGCTTCGTAGGATGGCCTTGCTTGAGCCCAACGACCGCCCAGCACCCACCGGGGTCATACAGATGCTGAACGCCTGCAAGGCGATTCGGAAACCTACCGAAGAAGCCGACGACAGCACCTTCAAGATGCCCCTAGCTCCGTTCATGACTACCACCAACAGGAAGAGGAGGAGTTCCTCCATCCCCTTTGATCCTACGACCACCACAGCGCCGAAGAAGAACAGGATGGCGGGCCCAGCTAAGGAATGGGAGAAGGCGACATCAGAGGCAGCGTCCAGCCTCATCAGGCGGGCATCTCTGCGATTGTCTCAAAGAGCTAAAAGTGTTAGTGACTTCCTCAATCAAAAGAAGTCCATGAAAATCACCGACTGATGCCTACAGTGATGTTTGTTTGAAAGCACATGTAAGTTGATTTGGTTTTTAAAAAAAAGTGTCCACATTGAACACTGACGTCGGGTATTATTCACTTTGAAATCCCCGAAATTTTATAATTAGGTAACTTCATCGAAACTAATTGTAAAGTGTAATGCAACATCGACAGCTGAAGAAAGCATTATAATCGCCATTTTGAATATGGCCAGATTTTGTCTTGTCGAATATTTCCAAACAAAATTGGAAATGTTTCTCAGTCCCAGATTCATGTCTTTTCAAAATTTTTGTAATGACTGGCCTTAATTGAGATTATTATAAAGAAAAAACTGCCGTCACGTTGCAACATTCTTTCCAACATACATGGCAATTTTTCGGGGCGTTGCCAACGAACTTTATATTTATATGCAGCTTTTCAGTTGCTATACAGGGAGTACGAAATTGAACTTCGATCCATTTACTCCCATGTCGGCGTCAATAAAAACGAAAGCTGAAACAACAACGAAGATATCACACTGTACCGGCCGGTATGAAAATATTGGCCAACTACATTACATCATTTCATTCCGACCAAAATTTCATTTTTTTTTTAACGTTTTGTAAAACAAACTTTGTCTTTTCAGTGTCCAAGAATGAACGCGTTGCATTCCCGGATCGCCGACTGTGGACACGAATAAAATCAGAGACGATATTCTTCGTTATTTTCTGAAATGTTGTATAAATAAAAAGTGGCAATAGGGAATATTGTGGGTAAACTAACATGGTTCGACGGCCCAAATGCTACATGTCTGCAGAATGTCAACATTTGCGAATCAACAGTCACCTATTTGTGTATATAGGTCTATACTTAATATAATTTAGATACACTGAATCAGAGAAAACTTGGTGTTCCAACGCATTTTTTTTTCATCCGACAGGATGATTTCGAACACAGAAAACTGAAATTGTCGTTTCAAAGTTTAAATTTCATCTTCAAAGATAACATATTTCCCAATGTTCACACTTTTTTGGTTTTAATAAACAGCAGGGAAGTCAGAGAAATATGCTCATTATTTCTGTTCATGAAAGATCAGTCCCATCACATTTTTTGTTCACATCTCTGGTCACTTGGACGGGATCTGCTTGGAGTTTTAGCGCAGATATAAAGTGCAGTTTTGTACATTCCCTATACCACAAACGATTCTGTTTTTTTTTCAATACTTGTTGAAGGCTGCATACCAAGTTACAAAATAAGTGGAGACTATATAAATTTTAATATTGGGACAGAATGGAAAAAGGCTAAAATTCAATTATTTTTTTTAGAGGGGGGGGGGGGCACTCAGTAACTAAAAAGGTGTGAAATGGTGGAGATAATAATTTCCATGAGGTATTTTGGCCAGAAATCAATACATTTATGTTTCATTATTCTCCACTCGGTCATAGACCAGATCTCTTCTCCTTTGGAAATTGAAACTGTGGTATATTTTAAGTCATCTTGTGTCTTTCAGGAACAAAACTGTTGCAAAATGGCACTGCAGGCCAAGCGCACTTGCTTAGACATTGCTTTGTACATAAAACATGTAATTACTGTATAAAGTTCACGGCTGTACATAGTTAAATTATCAAGTACATGTAGTTGATTATATTGTGATCATTGCGTAATTATTTTAAAAAGTGACATTTTAAAAGAAGTGTTTCTTGAATCTCTCCAGCCAGTTGTCTATGGGTGATATTTTATCATTTTAAGAGCAAAATAAAAGGGCTTTTTGGAAAAATATTAATAGGTTGACTGCAAACTAGCTTTTACATTCTCAAGAATGTTACTGGATGTCACCCTTTTTTCTATGTAAGCATAGGAAACTTATTGTAGGTTTTTTCAAAAAACCCGGACGAGAAACATGTTTGTTTGTTTTTATTCGGCCTTAGCAATGCTGCAAACCTGGTTTACTTGAAAAGAATTGCATTAAATGCCTGGAAAACTTGCCGCTGAGAATTTGAATTGAATGAATACAAATGATGGTAGATTTTCAAATTCCATTTTCCAATGCATGTACTATGAATTTATGGACTAAAAGAATACTGCGCACAAAATAACAGAACATGCTCATTGTTAAAAAAAAACCCCAACTATGTCGAACTCAATAATCAACTCGACAAAGAGATGTGTAACATTCAGTTTAATAGAAATTTCATTCAATAGTATACAGCATCTGCATCGTTATTGCTTGACACAAACTATTGTGTTCATTCTATTACCATATTACATTTTAATTTACTTACGTTAGCTATCCAAATATACATTTAACATGAGTTATTCCCCTCATAGGATCACCTACACACCATGCAGTGACATTGACATTGAAGCACTGATTTAAAATACATGTAATTTTTTTTTTAATTTCTAACAAAAAAGAAAAAGGCAAATCTTTAATTTAATTGTTTTGAGGTTATTTGCAAAGAGTTGTACTCTATCAAAATAGAGGAAAAGGAAAAAAACCGCATAAATGAAAGTGATGCTAAAATAAATTGTAAACACTTTTCAATAAATCAGTGTTGTAGTCGAGTTCATCAGCAGTCCATCACAATGCCGGTCAAAAGTGAAATAATTAGTGCAAGGTCCTTTTCACAATTCCAGTCATAAGTAATAACATATAAATAACAAAGGAATGATTTTGGCACAGTATAGGTTAATAGCTTGCGACTTGACTTGTGATGGATTCAACTATGACTCTCCATTAGGTATTTGTGTAATTAACCCTCCTGCTATTTAAAGCTACAGTCCATCATTTGTAATGTGTGCATTTTGTTCGTTTGAAGCAACAAAAGAGTTCAAAATCTAATGAAGGATACTGAGCAACTAACCTGATGAAGTTTCAGCTAAGCTTCAGCTGTACATTCCGAGAAAAACAGCATTCTAAGATCTCAATTTCAAATCCAAAGTTACTGAATCATGTTTTGAATTGTTTTGAATTGCAGCTATACGCGACGTCGCGCACTGATCCGACGAATTATAACAACCGCGCGCGCGTGTGCGTCGTTCCAATACTTGTGCGCGCTGCGCTGAATAACAAAACGAACTACTAATTTAAATTTTCCTACGGTGCTTCTTAAGAATCACCGTTGGAAATGCCTTCTTTCGTTGATAACTTCAAAATGACAGCTTGCCAGAAAGAATAATTTCACAGGGAGTTTAGTCCCCTTACTATCTTTCAACCAAGTATGTTTTTCAACAATAATTACGCCAGTTACTTTTCGGATGGCTGCAAATGATGGACTATACCTTTAACAAGTCACAGACAATCAGCATTCACTTCCACTTCCCCTGCTATACTTTTTAACAAAGGCTAGACACTGTGGCCCAATTTCATAGAGCTGCTTAAGCACAAAATTTGCTTTAAGCACGAACAAACATTGCTTAGTAATATTAGGTTACCGGCCAAAACTCCACGTGATGTACATTGCTTGTGACTGGTATTTAGCTGTTGCTTACTTAGCATAACAATCGCATGGAGTTTTGGCCGGTAAACATGATTTTATTAAGCAAGACGTTTTTGTGCTTAAGCAAATTGTGTGCTTAAGCAGCTCTATGAAATTGGCCCAATCAGATCACATGTCAAGCAAGCACTGTGACAAGTCAAATTGGGTCATTAGACAATGCCAGCAAGTTGTGGTCACAGCTGTTTTATCACTCACCCGGAGTCAAAGCATAGCCGTTGCAAGTTACTTAAACAGTCGATCCTGCTTTATGTAGGCTGGGAATTCTTGACTGTTGAAAACAGTCACTTGTTTGATTTCGACTGAAAGGGCACCTTGGCACAGAACGCATGTTTGCATAGGAGGGCTTTACATGCATAATAATTAGCTGGAGTTACCTCAGCCCTATATTTTATCATTGGGTTGTTGTAATAGATATAGGGCTGAGGTAACTCCAGCTACATAAGAATGCAGATAGCTGTCGGGGCATTATGTGTGTGACAATATGTACAGGACAAACCAAATTAATGACAAGCCAACTTGGTGATCAGATTAGTAGTTTTCCAATCACTTTGATCGGTTTTTTTTTGTGGAATACATATTGATCGATTAATCATATTGATCGATTAATCATATTGATCGATTAAACATTACAAGAAGCCGAAGGCCAGTACCTGTCAAATGTGACTTGTCAAGGGCTGAAATTAATGCACGAAAATAATATCTGAAAGATTACAAATGAGCTCAGATAAGAACCGAGGTAAACGTTTCTCAGGAGAAAGATGCACAATAGCCCTTGGACATAATGACGTCACACTTTGTTTACATAATTATGGGAGCCAGGATGATCATGAGACCCACCTGGCTCCCATACGTAAACAAAGTGTGATGTCATTATGTTTTTGGTCCATTTGCTTGCTACTTAACACTTTCCCGTATTGGGCGTTTAGTGGAAATGGAGAAGTTAGACAATTTTTTGATCCTAAATTTACAACAAAAATTTCACTGAAAAACCAAGAACGACCACGTGGATGATTGCTTCTGGCTTTTACTTCCCCCATTTTTTTGGAAATAATTAATTTACATATATTTGCATAAATGAGTGCATTCGGTGCAACTTTTTTTTATAAATTTCATTGTATGTCAGCTGCACTAGACAATCAAAACATACTATCTAGACTTGGCACAGGCATGGAGTGGATGCATTCTTCGCCCAGCACCATTCAAAATACACAACTACGCTCTGGAACAACTTGGAAGGGTTGACTTGAGAGAAGACTAACCTAGATCTGGTGCCTCATTTTAGAGCAACTTTGTTCCCCGAGTCAAAACCTACCTACGCGGCAAAACCGACGGGAACCAGTCAATACTCACTACACACTGCATGGTGCTGTGGCTGGTAACCAATTGTAATACAATGTTGTGCTTGTCACTGGCCTTATCAGCTACTCGACAAAATCACTTTAAAAAAAACAATGCCCCTGTACACAAAACTACACATATTCAATATTAATACTAAAAATCCCAATACATTGAATGTCAACGCAATTTATATACAGATTTAAGTTCCATTCTAATATGAAGATTAAACAAACCACATGTTACAAACAAAATAAATTCTATTTGCACACACCCTATTATATAAGCTGCATGAGGTTTTTTTTTTTTAATTCCATACAATAGACGCACAGAGGTCACAAACGGTCAAAATGTTCTTCCTTAATACCTCCTGGCATACTGTGTATAAACCAATGGGGGTCTTGACCAATACTGACCCAAGTAATAACAAGGCTGACAATGCATGTTTCCAGAGGAGTTTTAATAAAACAACAACACAAAATTGAATCAAGTAGGCAAAGGGTAGGGCCTAAAAAAAATAGTCATCGAAAAAACTGTTTTGCATTCCCTGACTCCCCGTGTCAAAGTGACGAGTCTGAACTCTAAATGCTGGAAATAAGGACTGGTGCATTAACGAGTTGAATTTATTAACTAAAGTACTCATCAGCATTTTACAAGAACTGCATAGGTTTTTTTTTTTAAGAATCATTAACTCAAAAGAAGCTCTTGCGATTTTCGACCCATTTTGTTGGGCTAACCGGGTCAAATAATTACGGAGACACTTTTGAAGTTTAATAGTACAAGGCCAATCCATGTGCCCAAACGCATATGAAGCGCAGGACACAACTTTCTATAATAAATGACCAATCTTTTGGGTAAGCCTATCGGTAAACTACATGTATTTCAGTGAATTTAAAAGCACCATTTTATGATCGGATCTTTACCATAGCTTTCAAACATGAGTTGTATGGCCACTGGCCAAACATGATTATTACATCTTAATAAATCATAAAACAAGGTGCAGAGAAAGACCCTCTTTTTATGGGGGGGGGGGAGTCAATTTTGGCGTGACATCCCGGCCAAGAAGTCTTCGAGGTGAGATCAGTTTAAAGTCTCAGATTGAGAAACTGGCAATTAATGTCAACATGACTGAAACATGCAATTGTAAGTGCTACATAATATCAGCTGCACGACAATCCTAAAAGAATCATTCTCCTCCTTACACTTCTAAGCTACTCCCTCTATACACCTCTTCGGCTGTTCGCTTTTTGCAGATTTTATCAAAGTTTTGTATGCAATGTTTCATTTGAATCGGAAACGGTTGGGTTATGCACTGCACCACGGTTTAAATATTGGGTGGGTATAAATAATAACAATAATAATAACAGGTTCTTACATAGCGCTTTTAACTAAGATCAAAGCGCTTTACATTATTATTATCCCTAATCATTGGGCCAATTAAACATTCCATATACCATCTCAGCTCCCTGGGGAGTATACAGCTCGATGCTGCCTGTTAGGCGCAAGGAAGCTAATTCAATCACAATAACCATCACTGCCCTCATAGGTGGGTACTCCCCACTCCTGGGTGGAGAGAAGCAATGAGTGACAAAGTGCCTTGCTCAAGGGCGCACGCACCTTGACCCCGCCAGGACTCGAACCCACGACCTGCAGCTTTACCCACAGACCACGAATCAGTGCCCTTAACCACGAAGCCACAGCACTCCACTTACAAGTGCAAAGAATATCTGGCTGGTAATGTAAGATAAAATAATAATGTGCGGGCATCGGCAGCAATGCGTTTCAGTGTTTCCACTAGCGGTCCCTCCCACTTCTCCCTTTTTAACCGTTGAGGGGGTACTTGTGCATAGAGTATATACATGTAGATGTTGTATACAATGTAGTGTTTTTGTTATTATACTTTCAATTTAAAACCACAATAAGATTGTCTTATATAATTTTTAAAAAATCCTTTTGAAGGAAATTAATACACACTCAATACACAGCATAATTATCATAAATTATTTTACATTGCCAAAGACAAAATTAGTTGAAATGAAAACACAAATGTAAAGATAAGCATTCAGTTTACAGCGTAGAAATACTCATACCCGATAAACCTGTATACGGACAAATAAAAGGCGTTAGTATAATTAAATTCCCAATGAACCTTTTTCAATGCATGTTATTTTTTTGATCAAATGTCCCCACCACCACCACCATGTGCCATCATGTTGATGTAAGTGACAAGCATGGTTTTACAAATGAAATGGTTCAATTATGGGTTGTTATATTTTTTTCATTTTTTTTGTGGTGGCCGGGGGGAGGGTCATTGAAAACAACAAATCGTGGGAGGGGGATGCAAAATTGCTTTGAGATAACACATCAATCTTTTATCCAGCTCACTGATAAAAAAAAAGTGATTTGAATTTGTTATGTATCTTCAACTTGGTGCGCAACAAATCACGTCATGTGTCTCTGTGTCTTTGCTACAAAAACTGTACAGGTGTTTGCCATCTTGCACAAATGTGACCTGGCCTTTGACGGAAAAGGAAAACAGTTGATCAATAACAACATTTTCAATCCACTGGTTAAAAGTCAGACAAACTGATCGATAACATGGGCCTTTGGATAATCTGGTTTAACAGCAAACGAACCCCACAGTTTTTCTCAAATTTTTCTCCTTGGGTTTGACCAACAGCTATAATTTGTCCATTATTTGATTATTTCCCTGTTATTCTAAACCAGAAAAAAAAGGATCAAACTGATGTTGAAATCAAGGCGTGTTTTTGTGAAAATGGTCATGAAATAGCTTGCTAGTGCGAGTGTGTTGTGGGAGTGGCGGTGGGGCAAAAACTGATGACCAGATTGATAAAGGGTGGGGGAGGGGAGGATGGATATTAAGTTTTTTTAAGTTTCAGATGGCTAAAATGAATATCTAAAAAGTCTCTAGAATAAGGTCAAAAGTTACTACTTCAAGGACCCTATAGACATGTATTCAAGGTTTTGAATAAAACGATTGTCCAAGATAAATATCTCCAACTTAACACACACACACACATACACGTTTGTTTATGGTGTAAATCAAGGATTTTTGTGTGTTCCTCTTCCCTTTCTCTTTGTTTGTACTTCTTTTTCGCAAGAGCTCTCATTGGTTTTGTACACGTTTTCAACCCAGGAGTCCTCGATTCGGTTTCTGTCCTCGATTTATCGATGGTGATGCACGTGTGTATCCTGGATTAACACCATAAACAAACGCAAAATACTCAGTTAGTCAGTTCTGATGTTCCAGTCTATTAAAGTGAATGCCGTTTTCACTTTGAAGACCCTAACGTTTGCTCAAACATAAAAAGTCCCTTTTTGTTTAGGGTTTGTTCAGCTTTCTTAGATACACTAATATCTGCTACCGGTATGTCAGTAACTTTGCTATCATTCCCTGTGCTAAAATTATTGGTCCACTTAAAACTGAGTGATATTAAAAATTAATTTAAACACATAAAAAAATTAACATATTTAATCACTATAATTTCAGTTCATGCTTTTCGTGCGTTAACGGGAATACAAATTTACAATGATCACACAGCATTATTTAGTTTTAAACAGAAATCTTAAAGTTGCTCTACTTTTGCTGTTTGTTATCTCAAATGATTTTCTTCTGATGAGTTTTCAATTCGCACGAGAATTATTTACTATTTTGGACATTTTTTAACCCTCTGAAAATTTTACCTTATACCTTATCTAAAGGTATTATTGTTGGTTGCTTTTGCAACCATTACGCAAAAAAAGATGCGCCTAAATAATTGTCGGTCTGCAAATAGTTTGAAAGTTGTAAACTAATTATTCCCTACCTAAACGTTTTGTTTGACGTCTCATTCACAAGTGCATAACTTTTGTATTGCTAAAAAAAATAGCTATTCAAAAAGAAACTCCACTTTAAGGTCTCAAGTGCCAAATTCAGAGTCTCCAGTTCTCCTTGTGAATCCTGACAGAAATGTGGAATTGCTTGGTACGTTTGGATATTTCTTGAAGATTTTTATACTTACAACACTGATCTAAAACTAATACAAAACACGTTCCAACTGAAAATACTGATTGTTAAATTGTTGCAATAATTAATTGGCTTTGCCTTTCAAAAGAAAAGAAAATGTAAAAAAAAAATTATCGAATGTAAAAACAGAACAGAACAAACAGCAAAAACATGTTTGTTATAATTCATTTTAGTTTTTTCCCCCACTTTTACCATCATACAAGTTATCGAGATCCTCCAAGAACATGATGTTTGTAGCCACATGGCTACAACTTCCAACAGGTTAGTTGTTACATGCACCCCACAAAATTTTTGAGAACTTTTGTAGTTTCAAACGGGGGGAAAAGAATTTGCAAAAAGCAGATGATCATATGTACCTTTAACTGAATGATGAAAGTGTTAACTGACCAATTAGATCACGATTTTTGGTTAGGTGACCAGGGTAGTGTAATCAAACCCGGTCATAAAACACCGTAAGAGATGAATACAAACCAAAGGTGGGCGGAGCTTCAAACCAAAGGTGGGCGGGGCTTAAAGCCAAATCCGGAGGAGGTCGTCCGTTCTCGCGATGGGCTGAAGAAGTGTCAAAGTTGGTGGAAGTAGCAAAGCAGCAGTGTGAGCCTTGGATGTGGATGAACAGAGGAGCGAGTTGGAAGATGATGATGATAAGGATGATGATGGTGGTAAAAGTCGAGAGAAGCGTTGTGGTTGTAGAATTGCATTTGCTATAGAGAACCTTTTTACCACTGGCTTCCCCCTATAACTACACTTGGCAAGCTTTACACGCTGTTATCCGCAAGGAGTCCCTACGACAAACAAACCAAATCAAGACCAATTTAAAAAAAAAAAAAAACGCATTGTAAAGAAGGACTACAACAGAAGTCCATTTGTTTCAAATGTGTTGATCCACAAGTGTAATAAAAAGGTGAAAATTACTGGCATTTGATCTCTGTCACAATAAAAACTTGTCCTACATCCCATAAAGCTGATGATAAAAGCTGCTTTTTTGCAGCTTTTTCGAGAACCACTCGCCCAAACAACTTCAAACTTGGCACAAACTTTGACGCGAGTGTGCGTTCAACCTGTGAAAACAACACCATTGAATCGCGTGCGTTGTTTGCACGAGCACTTCTCAAAACATTATGCAAGCATGCAACCAATACCAGCGGCAAAGCAATTTGCGCTTCCCGAACATGCACATTTTAGACGGGCACTGTGCACTAGTTTATAAAATGAGAGCAAATCCAAAATAATTTACCTACCGGTACATACAAGGCTACGGTCATACAGGGTTATTACTTCATAAGGATCTACGGGTCTACGATCATACAGAATTTAGGACTGGTTAGCGTCTCGCAAAACTTTGATTAGGCGACACCAAAAGCACTAAATGTAGGTTAGTAACTACAGAAGTGCACTACTTCTAAGAACTGAGCAAGTCACTCACTGTACAGTGGAAATGCAACGGGACTGCAGCTCAGTACAATATCGTTCTCTCTCCTCACACGTTTATCTTGGCTGCCTAGGACCCTACAACAGGATCACTTCACAATCCAGAGGCACCTGGATTTTAGTCACATTTTATTTAGCTACGTGTATGTCCATACATGCCAGACTAATCCACACACGGATTAACTGTGTGCTCACGAAGCCTCCACTCATGGCTGAGGCATTGTGTTGCTGTTACAAAAGCCACTGTATCATATAACGGCTGCTCTAAATAACAGCTGGCACAATGCATCCGCCATTAATAGGGGCCTCCCTAAGTGATTCTGATTTGCTTCGGTCCACAGGGTGCAATGAGGTCAGATTGTAAACATGAAAATGGGGTGAAATGCTGTCTGAACCCAGTGATAAAATTGTAAAAGTTTGACACAAAACAGTTTTACTTGTCTACTCCACAGGTGGCTGCAACTTATTCTAGAAATTATGAGTGGCACTGTCTGCATCACCGTATGATATCCTATGACAGATGACACAAACCCTAAACTATAAGAGAGTCAGGTCTGCGTATAGCGGTACTTTCCTCGTTGTCCACCGCTGTGACCCTGGTTCGAATCCCGCCTAGGCCAATAGGTGGCTTGGCTTTTCAGTCCCTACCTGATTCCGTGGGTTTTCCCCCCAGAATATTCTTCTAGGGTTTTCCTCTCACATCAAAAACTGTCATTTCTTCTCAGTGTCTTCTCTCTACAGGTTTCTTCTGGCTTGCGAGCTACAGTGCACAGGGCACTTTTGAGGAATCCTTGGTTTCATTACCAGAAATTATTAATAATAACAAGTTGTTTATGGGTAGTTTTCACGTCCAATGCCACAGGTTGGGAGTTTTACATGGCTTACGGACTTTTGTTATAATAAATACACGTCTGGTTCTGTTTTGTAGATTTTGTTTAAAAGAAGATTACTTTACACAATATTGTAGCTTAGGTTCAATTTTTAAACGTCTTTTTTAAACCCCTATCTCAACTCCCACTGATTTAAGTGTATAATATGACCGACGAAAAATGGCCGATATAGATATAAATAAAGATAAAGGTATCATGATTAAAAATCCTTAACCATCTTGAAATCACAGTGTACACAGATCGATTCTAGTCTCACTTCAAAGTCTGTGCAAAATATTACTGAACAACTACTAATATAGGTGTCGAATGTACTTTAATCCAACATTTGGGGGGCTCATAATGCAGTGCTCTGTATCAAAGCTTCTGTCTCAAAGCAGCCACTTCTTCATGGTCCATTCCCTGCATATATTGTCCTGAAGTTGATCACGTATCATTTTATTATTTGGGTGTGGTACAACAGAAAGACAAACGTCTTTAATGGTGCACATGCTTTAAGAGTAAAAGCTTTTAAGTGTTTTTGCTTTTGTGCCAAGTACAACAGAATTTGCATCTCTAACTCAGGCTCGTACTGTACAGTGAATCTCTCAAATATTGAACGCCTTAACTATCCACAATATACCGGTATTTACACTTTTTCCAAACTTTCGATTGCACGATTGCCCCCCAACATTGTCCAAACGCGCTGAAAAAAGAATGGATCCGCTGCTGCCCTTGAGAGACAACAAGGCCAGACCTGTTCTGTCAAAAGCAGACGCTTCTGGGCAGAGGTTGAAATTAAGATAGGGCCAAAAAAACGCAGTGGGGGTGATTTTTTTCAATTTTCTAATGTTTGCATATTTGTAATCCTGAACATGTCTAAAATATACTATAAAAGTTTGAAACCCTAATTTGAACTCTAAATATAGTATTTTTGATGATTTGTTAAGGTATATCAGTTAAAGAAATTACTGTTTTGTGACGTTTGTGGCCATTTTCTCCGTTTTCTACTTTTCGACACAATGAACTTAAAAATAGTATGACTCTGCCCAGGAATGACCAATTTCCAAAAATTAAACCACCTATTATTATTAAATAAGGAAAAAAACATATTTTAACAGCTATGCAACGATATCATTTTTGACCTTATGCCCAGAAAAGTCTGATTTGGACAGAACGGGTCACAGTTGTGGTTGCAACTTACTGCATGAATTCTTTGATACCATTCAAAACAAAACTGACTGTGATTCTGGTTTGTATGAATGTCATAGGCAGGGTGTTCCCCCAAAAAGCATCCTCCTTTTTTTTTAAAATACATCACAAATATTGATGCATATTTAAAAAGTTTAGTTAAGCTTTTCAGCAACGAAAAGGTCTTTCTAATCAGAAAAATGATAATGGCCAATTAATATTTGAGAAGAAAATGCTGCTTTTTCATTTTGTCCACAGTCTTAATTGTCCCTCATTAGGAATGCAATGCTTCTCCTTTTTAATTATGCAACAAGGGTCATTTCTCTGTTTAGAAGAAGTTGCAGTATCGAAAAGGGCAGTTTTGCTTAAGTTCTTAAATGTTTACTGTTCTGTTCTGCCCTCTACTGGCTACCTCTCTCACAGATGCAAGTTTCAAATATCAGTCGCCGTGGGCAAAATGAGAAAGTGGAGCTTGTTTTCGATTGGCCATAACTCAACGATATTTTTTTTCAACTGGAAAGATGTTTTCGTTTTTGTAAAGCTCATGAACTGTGCTTGTCAAATATGTATTGACATTTGCGATGTAATTTTAGAGTGCTTCGACACTCCCCTAACTGCCATACGTGGGACAATCACCTTCGGAATCCCATGATGGCCACTCCCCAATGTGTGAATGTAATTGACATGGGGTAAAACCATAATGCAGATATTGGATGCTGCTATGGAAAGGTACTAGGGAAATATAATGAGGTATATACATGTATTCTGAAACAAGCCATGGGAAAAATCTCATGGTGAAAATTCCATGAGAAAAATCCCATGTGATACATGGGGTTAATTCCATGGGAAAAGTCCCATGGGAAAAATCCCATGGGTACATGGGGTCCAAAACCCTATGTACCACATGGGAAATCACCATGGGAAATCGCCATGGCGATCCCATGGGAAATCGCCATGGGACATTTTTGTAAGGGACATGACTGGTACAGGTAGGGGTAAAGACAACTTAGCTAGTATCTATCGTATATGCAGTAGAATAGCTAAATCCCGTTAAAGTTTTGTTCATGATAAAACTGATCACTATATTTTACAACTCTGTAAATTGTGGACTCTTTCGCTACATTGGACTACAAAGGGAAATAGAGAAAACAATAAACACCCTTCCACCAGAGCTTAAAATGATTCTGGGGTATTTACTCCTTTTTCTGCTGTTTCGACGCTCATGGCCGCATCGTAGGATGGAGGCTCCTCCCCATTGGCCATCCTCGTCGCTGGTGCAGAGGGAATTGTAGTCATCATCTGCTGCTCTGGCACGTCTTCATCAAAGTACCCTGCTACCTGATGCGCCTGCACTTTGGCAGTGGTCAGGTAGTTCCAACGCTATAGAGACAATGGCCAAAGAAAAAGAGCTTTTGAAGTCAGCAGCTACAAGATAAAAATTACACTTGGCTTATATTCAATGGCTCTGCCAACCACGAAACGCTGCACTTACAATAAGCCAGTTGGGTATCTCGATGAAGTAGTCCAGGTCAAAGGTTACGTGACATGATGTTACGCAAGGTTACGCGAATGCCCTTTCTGCTCGTAATTAACACGCGAGCAAAGTGCACTCGTCTCCTTGCTCGTTCATGCACCTTTGATGAGCGTTCGATTACCCTGAATGACTCGTGACCCATATCACTGTGCGCATGCGCAGTTGAAATACTAAACTGGCTTATTACCATTACATGTATAAAAGCGTCAACTAAAACAAATTCAACACTTTTCTTGCAAGCACAGAACCTGTTTTGGGCAGCACAGTGAATAAAGGGTTATATCGTCCCAAACCGCCTGATATATGGATCCATCACAAGTAAATACAGGGAGGTAGTGCAATGTAGCACAAGTGCAACTCCGAATCCGAACCGAAACCGATCCGAACTTCCTAAAACCAATCCGACCCGACCCGACCTGACCCAACCCGACAAAAATTCAAGAACAACCAACCCGAACCAACCCGACGTCGAACCGACCTTACAAACCGAATATCTGGCTTGGGCAATTGTGTTCGCTTTTTGTGCCTGGACTTAGCCGCGTCACATAAAAATCCTCGTCTCTCAGTAACTGAATCATAGTATGGCAGTAACAATATGACCCACTGGTGGGCCTAAACTGTTATAAACCGTGCATGATAGACCGCAAATCATTTAATGGTCATATACCTGGCACTGTGACTCTGCCATAAATATTAGACCGTGTGAGTTCCTAACTGTTTCGCTTTTTGGGGGGGTTTATTTCGGGTTTTCCCAATAATGGCTTAACCGACACGATCCGACCGGAAAATCGCAAACACAAAATCGAAACCAAACCGACCCGACTGAAATGACGGACAAACTGACCCAACCCGGATCGGTTTTGGTTTCGGGCTGGGTTTGCACAACACTACTGGGTTAAAGGAATTCTCATTTGTTTTTTACACAACCACAAGTCAATCACAGTAAAGACTGGACAAGCCCCCCCCCCCCCCCTCCCTCAAGGGATATCCAAGGTCATGTTCCTACCTCCCGGAGTGATCCTTTACTTGTCAGCATCTTATAGATGAAGAAGATGGGGATTTGCACCATGGAGGCAGTAGCCATTATCCAACCCAATGCCTGGCCCCATGGTGGATACTGGTAATCGTTGTAGACCAAAGGTTTATAGCTCACACAGCTGAAGATGAAAACTCCCTGCACATGACAAGACACGGCAATTTTAAAGGTAATATACAACATTTGCAAGACAAAACTACTGAACTAATCATGAAATACCTTACTTGGCTTTAAGTGAATAATATATAGTCTCAGCATCCTGCAGAAATCGCATGGCACCGAGTGTGCTGTCATTTTCAAGAAAATTGGAAATTTTTGTATCAATTTCCAACAATGGTCGGCCGACCTTTTTTTTCAAATATTGCCCCCAATTAACCAAATTTAGTTAGTTCGCAGTTTTATTTGCAATCGGTCAACACATCCGTGAACAGGGTGCAAGCAAGCTTGTCTGGTTCCCTGACTATTAATGGCAATTCCCCGATCTGGTCAGGCAACCAGACTACAAGAAAACCACGTTTTTCTTGGATTTCCAGCATCTATGAACCAAAAATTTAAAGGTATAGTCCATCATTTGATATTTGTGCATTTTGTTCGTTTGAAGCAACAAAAGTGCTCAAAATCTAAAGCAGGGTGCTGAACAACTAACCTGATGAAGTTTCAGCTCAGCTTCAGCTGTATATTTCGAGAAAAACAACATTCTAGGATCTCGATTTCAAATCAAAAGTTGCTGAATCATGTTTTGAATTGGGCCTGAATTCAGCGTCAGAGACACGGTCTTACTAGCCGATTACAGCTACGCGATGTCGCGCACCGATCCGATGAATTATAGCAACTGCGCGTGCGCGTGCATCGTGCCAACGCTTGCGCGCGCTTCGCCGAATAAAAAACCGAACTACTAACAGAAATTTCCAACGGTGCTTCTTAAGACGCACCGTTGGAAAGGCCTTCTTTCGTTGATTTCTTCAAAAAGACAGCTTGCTAGAAAGAATAATTTCACAGGGAGTTTAGTCCCCTTACTATCTTTCAACCAAGTATGTTTTTCAACAATAATTATGCCAGTTACTTTTTGGATAGCTGCAAATGATGGACTATAGCTTTAAACAGGTCAGTATAACAATATTTGCTATAAAACACTAATCCCCAAATCCATTCATTTTTGAAAATTACAGCAAAAGTAAATGTTGTACATTACTTTTACAGTTAAATTGTAGACACATCAATGCTGAGATGTACAGTTAAAGTTTACAGTATTTTATAGGTTTTTTTTCAACGATTAATCCTTTAGACAACAGCTGGTCCGGCCTAAGACTAGGTTTACACTATGTTCCCGGCGGTCACGGCAGCCCCATTTGCCCGAAACGTAGTGCGGCGTGGGATTTTGGCAATTTTTTTTTCTCCGTAGTCAAGTTTTTTTAGGTCCTGCTAAGTTTTCCCACGGTCTATCACGGTATCTGTGATGGGCCGTGGGGGGAAAGAGGCTGCTGAGTCCCGGAGGCTCATAGGCGCACTACGGTTCGGCCCGCGGTCTACCACGAATGCCAGTACGTTCCCTCCCGGCCTGTCACGTTCTGATGGGTCCCTCTGGGGTCCCTCACGTTCTAATCAAAGTCTGACACGTTTTTCGCATTCTGTCAAGGCTTTCTATGGATGAAACGTGTACGCCGGGCAGCTTCGGAGCAAGTTTATGCCCACGGTATGAAAAGAAAGCCTCCCAAGCAACTCCCTCCCAGACCGCTCGCCGTATCAGACCGTAGTAGAACGCAACTCGCCGCATCGCACCTGGCCTATAAACCGTGACACATCTGGACACGCCGTGATTGAACGCGACAAAGCGGCTACCGTACACCCTAGCTTGCCGTGAGCAACGAAGCAAAACGCGACAAAACGCGCAGCAACCGTGACAAAACGCCCGCTAAACGCGGCAGAACGTGACAAAACTTGACAAAACTTGAAAGGACCGGTAAGATGCCGGGGAATGCACATGCAAATTTTTTGACAGTTTAAAAATCTGTCCACGGTGGCCAGAAACGTGATTGCCGTGGCCGCCTGGAACATAGTGTAAACCTAGCCTTAGTTTGTAACCAAGTTCAGTTTTTAATTGGGAATATTTTTATTGTTTCTTGTTCTATTGTTAAACGCTTTGAGGAATCTTTGATTCATATTGCACTATATAAATGCTGTTTTATTCGCTGTTTCAGTGTACACAGAAACAGCTCTTGTTTTCGTTAAGATTTCTTTCTTTCTTTTTCTTTTTTTTCTCTACTCCTTTTCAGATTTTTTTCTCCATAGGTTTTGTACACGTTTCTTCTACCAGTCCACTTTGGCACTTTGGTAAATCGATGGGTTTCAAGGACTAAAAAGTTTATATTTTTGCCTCCCCAAAATTCTGAAGTGGGGCACATGGGAACACAAGTCTTGCGGAAGGGGGGGGGGAAGTTGCATATTAAGATTTTTAATTTTTAATTTTTTTTTCCTTCTCCTAAATTCCAGACTTTTTCTCCATAGGTTTTGTACACGTTTCTTCTACCAGTTTTCAAAGACTTAACAAGTTTGTATTTTTGCCTCCCCAAAATTCTGAGCTGGGGCACATGGGGAACACAAGTCTTGCGGAAGGGGGCGGGGGGAAGGACTTGCATGTGCTCCCTGATGGGGGCTCTTGAAGGCACAAGATGAACTGGGTATGGCAAGACAGGGGATAGCACATTGGATGGGCAACATGAAAAAATGAATGACTTCTCTCACCAAGGTGAATAGTGGAGTGAGGAACATCCAGCAGACTTTCAGGTAAGGATTCGGACGAAAATTCAGCATCTTGTTGAAATCATTGTAATAATTGTCGGCCCCTTTACACAGACAAAGAGAGAGAGAGATCAGACAAAGATTTCTTATCAAACTTTGTGCCCTATTTAGTACAACTGGATCTAATACTTTTTTTTAAAGTTTACTGCACTGCTGTCCGTTTTTGACTTTTTAAATTTTTCTTCATACAGCAAAGTCTGTCATGTGCCAATGTGGCCCATCAGGCCGGTGTTTATCTCCAGGTTCAGTGGCATGAAACGACTGAGAATATTTCTATTCCCCCTGGATGGGATGCCATTGCAGGTTTCTCCCCAGCTAATGCCAGTACCCATGCTCCAAGGTGGAGAGAGGCAAGTGGGGTGAAGTGGCTAGCCCAAGGACACAATGGGTAGCAGCAGGATTCAAACCCCAGACCCTCTGATCATGAGATGTGAATCCCAGCCACTAGGCCACACTCCAGACTTCCTTCATATACTGTTGGATTAAAAGGTGATTATGAGGGTAGCGACCAGCAGTTGAGGATTTTTGGGTTGGAATAAAATAAAATAATAAAATTGCATTTATTATGCGCATATACCATAAAATGTTCAAATGCGCATTACAAAATCTGAACAGTAGCTAAAATATTAAAAGTACAAATTCGAATTAAACATTAGCCTTAAATGTAAAAAAAAACACTAGATATTTTAGAAAACAATGTCAAAACCATGAAACTTAAAATTACAAAAACAAGACATACATTTAAAATAGATAATAGTAAAACCTTATACGAATGCCTTTGTAAAAAGAAAAGTCTTACGCTTAGTCTTAAAAACTGTTAGAGACTGAACAGACTGAATTTCAGGCGGTGGCTGGTTCCATAAGCTGGGAGCGGCTTGTGCAAATGCACGATCCCCCATAGCCTTTTGCATTCTCCCAGATGGATAATCTAAAAGCAAGCGCCCATTGGATCGCAGGGGATAGTTGGAATGGACCTTCACTTTCAACATATATGTATCTGGGAGCAAGATCATGAAGAGCCTGGAAGGTCAACAGAAGGATTTTAAAGTGTATACGAGATTGTATAGGCAACCAATGTAACTGATCAAGTAGAGGAGTAACATGGTTCCACGATGGTTTGCCACAAACAAGCAACATACAAGTTGAAAAAAACAAATACTGAATTTGTTGAAGAGTACTTGTTTGATCCTTACCGTATACCCAGCCTATGACCACCGCCTCAAAGAAAGCTACCCACAGAAGTGCAAAACCGCTTGCTGCATAGGCGTCAAACAACTGGAATACGTACATACCACCCTAAGTGTAGAGGAAATACAAAGAGAGGAAGAAAAAGGTCAAAATATGCAGTGAAAGGGGTGGAGGCAGTGTTGTAGGACTAGGACTCAAGTCCAGGACTCAGACTTTGAGTCTGTCTCAAGTTGCAATATCAGTGACTTGGAGTTGACTTGAGTCACAAGGGCAGAAGTCAAACTCATAGACTTGAACCAAATGACTCATGACTTCGACTTGGCCTCGGACTTGAACCAAATGACTCACGACTTGGACTCGGACTTGAACCAAATGACTCACGACTTAATTAGACTTGGACATGAACCAAATGATTCACGACTTGGACTCGGAGTTGGACTTGAACCAAATTGCCCAATGACTCATACAGGCTCGGACTCAGACTTGAACCAAATGACTCACGACTTAATTGGACTTGGACTTGAACCAAATGACTCTTGACTTGGATTTGAACCAAATGACTCATACAGACTCCAACTCGGATTTGAACCAAATGACTCACGACTTAATATTGGACTCGGACTTGAACCAAATGACTCACGACTTGAACTTGAACCAAATGACTCATACAGGCTTGGACTCAGACTTGAACCAAATGACTCACAACTTAATTGGACTTGGACTTGAACCAAATGACTCACGACTTGAACTTGAACCAAATGACTCATACAGGCTCGAACTCGGACTTGAACCAAATGACTCGCGACTTAATTGGACTTAGACTTGAACCAAATGACTCACGACTTGAACTTGAACCAAATGACTCATACAGGCTCGGACTCGGACTTGAACCAAATGACTCACGACTTGGACTTGAACCAAATGACTCATACAGGCTTGGACTCAGACTTGAACCAAATGACTCACAACTTAATTGGACTTGGACTTGAACCAAATGACTCACGACTTGAACTTGAACCAAATGACTCATACAGGCTCGAACTCGGACTTGAACCAAATGACTCGCGACTTAATTGGACTTAGACTTGAACCAAATGACTCACGACTTGAACTTGAACCAAATGACTCATACAGGCTCGGACTCGGACTTGAACCAAATGACTCACGACTTGGACTTGAACCAAATGACTCATACAGACTCCAACTCCAATTTGAACCAAATGACTCACGACTTAATATTGGACTCGGACTTGATCCAAATGACTCACGACTTGAACTTGAACCAAATGACTCATACAGGCTTGGACTCAGACTTGAACCAAATGACTCACGACTTAATTGGACTTGGACTTGAACCAAATGACTCATACAGGCTCGGACTCGGACTTGATCCAAATGACTCACGACTTGAACTTGAACCAAATGACTCATACAGGCTTGGACTCAGACTTGAACCAAATGACTCACGACTTAATTGGACTTGGACTTGAACCAAATGACTCACAACTTGAACTTGAACCAAATGACTCATACAGGCTCGAACTCGGACTTGAACCAAACGACTCACGACTTAATTTGACTTGGACTTGAACCAAATGACTCACGACTTGAACTTGAACCAAATAACTCATACAGGCTCGAACTCGGACTTGAACCAAATGACTCACGACTTGGACTTGAACCAAATGACTCATACAGACTCGGACTTGGACTTAAACCAAATGACGCCGACTTGAGACTCGGACTGTAATTGACAGCACTCGGTGCAAGGTGAAGAAAATTAACTTCTTTTATGGGAACCGAGGAAATCCAGCACTCTATCCTGAAGAATGGTGGTAAGAAGTGACATTGGAAAGGAATCTTACATAACAAGTCATCGGGATGCCAGCCAGGAACAGCACACAGCACAGGGCCAATACAAACAGCGGACGTCGCTTGCCCTTACGAAGACTTGGGAAGGAGTCCACTATGGCAGTCACCAAGCCCTCAACACCAACAAACTGCATTTCGGCAAAGACAGATCCATAACATTTTAGCATGGCAAATTGAACAATTTTGTTACCGGGTAAAACAGTTCTGGTACTGCATAGCTCTCAAAGGGTGGAGGAAGGCATAGAGATCAAATTGGCCAGTATTGACAAAATATCACAAGCGTGGCCAACATTTGCCCATTCTCACTCAGTTTTGAAAGCTATGTTGTTACAGGACTGCTGGCTTCATACTCTTTTTAGATTAACATACGACAACCCCTACTTGAGACTTGCTTGTTACATCAGACAGAGTTGGGTAGCAACATCATAAAAGTTCATTCATGAATAGATCGTTTGCACTCAGCAGCCATCTTGGAGGTAAATTTGGTTATAAATGTCTTTTCAATTGGCAACGAATTGCACAAGAGGTCTATTCATGCGCATCCCTGTTACACAAAAGTACACCTTCAAGATGGCGGCAGTGCAAGCCATCTACAGAGGATGGTTGATCACACCTTTTCCAGCTCCTGCATTAGTTAGAAATTGTGCTGAATGCTGATTCTGCTTGACCCCGCTGCTGGACCTCGATCCCCCTCCCCCCCCTCCCCCACCCCAACATACTTGATCAAGCTCCCTAAATATTTCTCAAGTGAACGACCAATTAAACAAGAAAATATTGTAATTACACTATTTTCTTAATCTCATTCAATATAAGTACCTAACACTTTCAAAATTTTTGTAACATTTTTGCTCCTTTGAATACACAAAACTATCCAACAAAATTTAAAAAAAAAAAACAATAATTGTTGAACACCCCAGCCCCCAGAAATAAAATCTCAAACAGATAGTTATTAGCAGATCCACTTCATTCACGTTAACTTTTCAAAGCTAATGTATATCTGAACTTTCTCCCACTTCTGTCTGATGCTAACACAGCACGTCATTAAAAATTGGGGGCAAAAAACTTAAGCCTCACATTTTGGGGTTTTACATTCAAGACCTCTTGGCCAAGTAGACTTGTGGGGGGAAAATGGTACGGGACATAAATGAGAATTAACAGAAATGACATTTTTATCAGCCTAACAGCATGGTTATTTGTCATCATCCCTGAAGGGTTACAGTTAGATTATTAAAAGAGTGTTCTATATGCAGTAACATTTTATTTATACTTAAGAATTCATATATGATGACTGAGAATTTAAGAACCAACTTCATTATAAAAAAATCATGTTATTTGTCTGTACTTACCTGTTAAAAAAAACATTATATTTATTCGTGATTAAGACAGTTTGCTTGAGTGAAAAATTCCCGAGTTAATTTATTGATTGCAGATGAATCTGATCACATGACCACCGTCATGTGACACTGCTTTCCCACAACTAAGCTGGTTCCAGGTGGAGGGCGACATACGTGACTCCATCACCACTTCCTAGACAACAATGGGAGGCAACTCAATTAAATATTCATGAGGTGGGAGGGGCTTGGAGTTTAGTAATAATCATATCAGTTAATGCTGGAACAGATTATGCCAAGTTAGTGGTCAGGGGATTAGGGTGTTTCTCGTGCTTTAGGCTAAACTGCAATCTGTCACTAGATGTGGGAAAATCTGGATGCAAAAAAAAAAAAATGAAATAAAAAACGGGACTCAGCTCCGTCTGTGTGATCAAGTCGATCGTTTGGGTCGAATGATGTGATGGCTGCCCCACGCTAACTTCTGAAAATGCGAAAGCGTGAGGTATATAAAAGATCTTTCCGTTAAATTTGTTCAGTTCAGGATGGCCTGGCACGTCTCATTTCAGGACCTGCAAATTCACCAGGTACCTGTCGGCTAAGATTAGAGCGACACTCAAGTGTCACATGGAAAAAAAAAAAATTAAGTGATGTTGCGTTACATATGGTTATTACACCAACATAATGATAAAATTCAAACCCAACACTTCCAAAACCATCAACATTCATAGTTTAAACTGTAACAAAACCGAACACCTTACTCAAGCATCTGTATATGCTCAAATGAACCCAAGTGCAAAGAAAATGTACAAATCATATCATCAGCCATGCAAACTTTACAAATGAAATGTATCGGACAGAATTCTCGTTAACACTGTGGGTTTTATAGACCTTTCTTTTGTTTGTAAACATTGACGCCATTTTATATGGACTGCCACAAGGCACATAAATTGAAGCCGGGGTTGGCCTTATTTTTCCAGAAAATGTCCGCATTACGCTTTCAATACATAGTCAAAAGGCATGTGTAGTTATGATGGTGTATGTTTGTAGACAATGTTATATTTCCAACAATCAAATAATGTTTTAGTTTTCTTTAATACCGGTAACTCTTCTTCATTTTTGTAGTGTTGGACCTTCCATAGTTTTGCAACCCATGGTTGGCAAAAATGTAGTTTGCCAACCGAGCTTAGAAAGGTCTATAGTGCTCCTTTGGCAACGACTGAAACAGAAATAAAAGTCTTCAGTGTCAGACTTAGAACTGAGATTTCGTCTCGTTTGCTAATTGTTGAGTTGTCAATCCTACGTTAGATATATATTTACTTGAAATGCATTTATAAACTAATGCTAAGAAATATGAAATATAGTTTACTTGAAATTCATTTATAAAGTAATGCTGAGAAATAGGATAGGTCTTTCCATTATACAAGCACCAGGATTAAGCTAAAAACAAACAAACACTTATGGGACAATGGCTCTGGCCATATTTGTATCCCGGACCAAGTAAACTGTAATCAATCCAGATAAGAATTATCACTTTATAGCCACTGATAAGGCTCCGCTCATATTGCACAAGGTAAAGTAGGCCTACATGCACATGCACTTGACATTTGCCATATAACTCGTACACAGATCACCATTGCCCAGTTTGTCTGAGATACAAGCCAGTGATGCTTTGTGCTGAAACTATCAAATTTTCTTGTCAAAGTTATGCATCAGGAAACAAATAACAAAAAATCTCTTTTGGTTGAAGCCTCCCGCCACTAATTAGGTTTAAAGCTCTTAACCCATTAGCACCTCAACTACATTGTATTACATTGTGTTTACTCACTGAAGAATACATTTTCCATAGAGGACTCCGGGTTCTGGACGCTATATACAGTGAGTGATAGGCGTGGCGGTTTCGGGTGCAATTAACAGTGACTAAAGGCTTAATTACTCATTTTGTTATTGGTTTTTCTGCTCAATTAAAGATTTCGAAGAAATTTCAGGAAGGTTCTCAGCGGTTGATCAAGCAAAAGCAATCTGTGTACGAGTTGCAACAGCATTTCCTTTTTTGAATCTGACCATCTCTGCACACTGTTGCGCATCTGAGCTCAAGTAAAAGCACAGTAAGTAAAAAAAAAAAAATGATTCAGCGAAACGCTTTAAAATTTCTGAAATTTTACTGGTATACACTTCCTGCCACTTAAAGGGAATATACATCATTTGCTTTTGCTGTAATGGTGCAGTGCGGGATATGCACGTCACAATGCTGTTTTTTTTTTGCCAGTCATGACTGCTCATGCACAGCTGGCATGCTCGCAAGCAGGCTATGTGCACACTGAGTCATGCAAAGCATCATTTTAAAAATAATGCACGTATGTATGGGTTCAAACCTTCTATAGCATCCATGCATGCAGGCCTGATGTAGTTTAGTCTTTTTTTTGTGAGCGGGGGTTGGGTTGGGGGGGGGGGGGTTGGTAGGGTTACTAAGGGAAGCAAAGATGTTGCCCTCACGCATGCTGGGTGCTACATGTATTTTATGGAGACGATCATCTAGCCACACTACAGGATGTTTAATGACAAAACAACAACAAAACAAAAGCACTAAGCAAAACTACTGCCTGAAATATGATACTACATGTATTAGCCTTATTGGTTGCCCCCATTAGGTTCAATAATCAAAAGGTCAGGGTTCGCGACCGTTGACCTTTGTTGAGATGACAGGTTAAACCGATTCTTGTGTATGAGCACCACATCTGAGACCTTTGGTTGGAAACAAATTAAATAAGAGGTATTCAAACGAATACATCATATCAAATCGAACTCTCCATGTTTGAAATGTTCCCGGCAGGACCACAGATGTTTCTAGTTCCAACCCTGTGCAGTTTCTTGTTTGGGTAATTTGCTTGGCGAGACCTCGTCCTGAATTCTTGTCGGCGAAAAACACTACACACGCTATGTCTCCTTGAGCTTTGACTTCTCCCCCTTCATCAGGTTGCCCTAATGAGCTCTAAAATGTCCATTTCGCAAGGGCATGACTTTGGGGCAGGACTACCAACTGATTTTCACCGGCGCACCGTTGGCATTCCGGATCCCTCGACAATCAGGACTGGATAAATACCGAGTTATCTCTGTTGTTGTTGTCATGGTAATTCCCAGCGGGTAGTTTGGAAGTCCGGACCGCAAACAAATCTGCTTCTGACCTTCAGAACTTCTGAACCCGACCTATATCTTATAACTCCACTCCTGGGCAGCTTTCCAAAAGCAACTGTGTGAACCTCGCATCCAAACATTACACACAACACTTCAATTGCCTCTGTATGTGTAGTTGATTCAACATGTCCGAGACGGGCGACGTGTACTCTCTTCAAGCTTGTCACAGTGGTGGCATTTTGACGACAAACAATCCGACATCTGCCACTAATATTGATCAGACTACGCTGAATACGAACAGATATAAAATATAAATAGCTCAGAAAATGGAACTGAAAAAAACATAGTTAATTAAAACAAAAGGTGCAAAACTCAAAACATGATTCAGAGAAACGAAAATGAGTTTAAAAGTAAGAGGATTAAACAAGAATGAATTGCAAAAAGTCCTCCATCAAGTCTTTGAATTTTCAATTCATCTTCAATAAGAAATGGGGCCTGCAGCTTCTTGTTGATATGCTGAAGGAGATTTGGAGTGAATTTCTTCTTTTCTTTTCCTGTTGATTTTGAGAGGGGGTTGGTCTTTCGTCATGAACTTGAAACACAATAAAGGAAGTGGTTTCCATAATCCGAGTGGCGCTCCAACAAAGCAGATCCGAGCTGACTTT